CTATAAACTTTAATATCGGAACTACCTATGACCCAACTACTAGCGATCCTCTAAACAAACTTCTGAAATTGAAATCATATCAACCACCAAAAAACTTAAAACTAAAAAAGCACCTGGCCTAGATAGAATCCGCAACGAAAGTATTCATTACCTTGCATCCTCATTATCCATTCTTTTTAACACTATCCTAAAATCTGGATATCTCCCTGCCAGTTGGTCAAAAGGAATGATTACTGCAATCTATAAATCGGTTGACAAATGTGATCCTTCGAACTACCGTGGAATTTGTGTCTCTAGCTGTTTAAGCAAATTATTTTGTTCCATCTTGAATGAAAGATTATACAATTTCATACAAGAACGCAACCTGCTACATCCTTCCCAGATTGAATTTCTCCCAAGATTTCGCACTAGTGATCATATCATTTCTTTACGTACCATTATTGATATGAATGTAACCCATACACCAAAAAGTAAACTCTTCTGCTGTTTTATAGACTTAAAGAAAGCTTTTGTCTCCGTATGGCACCCTGAACTATTTAAGAAACTTTCACATTACGGCATAACGGGTTCAGTCTATAATACGAAATGTAGTATAAAATTTAGGAACAAAAGAACTGATTATTTTACCTATGGAATTTTAAGAGGTGTACGAGAAGGATGTGTCCTTTCCCCTCTGCTATTCAATTTATATTTGAATGAAATTCCCAATCTAAGCTAATCTATTAAAAGCATGCAATACTAATGACCCAATTATTCTCCCAAGTGGCCATGGTTTACCATTAAAAAACTGTTTCGATACGTTTTTCAGAGGCCATACCGATATTTTTCAATCGCCTTAAAAGTGTTTTTTACCCTGTCCGATTGCTATAAAATTTTCACCAGTAATTGGCTTTGGACTGAAATTTGTGAAAATGTAGTTTTAAGTAAAATCAATATTACTATGATAAAAAGGAACAAAAAACTTTGAAATTGATAAAAGCCGAATTTTGTGTGATCTAGACCGGCTACTGAAAATCCAAAAGTAGGAACTTAAAGTTTGGTTTTTGGCAAACAATCTGCGTACGGAAGTAAAAATTCTGTATGTTTGAATTCGACTAAAACGAAAATATATTTCAAACCTTAAATTTTCAATAGCCATGATAAATTATTAAATAAAAATGTTATAAATGACTCAAATTATTCTTAAGTAGCGGCAGAATGCTGCTTAATATCATATTTTGATGCTAGGAAATTTTGGTGTATTTTCGTTCTTGTGATCTTTAAAACTAACCCGTTTTCTCACCACCTGTCTAAGTGAAACTTCATTCAAAAGTTTGACTTCTTGCGCTTTTTTGTAGATCTCTGAAACGACTCGAACGAGTTATTTTAAAATCTCTTCACATAACCTTATAATGTATATGATAATGTCTGAAACTTTCATTAAGATTGATTCATACGAACCTGTCAAAAATATGCGTTACAACATTCACTGTTTGGACGTCATGCTAATTTTTCCAAAATAATGCGCACTGTACATACTTCCATGACTAGTACATTTTAGTTTGAATTTATCGCATCTTCTGAATGTAAAGCATTGACAATACTCACGATGAAATGTATTAGTCATACACCGTATTCACAAATGGCGAACACGCGGGAAAAAACTGGTGCCTAGTCATGAAAGCGAGGCGTTGGAGGATAAACAAAAATTGCAAATGAAGACTTTCAGAGAACTTGCAGAGTGTTTAGCACGGTTTCCACCTAAAATAACTTTGTATGGACGTCTTTTTAAATACAATGACGTGGGATGTCTTCTGCTTTTAATGTTTAGTACTGATTTGCTGTTTGCAATCAAAAGGGACGCGTATATCTTCAAGAAAACAGGAAGATTTTGTAGGTTGCCGAAAAATCAAGAGCCCGACTAGTGGGCGATCGCTGCAGAAAAGCGGGAAACATGTTGGCCCAAACTTCACACTGAAACCGAATACGAAAGCCAGCTCATTACAATTCTGTAAAACAGAAATAAAAACAGATATTGGTGGCGAGAAAAAAAGAAATAAGTGACGGATATATGGCCTTCTTGTCAACGGAAGAGACCTCCGCATTACACAAAACAGGTCAAGTCGAGAGCGGGTGAAAGATTCATTCACGAGGCTCCTTCATTCATGTCAGTGTCATTTTGTACATATCTACTGTATATACTTGTGTAGATATGTATGTCTGTATTTACAACTTCCTTTGGATCATATTAATTCCGTCGCTTTGGAGTGAATTGTTAGAGGTACGTTGGCAGAGCTTAAAGCAAAAATCTCATTGCGAAATAAAATAATTTATCAAAATTAGAAGCCCTAGTGTGTGAGTCTTATAGCTTGCTATTTGCCTGGCCTCCTTTGGGGCATTATCTCAGAGAGCTCTCGGTAAAAAAAAGTGGTATAAAGCTCACATTTTACTAGGTTAAACTTTTAAGGCAATGTTTGTGTCAAGACTGAACACAGCAAGCTTCTGTTTCGAATAATTAAATTCGAGTCTGGATCCGTTTAAGAAGACCATCATTTTATTTATTTATGTATTCTTTAACTTTAAAATATTAAGGAACATAAAGTTAAAACTCTTAATAGCCAAAGATAAGAAATGCGAAAATCACTCGCTGAAATGATTTGTGGCCGGCTTACCGAGTCTGCCGAGTAACAAGTTGAAATTTTGAGCATATTCCACTCGATCGCTCCTGCATTTATACTAAAAAAAATAGTTCTAATTGATGTCCTTCATCGATAAAGACCAGAGAATAACGTCCTGGCAAACAAAAACCAAAAATAACTTCATCGAAACCTCAGTCACTTCTTCATTCCTGTCTTCCTTTTTTCCATCTTGACTTAAACTGTTTTGTTCAATGACAGACGTCTGATCTCTTGCGTTAACAAGTAGCAGGGGCGGATCCAGGATTTTTTTTAGGAAGGGGTGCACTCGTCTCTTGCTGTACTTCAACACTAATAAACCACATAGTTTTTTTTTGGGCAGAATACCAGTTGTATTAGAAAACCGCAGGTCATCTCAGGGAGGGGGGGTGCGCACCCCCTGCACCCTCCCCCTAGATCCGCCCCTGAGTAGGCTATATATCGGTCGCTTATTTCCTTTTTTCTTGCCACCAAGACTTGTTTATATTTCTGTTTTACCGAGTTGCAGTGAGCTTGCTTTCGTACTCGGTTTCAATGTGAAGTTTGGGCCAACATGTTTCCCGCTTTTCTGCAGATGATCGCCCCTGCACTTGTCGAGCTTCTGATGCTTCGGAAACCTACAAAATCATCCTGTTTCCTTGAAGATATACGCGTCCCTTTTGATTGCAAACAGCAAATCAGAACTAAACATTAAAAGCAGAAGACATTCCACGTAATTGTATTTAAAAAGAAGTCCGTACTAAGTTATTTTGGGTGGAATCCGTGCTAAACACTCTGCAAGTTCACTGAAAGTCTTCATTTGCAATTTTTGTTTATCCTCCAACGCCTCGCTTTCATGACTAGGCACCAGTTTTTTCCCGCGTGTCCGCCATTTGTGAATACGGTGTATGGATATATGTATTGTCCGCGTTAATTTGGACCATTTCGAGACATTTTCGAAAGACGAAATTTGTGCGATTGTGCAGTTGTACAAAAAAATACCAAGAAAGCGACGAACTTTGGCTTCTCAGTGTTTACTGGCAGGTAGAAATGATTTTCATGCTGAATTTGATTATACAGACCGTTAAAGAGCGGGTGTATTAGACAACCCTCTGAAATTGCCACAAAATCGTAAAAATGCACTTGACAAAATGCCCGAAATGCTACTGAACTGTCAGTTCAGCTGTTAGTTCAACTGCCGGCGGTTTTATACAGTATTTGTGAATTTTGTCTAACATAATAGTATAAAAAATGAGTTTACTTAAGTGGAAGGAACTTGGTAAGAGATTTGAAACTGTGCTCGTGAGCCCATGTTATATACTACTAACTCCACTAACTCGATACTCGAGCCTTTTGTTTGTCGACAAATATATACTTTTGGTGTCTTGATACCAAATTAAGCTTGAATTGGACCACCTGAATCGCAAATGTCAAAGATAATTTCGTGCACACGAATTAAAACTACTGAGTAAAAAGTAACGAGGAATAGGATTTATGTTAAAATACTTTTTAATTACAATGTACTCTTTACAGCTATTCTTCCTGCTTGAAAACTACATTAAAATTGCATCGAGGTTTATTAGGAAGGGTAAATTGCGTGAAGAGGTTCTGATGGCATGCTCGAATCAAGTAAAACGTGTACCGTGCAAGCGTTTCAATTTAAACTTGGAAAAGTGGGCGTTTCTGGAAATGATTTTTTACTTCTAGCTGTGGCGTTAACTTGCGTTAATTTAAAAATTACATAGCTTTGCTACTTTTTGCTAAAAGGCTACTTTGAGTAGTTACCGTAAAATTCTTGTTACAACTTTTACCGGCTTTTGGGTGGGGAGGTAAACGAGTAGCCTGACTAGCAGGCCTCAAAAGGGGTAGGGAGGGATTGGGAGGAAGGAAAAAAAAGGGAGGGGGATTGGGAAGAGCGGGCCAGTAAATGAGAAGGCGAAAGGGGGTTGGTGGTGGCTAGTAATGGGTGGATTTAGAAATAGAACAGAAAAATATTCAATTTTAGATGTCGTGAGCATAAAACAAACACACCCAAATAAATGCCCGGTACGTACCCTATACGAGCAAACTCTTCGAGGAGTGAGGAAACGGGGGTGGAAAAGAGAAGAAAAGGTTGAAGAGGTCGTTATCTCTTACTCGTAGGTTACCCGGTACCGTGACGAAAAAAAAAAAGAAGAAAAGGATGAATTGTAACCGGTGTGTGTGCTGGTAGGAACTGTGGGCTTATACTGCTTATAGGCGGGTTCTTTCGTTTGCATGTATTGGGAACAGTAAACAGTAGGCGGGCTTATATCTGGAGCCGGGGGGAGGGGAGCGTTATAACCTGAAATTTTACGGTCTTTTTTATCATAGCTTAGGGCAAACATGTTAGGCTCCCGACGGAGCTCCAAATTTTCTTTTGTCAGACTTTGCGTAAATGCCTTCATCATATTTTGCGCGATATACAGCTTGTACCACAGCGAAAAGAGTTTCTTTGGCCGCCGTTACATTGTGTCCAAGCGCTCTTAAGCCATTTCGTATATCGTCAGGAAAATAATAATCCGTCTTGCTTTCAACTTCTACATCCATTTTTGGTACAAGTTCTTCGTGAATTCGAGGATCGTCCACTGCCTGTGATAGGTCCCTTCCAAACCAAAGCTTGTTCATCAATACCTATGCATGATAAGCAAACGGTGCGTGAGGAACTGAGCAATTTACCTCTTAACATAAATAGTGACGCAGTAGGATTTGGAAGTAATCATCCGTCAAGCTACAGATGTAAAGCTCAAGAATTAACTAAAATTATTGGAACGAGAGATGGTTGGTTGGTTTTTTCATGGAGAGCTGAGGTGTTTTTTAATAGATCTACGATATCGGGGGGAGGGGGAGGGGGAAAGGGGAAGGTAGGCGTGAAAACGCCATACCTCAGTATTAATAGTAAATTAACGCTCCATGAAATTAAGGTATTGGAAATTAACGCGAATTTAGTATAGAACTACTTTCAGATAAAGAGAATTTATGCAAAAGAGGAAATGATGGAAATTCACAAAGAAACATGATTTAATTGGTGAGCCAACAGAAACCGAAGTTAAACGTATAATCTGAAAAGAAAACTTTCGTCTTGGTACTTTCCCTAAGAGTATGAAGGGATTCAAGTGAAAAATCCCTGCCACTTCTAGGATACTTCACAGTTTCACACTAGTGGACCTCCACCCTGATAAAATACTGCTCTTTCTTGGTGTTAATTTCCTATACACTCAAACCTCGTTATTTCGGATACGTACAGTCGAATATGCGGATATTCGACTGTAATAAGGTATTTTCTTGCCTAAACCCCAACCCCTCCCTCCTTCGTCCTTTCGTCTTATTCCCACCCTATAAATCGCTCTTTATGTTTTCCTCAGGGTTCCTTTGCTTTCAGAATGAAAGATGCCTACTAAAATCACTGATACAGTCGAATCCCGCTTAACGGACACCTGCTTAATACGAACACCTCCTAACTATGCGCGAGTAGTTGGGAAGAGTCAAATGCCCAACCCGCCCCGTAGCCTGCGTCGTAGACAGTTTTAATCCCTGATATAGAGGACTATATGGAGTTCTCTAACTGCTATGGATCTCGAGTAACAAATATGGCTTCAACGTAAAATACCGCCTCCTTACCTCGGCACTATTTTAACCCGTCCCAATTAACTTTTCCCTGATTTCAAAATCAAAGACTGTGAGAAAACAAGTTCCGAGCGTCCGCTCGCCAGGAAAATACGCTTGCACTGCAAAATCTCCCGCACGTTTCACCCCAATTGAGGTAATTAAGATTTTTTTGCTTGAAGAGTCCGGAATCCCACCAACGTTTGGATTCCGGAATCCCCAGCGGGAATCCAGTGTCCAAGTGTCCTATGGGGGGACATGTTTATTTCTCTTCAGATATTTCTAGTGATTGGTTTTGTCATACCAGTGAGACAGCCGTGGTAATCCTTTTGCCGCCAGACGCACCAATAATAAGCTGTACGTCACCTGTATCGTTCGTCAAAATGGCTGGAGACATGGACGAGAATGGCCGCTTGCCTGGCTGGGGAAAATTAACCTCAGATGGATAAACACCATCAATCGCTGTGTCGTTGTTGGGAATATCAAAATCTGCCATCTGATTATTGTATATAATCCCCGTGAGGTTGGATCGAAACCTGCATCCAAATCTGTCAAGATACACGTCATGTTCGTGAACACTTTTCTCATAACGGTACTCTCCTGGTGTACCATACTACATAGAAATTGTCATTATATAGTCAACTCTCTCTTAGAGTCTCACCTTTGGGACCCGCTCTACGAAGGAATCTGCCCTTTTTGAGAGATGTCCATCTTGTAGAGAGTCCACTAAAAGGAGTAAGAAAAGGCAAGGACCAACTCTAAGTGCGCCTCATGCAGTGCAGTGCCGTTTTCCTCTGTGATAGAAATTGCTGTGTTGAGAATAAACGATTGACAAGCCTAGCTATTAAAGGCGCTTAATTTCTGAAGCCCGTCGACGCCAGTTGACTCTAGTATAAGACGGACACCTCGGACTGTGTCATGGCTGTATAGTTCATTTTGTTAATAGTGCTAATTACGCTTCCTTAAGCGCTATGGAACTTAGCGTTGGCTTGTAAACGGCAAAATCACAGCTTCTTGTTCAACAAAAATACTTACCAAGGCAGACACCTCACTAAAAACGGACGCCTAGAGTTGGTTCCTGTTTTACTTTACTCTCTTTAGTTGACGCTCTTTTGGATGAACACCTCTTTAAGACGGACATATCCTCAGTTTATAGAGCCGGTCCCACAGGTGTCCTTCTTAGGGCGCTTTCGATTCCAAATGTTAAAACTGGCCGGCCGGGCCATGGACGGACCGGTCATTTTGAAAATGAAACAGGCTTTTTCCAAGAGTTTTTGATGAAAAACGATTTTCTGCTTCGTGGATGCTATTTAAGATTTGACTGATCTGGCTTGATAGCTTTCATTAAAAGTGAATTTCTCATTACGAAGGAAATGGTCTGGCAGGTCAGTTCTGACAAATGAAAAGCGCCCTTTGAGAGACTTGACTGTATGTGTTGAGTCTACTGTTTGGTCCTTGTGTTAAGGTACACGAGGACAGAAACCGCACTACGAACTTCTTCTATATTAATTAATATTGATATTAATATTAATATGGAATATATCATATCGCATGGGTTAAGTACAACGTACTTCATTGGGTCTCAACGTACATCTCTTTAAAGATGCCAAAGGGAATCACACTGTGATTGTTCAGACCGAGTTTATTATATCGCCATAACATTTCATGCGCAGCTCATGCAAGTGACGTGTCGATCGATTATTAATGGACCACTAAGGCATGCAGCCCAGATCATCCGTGCGAGATTGCCTCATGCATTGTGCGGTCTACCTGTTCGCCTGTTATATCACTTCACTTATCATACATCTCATGCAGATAGCTCGCAAATGGACCCATAAGAGCAGCTAGTGGCGCCATCGTATGCTAACGTTCAAGCTTACTGTTCATGTATAATGTAAAGAGGACACCTGTTGTCCTCTCATCCGCGACATTAAATTACATTGCATTGCATTTCAATGCGTTGCGTCTCGTTGCAGTGCAATGTATTACACTTGATTACATTGCACTGCCCTGCATAACATGACATGGCTGATAAAACTAATTGTTATATTCCTAGGCTTCCACTCAACTAAACCAGTTTTCTTTTCGTGAATGAACACAACAACACAAACATGAAGTCTCAAGCTATAAAAAGCAACGATTTCCCAGAAGAGAAATAGTAGCTAGTGGAGGAAAAAGATGCAGATAATATAAGGAAAGTACTTTGTAAATCATTCATTCAGTGGTTTTGAGAATTAAATTTGGGTTCTTATAAGTAGCAAGTCGACTGTTTTGATTCGCTCCGCTAAAGCGTATTCTTTTGTTGCTGTTGAAGTACGTTGAATTGAAAGTTTAGAAATATAACAAAACACTTAACGTCAGGTCCCTCGGGAAACCAGTTAGTTTAGTCTTCCTCGAGTCCTGATGTTCCCCTTGACCTCGTCTTGGGAAACATCAGGACTCTCGGGAAAACAAAACTGTCTGGTTCCCTCGGGATCTGACATTAAGTGTAAAATATAACATGACATGACGTAAAACTAAATTGCATAGAGAGGAGAAGCGCAAATTCAAATTTCTGAAATTATGGGATTGGTTCACATGTTCAGAAAGAACAAGACGAAAAAAGCCCCCTTGCCAAAACTCGGGGCTGTTAGTGACAACAGGTGGGAAGATATAAGCACGGTTTTGCTCTGATCACTCCACACAAATACTTCTAAAACTGGCTTGGATTGTAACGTTTACGATCCAGGCATATTTTAGAAGGATTTATGTGGGGTCATCGGTAATTTGACCTTTTGAATTAAAAAAGTCGATTCAAAATACTAATTGGAGAAATTGAATTTTCTAATGAGGTTTTAAATCATCAAGCCTGTCGCAAAGAAGGTATTCCGCCATAGAGCTCTCAAGAAATTATTGCAATATCTGCAGTTTCCTCTCAAATTTGCAAACCGCCGACCTTCACCTTAAGGCAGCGATGTTGTCACTTTTTTTACCTACAGGATATGCAAAAAGTTTCGGACTAATTCACTATTCTCGACGTATGTTAACTCGAATAAGTGCGGTGTTCAGGATGAACGTTGACTTGGAGCCCTGGTCTTTCACTAAACTAACCTGTAATTGATAGTGGATGTCACAGAAACTGCGTCACCGTTTTCGGCCAAAACAGCCAGGTGTGTAGTGCCATAATCAGCATCAGAGTAGGAGCTCGTGTAACAAGACACGTTGTTGCATGTTCCGTTGTCTTTAATTTTTTGACGCAAGTCGTCGCCCAACTGTTGTTCTATCATCTCTTGTGCAATCTGAAAAGAACGTAATGGAGGAAACAGTTCAGACATAAAATTGTTAGAGCTTAATAGAGGCCCTTTCAGAGCGGGTCTTGTTATCCCTTATCACTGTAACTCTTAGAACAGATATGTCTTATCCCTAAATTTCCAAAAATGTTATCCGTTAACAGGTGGAGGTGCTGGGGTGAACGTGCCCTCCTCCCCCGCTCATTTTTGCGCGAAATAAATAAAAACGAATTGCCAAAACTTTTTAGCTGCATTCATGGTAGAGAATAAAGAAGATATAACTGAAGCAGCTGAAAAGATGCAAGAACTATTGCGATTGTTGCGGCAGAGGCGCATTGTACAGGCCTGATTAATCCGTTTCCAGAAGCGAACTTTTGCGCGTGTAGTCCGGCGGCGAAGCTCTTTGCGCGATAGCTAACTAAGACAGAACCAAGACGATCGGTGCGTTCATTATACACTGAGCCTACGGAAATTGCCGCATTATAAAGATTATAAAAATTCCAACAAAATTACCAAAAAAAACTTGCGCCTACAATCGCTGCTACAGGAGCTGCTGAAACTTTTCTTTAAAACTAAAGCAGCAAAAGTCGCACGAAATCGCTCTTCACAGAGCCAGTTATCTTTGGCCCGCCGAGCAGAGATATGAATTGACTTTGTTCGAAGGGCATTTGACAAGCGGACCTCTCGCGGGAAAGAAGTAATCTTTTCGCTTCTTATTTAAAAAAAAAACGAAGGAGTTTATCAATTTTTGAAAACAGTTCTAGAGTTTATTTGGTAAAAGTACGAGGCTACGAGCGGAGGGAAAGTAAATCATTTTTTTTTTCTTTTGTTCGTTCTTTATCAGTTTCAGGCCCTATCGACACTAATGCTTTTTCAAAAGTATGCGTTTTCGTTGTCATAAAAAACCCATCGATCAATTCGCGTCCACACTACCGTTGTGATGCGTTTTCGAATAAAACGTTCGAAAACGATAGAATTCCATGCGCATGCCACAAAGGGATCTACAAACACACCCACCTGCGATATTTTGGTTATCGTTTTCATTTTGATGCGTTTTTCGACCGTTTTCGACCGTCCACACTAATATGATATATACGCTGTTTCGTTTTGATCCCTTTTCAAGAGTGTTTTCAAATCGATGCGTTTTCGCTGAAAACGTACAACGAATAAGTGTGAATTAAACGGGAACTTAGTTCAATATGGACATAGTTACCATGCAGCCATTGTCTCGTGGGTTTTGCGAATATGGTAAACATGTTTTTCACAGCGTATTTATCAGCAAGAGGGCCAGCCCGCCTGCTTATATAAAGCGGATCAGCCCGGCTTAATGGGCTGGCTCACCTCACATAAACAGGCCATAAGGTGTTACCGGGAGCAAGGGTGGAAATAATTTTATTATATAAACACCAATGAAAAACCAAGAGAGCTTTCGCGCGAAAACTTAATATCTTCACATGTGAAAATAACATGATTGTTATCTTCACATGTGAAAATGTCACCGTTTCTATGGCTTCATAATAAACCGCACCTTTCAGACCTAAAAACTATTAAAGTAAAATGGTTTGTTATTTCATTGGTGTTTATACAATAACTAGAACATTACATGGCGCTTGGAGATACGAAATTTCTCTTCGCTGCGCTCACTCGTGAAATATTTTTCAACACTCGAAGAGAAATTTCGTATCTCCGCGCGGCCATGTAATATCAACTATATCTTTCACTTACCTCGCTTATATTCTTATCCATATTAAAATCAGGATCACCAAGTCGACTTCGCCAAGCATAACCAAACTTGAAAGCCTCAATGATCCTGTGATATGTCAACACGGAGGCATTTGTGCCATCACGGGCCGATGAAGTCATATTGTAACCTATAAAATAAAGCTCTTCTACTTTAGTTGTTTCAGGTAGCACTGTTATAGTTGAATTCATGGTTTCTGCAACTTAGGCTGCGAATACATACAGCTGCCTCTCATCGCCCCCGGCGCTGGGGTAGGGACCATGGGGAACTGGCGTTTCACGAGGCGGCTGTATTTGCACGCTATCTGCAACTCGTTTAACTTGCTGATGAATGAATGTTCCCTTGCAGGTTTTTTTGCTCTACAACTACACACTGAAGAAACTTATCGTTAGCGCGAACCAACCCCCTTCCGCATTGCTTCCTGTATATTTTCATTTAAGAAAATGAATGATGTTGTTGTTGAAAATTGACGATGAACAGATGAAAAAAGTAATGATTTAGAGGTACGTAGCACATCGACTGAGTGGTACTTCGTCTACCTCATTCCTGGTCGAATTGGAATTTGAAAATGTTGGTTTCAGAAGAGAAGGGACAACCGTAGTACCAGGAGAAAAAATTCTCGGAGCAAATGAGAGAACGAACAAAAACTCAACCCACATACGGCGCGACGCCGGAATTTGAACCCAGGCCACATTGGTGGGAGGCGAGTGCTCTCACCACTGCGCCCCCTTACTTCCCTCATGATGATGATGATGATGATAGCCAGCGAGAAAGCTCTCTGACAGTTTACTCGAAGGCTGTGATGAAGATGAGGGGGAGGAGAACAGAACATCTACCTACCTTTCAGTATGTTTAAGATGAGACCTAGTACAGCGCCACTTGTAGGGGGAGGAGTGAGGTGCATTTTCATCCCCGCCAGTTCACTTTCTAGGGGCTCCCTGATCTCTGTTGTGTAGTTCCTCAGATCTTGTTTAGTGACCTGTCCCTTTATTCCCTGGTATCGGGAGATACGTCTTCTTATATCTTCAGAGATCATCTCGGCCAGAGACCCATTATAAAAGGAATAGGGATCGTCTCGAATTTTTTCCAGTGTTATCGCGTACTTTTCGTTTTTGATTATAGTACCCTTTTTATAAGGCTTTCCACTTTTGTCCAAGAGGAGTTCCCTAAAATGTCACAATAAATAGCAATAGAGAGAAGATCACAGCAGTACTAAATAAGGCACTTTTTTAATACCTCATATTCTGTTTAGAGGCAGCTGTTACAGCACTATGAAGGAGTATCATGAAGCTATTATATTATGATCTCTTCCTAGGCTACATGTACAGATTATAACTCATCCAAGACATTTAAGGATGTCACCTTAGGGACCCTCACTGCTCGGGACTTGTTATGCCCCTAGCGTTCCTTTACGTCCTACAGAGCCAAATCAAAGAAGTTCTGTGCGACTGGGAGCCCCAAGGGAGTACTCAATATAATATGTACAATATGGGGAGGCTCGCCTAAAAGGGGTGCTTTTCCAGGCTTCAGATGTATAAAGGGGTAGAGATGTCACTAGCTGAAATATATATGAAAGGGGTGGGAAGTCTGTCATTTCGATCTGTAAAAAGGCCCAAAAGGGCTAACAGATGACTTTTATAGCTGTGATCGAGAAAACGTTATGGTCTTGTAATTTATTCACATTTAAAGGGCAGTGCATTTACAGCAGTTAAAAGGAAAGCAAAGTTTGTAGGTATGTGAAAGGAATCAGTACCATTTCACAATACTGAAGGTATACGAAAGGGTACCTGTCAAAAATGGTATATAAAAGGGTGAGGGGTTAGCCCTCGGGGCGGAAACTCACCGTATAGTACTTTCTCCAGTACCCCCCTGGGCTAGGAGCCTACCACGGTTCCGTATGAACCAAACATATTTTGAAAAAGGATACTCGACACGCCTCTAAAATCTCAGGCGCAGTTAAATGCCAAAAAGAAAAAAAGGGAAAAAATGTTATGAAATGATAGCTATTGCTCACCTTAATCCAGGATCCGTTTTTATTATCTCTACCATATTCAAGGCTTCGGCCACTGCGTCGCTTATTTTAAATCCTTCTCTGGCTAAGTTTATGGCAGGTTTGACTAGATCTTTCCAAGGTAACCGACCGTATTCCTTCCAAGCTCGGTATAGGCCGCTAACCTCTCCAGGAACAGCGATGGCAAGACCGCCTAGAAGAAAGCAATAGGGAGTTTAAGCAAGGACGTTTTAACTGAGCGATACACGTCAACCGGAAGTGGACGTTTTACATTCTTGGGCAACGATTTTTCCCAAATTTTCTGGCAAAATCGTCTGAACAAGAGCAAAGATACTTAGCCGAATACCCATTTGGTAGCATCAAGTCAAATTAAAAGGGAAAAGGCATCACTCCGTTCGGTTGACGTGCGTCTTCCAAAAACGTCTTTTATTATAATTCCAGCAGGAAACCATGAGCAAGCACTCCATTCAAACGGCGGGCAAAGCGTGTCTCGCGCATGTGAATTTGCTATGCATCCCTTTTGGGTGCCGCTGCGGTTGGGTGACATCTCCACGATAACCCGAATTATTTAATTATTTTTGTAATAAAGGGAAATAGACTCCGCTTTTGGGTGACATGCCCGGGGGCAACTCCCCATATGAGCCATACAGGTATGTGCCACCCCAAAGGGTTTGGTTTTTGCTTCGTTTTGGTCTGAAAACGGGTATAGACTTTGCTCATTTTGGTCTTGAACCGGGTATGGTTTTTAAGGGAAGTACGGGAGAGTACGAACGTATTTATTGTTTTTTGTTGCTGTTCGTAATCTAAGTAATGATGACATAATTTCTTAAAGGCCAGGCCGCGGTTGTTCCAACGTTGGGTAGCGCTATCCACCGGATAAAAATTATTTAGTGTATAGCGCCATTGGTTTCCCAAATACTTATCCACTGGATAATGATTTATCCGATGGATAGCGCTATCCAACATTTGAACAACCGGGGTCTGGTCTGAAAATGGAAACAGATTTTAGAGGCCAGGTCTAAAAACGGGTGTGGAAAATGACATTTTTTGCTCAGGATTTGGAGAACCGAGCGGCACACCCCTACCAAGAATTCCTAGCAATACCCCCGCCCCCGGGGAACTCTACCAGAATAACCCAAATTAGGGAAATAAAACAAAGAACCCTCCTCCCTTATCTTCTTCTAAATTTAGCTAAATATTATGGATCACAAAACACCCTGGTAATTACAAACGAAAAAGAAACAGATCGAGTACCAACCACGTTTAGACATTTCTTCCCCAGTTTTGTTCGGTGGAAACATATCAGACGTTGTCGCTGCCGGAAAAAAAATACCACTTACCATATTTGGACATGTTTTTCCCTGATTCGGTTGGTGGAAACATATCAGACGTTGTAGCTGCCGGAGCAGTTTCTCTAAAGTCGATGACTTTAGCTTTCTTGAGTTTTCGAACATAAACCAGCATCACACCACCGCCACCAACTCCAGAAGAGTGCATGTTTATAACTCCCAGACAAAACATAGCGGCGATGGCTGCGTCTACGGCCGAACCGTTACGTGCCAAGGTATCATTGCCAATACGGGAACATTCTTTAGTGTCGGTAGCAACTGCCTGTCTCTGATAGGGTCCCCCCAAAGACGGGGGCTTGTCGGGCTTTTCAGGCTTTTCTTCGTCTTCTCTGGTAAAATACCAACCAAGAAAACCAGCCAGTCCGGCAAAAATAAGCACCACAATCACTATTATGCATATGATTCGCTTTCTGCCAAAGAAAAACACAAAATTAGAGTTAGTTAACCACCCTCTTACTCCCACGGATTGCCCGAGAAGAACACTGTACCCCCAAACGCAAACTGCATTTTGGCGCGAAAAGATTTCCCTTCACTCGAACTTTCTGGTCAATATGGCGGACAATTCTAGCTTTATCTGTTCAAATAATGCAATTGTAGTTCTGCTCCGTTACATTTGCCCAATTATTTTATTCAACAATCTAACTTATCTATAAACAAACTATGTTTAGTGAAAACGGCTTACTCTAATAAATTGATGTGGCATGGGCGATATTGGCCTTCCAATTTCTACAAACAGTTATGCAAACATCCCGTATGTACAGTGTAGCGAAACTCTTATCATTTCCGGTTCCTGTGTATTTTTACTTCCGCTTCCTTTCGAATTGAAATTTTGGTTTTTCGAATTCGAATATGTGATGTGACTTTAAGTTCAAATTAAAGGCTTCATTTGGAATTTTGTGGAAGATTATAGTTGCATTGTTGACGATTAAGTAGCTTATTAGAGTGGCGAAGGTGAATTGAAGTTCAATCATGTAATTTGCATTTTAGTTGGAATGGTGATTTGAACTTCAACATCCGCGATGTCGAGTTTTCCCTGTATAGTTTCAACTTGTTCAAAGTAACTTCAAGTTCGAATGATGCTATTTCGACTGCGTTCATTGCGATTTCAAATTCATATGACGAGATTTCGACATGGATAGTCTAATTTTTGAACTTCAAATTGTATTTTATTTTCAATTATTTTTGTCTGCAAATGTACGCCATAAATTCGAAAAAGCTAAAAATTCAAAAAACGTCGCGGCGTTTAATCAAATAAATCCGGTAAATCGGAGTTAATCCTAAATCTAAGCCATTTAATAGTTAAAATGGTATTGGTAACACGCGAACGTAGTACTGAATATTGACGCGCAGTATTCGCATTTGTTTTAGCTAGTTAGCTCCAAACTTAAACGGTTAAGTAATTTTGTCTATCTAATGTTGTTCACGTTGTTTAACGACAGTTTCTAGTCGTTATTGGCTTACTGTAGTTTGCGAAACGAAATGAAACGAAACGAAGTGAAAATTTGTAGTTTGCGAAATGAAAATCTGTAGTTTGCGAAATGAGAATCTGTAGTTTGCGAAATGAGAATCTGTAGTTTGCGAAATGAGAATCTGTAGTTTGCGAAATGAAAATCTGTAGTTCGCGAAATGAGAATCTGTAGGGAGGGAGGGAGGGAGAGCAAATTTGGCTGTTCTCTCTTTGTGGCTGTTTAGAACTGTCAGATTACTGAACCTTTATTGAGTCATTGTTGAGCAGAGTCATGTTCATAAATTTCAAGCCGCTGAAAAGTACCTTTCTCCTGCTGTGCGTGATTGCACATGCTGAATCCACCACTAGAAGTTTGCAGATCATGATATTACATTGTAGGTTCCGGTAATGCCTTCATTTTGTCTAGCATGTCATTGAAATGTGCCAGAGACCACATCATCAGCTGATATAATTCGTTTTAAGAAACCGTAGTTCGTGGATTAGTCTTCAGATCTAATCAGGAACCTTCATCAAAAAAGACTATTCCGCATTGTTGCAAATGCTACATAGCTTTGCTGGTTTGAAAATGCAGAAATCTAGGACGATTGACTTTTTGAGGCTTACCACGCATCAGACCGATGGTATCAAAACGGACCAATAATAAATTTAGATGCTGGAAGATTCTTATTCCAACAAAGATACTATTCATATGAAAATGTATATTACAATGGAACCTCTATAACTAAGTCCTCGGTCTAACAAACTATTTTTTTTACTCCAGTATTGGTAAAATATAAGGCAATATGAAAAAGAACCTCGATAAAAGTTAACAAAACTCGTTATAATAAACATATTTTGCCAGTCCCTTGGCCCTTCGTTATATCAAGGTTCCACTGTACTTAATTTTATTTATTTATTTTTCAAAAAGTGGGGAAGCCCCTTTGCCCTGCCCTAGCTTGGCTCAGGCTATATAATACCCCCAAAATAGACTATGTTAAATCAGGTAACAAAGTACAATAAAATTGCAGCCTTTAAACAGTATTACAGCCCTTGGCTTGTTTATTGTAATCACTAGTATGACTAAAAAATAATGGATTTGTATATTACACACGGTACGTAAGACCTAAACTTGTCCTCCAGGTTCTTAGCTGGGGCCTCACATTTATCTTGTGATCAACAAGTGTGCAGATCAATTGTTACAGTACGGTGGACAGTGCCTTTGTATGTGGTAAGGGGCCTTGAAACTTCTTCATTTATAGGAATAACATTAGTCTATCCCATATTAAAAGATACACCAAGGTTTTTTGAAGTAGCAAGGCTGTACTCTAACAAAAATTGAAAGGAGCCCAGGGCTCCAGACCCGTGAAATCCTGGGTGCCCAGCACATGATTTCTACGAAAAAAATTTCCTAGTTGCCCCGGAACAATAGTTAAGCACCACGGGCCAACTGGGTGCTGGTAGAGAATAACCTTGAGTAGTGAAACATAAAGAGGCAGTGATGAGCAGGGGCCATGAAACTATCTGATACATGTACATAACCCTCAGTTGCAGTCAATATTTCAGTGACCAAGCCTTGGTGATTATTCATTTTTAACTTGCAATCTGTCAGTCACATCACTTCAGTGATTCAGTGCATGAGTGCCCCTGTGTTGGAGTTTACATCTCAAATTATGATATACTATAATTATAATTATTATAAGTATTCAATGCGAGATTGCAAAACTTTTCATTATTCACTCAAAAGAATAACAATACACAACATTCAAGATGGGATCACAATTTTATTTTAAAGACCACATCAGTAGATGGTAATAATTCTTGCTGTATTTTACAAAATTGCAAAAACAGTTTTTGCAATAAACTTGTCTGGGCTCTCTTGCTTTAGCTTGTGGTTTGAGCTGACAATGTGTCTGTGCAGTTTAAAACAGGCTCTGAGTTTTGGGAAGTCTAAAATTGACAAAAAGCATACCTTTCATTTGTTTAGTGAGGGTTATGGCGACCAGAATGTTGGAAATACTAAGGAATTTACTGTATATTAAAATATCATACCATTCAGATTGCACCATGATCCTGATAGATTTTAATACTTTATAATAAAAATTTACAAACAGAGCTTTAAAGCTTGTTATAAAAGCTCAAAGGAATATTAATAGTGGTAACAGAAAAAAATAGTACACTACAAGAGCAAAGTGTGAGCGATAATAGTGTTTACAAAACTAGAGGGCTCTCTGTGATCTGTTGCCTTAGGGCAAATCTTTTTTAAAGTTCCCTAAAAGTTTCGTTGTCGTCGCGTTCCAGTCGAAGAAAGGTCTAAGCAAAAATCACCACCGGCGATATAAATAAACTTAGCGTTGGGGACATTCACTGCAAGTTTTGCGAACTGTAAGCTTACCTCCATGCGCTTCCTCTTTATGCGAAGATTTCTTTCCGGATTCAAGATCTGTCAATTGATCTTTCTTCCATATGCTAGCAAACGATCCAAGTTTAATTTTCCGCCACTGGTTTGCGTTGAAAGCCCCGTAAATGCTATTGCAGCACTCTTCGAAGTTATCTTCGAAGTTATCAAACCGAGAAAACAGCGAAACTGTCCTATTCCTCGAATCTCACATTCAGTTGGTCAGACTCGCGTGCAGCTCAATTCTATCGATTGAAGCGGTTGCTTCACACATACGGAGCCTAATGTAGTAAGATCGAAAGAGTCGCATCGCAAGAACGCATCGAGGTGGGAGGAAAGGGAACATTGTTGAGCAGGGTTCTTGTAAGAAAATTGTCATGCTGTGTGTACTGCGTTAAGTAAATGACGTCACAAAGCAATTGCGTTGCGTACTTGGTAACCAGGCCACAGGAACATAGCGTTTTAATGGCGGACGAAAATTAATGGTTTTTGAGCGCCCAAAAATACCACTTTCCTTAATCGTATGAAGCTATAACTTGCACACCATGTACTTCAAGTACTAAACTGCCAATCTAGCGAAAAAAATGGTAGTCAAAGATTTGATCGTAGTAGCACTTTAAAGCTTACTTTAAAAGCCTTCAGACATTTTCTCACTGCAAATAGAAAGAACACGTTCCAAAGAATATTTAGTTATAATTCTGGCTGTAAAAGAAGCTTTGAGCGACTTTCTTGCCTCGAGTTCGCCTTTGAAAAAAGCAAACACTGGGAAGTCGGCTTAAAACAAAAACTTAAGCTTTAATCTTTAAGACTCAGGTTTTTAGAGACACCTTTAATACTTGTCTTCCTGAATGAGAATTGTTGTCTCTGTATATGTCTCACCGAATTATTTTCTTTTTTAATCGCTGTGCCGATTGTTTTCACTCGTTCAATGAACAACGCTTCCCGGAGTACTACTCAAAATGCCGCGCGTTAAACCAGTTGTAAAAATAAAAAATAAACATAATAAATTCTTTATTTTGTTGGAGCGTAACTGTGTTAATGTTCATTCAAACACTCTCCACAGCTAGCACTGCAAAAGTCAGAACCGGCTGGCCGGATAGGTGATTTTGGAAATTTTTTTTAACGGTTTAGCTAAAGCCCACGCGTGCTTCGATCGTCCTGAATATTGAATGATAGCAATTTGTTTTGCAAAATTGTGAAATACTGCATTCTGTTGTCTGAGGTCTATATGACAAAAACAGTGCCTCATAGTACTGTTTCACCTCAGATGTGATGTATAAATGATATTTAAGGTTGGTTTACACGCACCCAGATTTGTTGGCAAGATTTTTTAGAGTAAACTTGTCGAACGAAATAAATTTGGCCGGAATTTTTTTCCAGGCGTTAATTAACCTACGGTGATCGAGAGCCATTATGGCTCTTAATAAATGTGATCGAAGACGATTGCCAGTTTTTGGGTGTACATATCTGAGGCTATCAACTCGATGTTAGATTTGGTTCACTCTTGGGCTGTTTACAAATTATTTTTCTCTAAAATCACTTAACCTTTCCCTGAAAAGTCACATGAATGTGCTCTAAAGTTAGTTGAATTGTGGAATACAAGTTTATTGTTTGATTTAAATTATAAATGTATTAATGGGAGCCTCGCTTTTAGCCTTGGCTAAATCTATATATTATTGTACATCCATATTTTGATTAATTGACAGTTCTAAAAATAGTGTTTCTGCTGACCAGTATCGCCTGACCGTATCGCGGGATTAGGTATCGACCCACTGAGTTCGAGTGTTTTTTGAAGTTATCCGCTGACAAGTTGCTACTTTTCAAATGATCGCAGGCTCAAGTTCAATTTTTTTAAAATGCATATGAAATAAGTCGTGTTCATGAACCGAAATTTTGATTTTCGAACTGATCTCGGACACGAAAATTTAACCGGCATTTACATGCAGGGAAGGCAATCGCATTTGACTTTTCCCACTGTCTGGCGTTGATCACGCTCTACGTCCAATTTTTATGTTCTGATTGGTCAAAATTTGACAGGTGAGTTCATGCGAAATATTTATGCAGCTTCTGGAAACTTGCTTACTGATAGCTGAAGCTGACAGAGTTTTGTGTCATCTTGTGATGTTTTAAACTGTCTTTTTCTACTTGATGTACAAAATGAAATACAGCTGCTATCAAGATTGTTCTGTCATTCATGGCTGGTTCGTTTATTGCACTTTTTGTTGACAAATGCACCGCTTGTCAAAGTCACTGGAAATCCAATTTCGGATGGCATCGTTTTCAAAAATGAGCTTACTCACTTGCCCTTGCTTGAGGCGTAAGAGGGTTGAAAAGTCTCAAGCGATTCTGGAACACTTGATGACCTTCAGAAGCAGCATCTCGACTGGTAAGCCTGAGCAGTTATTGTCTTTGATGTGTTTTTTTTTTTCGGTTTCCTGAAGTCGAGCGTATGGTTATGCGGCTTAAGTTTATACCCCGGGGGGGGTAATCCTGCGAATTTTGGATAGGGGTGTGCCGCGAAGGTTCGTGAACCCTAACCCTATTTAAGGACTAAGAAAGCGAAAACTGATACCCTTTTTAAGGCCGAAAGCGGAAAAATGACACCCTATTCAAGGAAAAAACAAAATTATTAATGGCATGAAAAGGAAAACTTTATTTCTTCTTTGTAACATTGGGTGTATAGCATCAAGCATAAAATACCAGAATAGGCCTAGTGTAAAAAAAAAAATGTTCGTTTAGGCGGGCGTTTTCACACTCCAGTATTAGATAATACAATTAAGCTACCCTATCTAAGGACCACACCAGGGACACAGAAACAAAAGGGTCAAAAACGATACCCTATTTAAGGACCGAGAACCTCAAAAACCATACCCTATTCCGCGGCACGTACCTATATATCCCATATATGGGAGTACCCCCCCGGGGTTTATACACGAGCAATGATCTAACCTACAATAGTATCAGGTTTAAAAAGCCTTTAGACTACCCTGGGTACCGGAGGTTTTCCTCGCGTGCGGCGGGAATTTTCGGTGTTGGCCGTAGGCAGCGCTTTTCGCGCGGGTCACTATAAAAGAGGGTCTCAATGGGGCGGTGGCTTTTACGGTTATCGGCTAAAATTTTGGCCCTTTTACGGCTATCGGTTAATTTTAATCAGTTACGGTTAACAAAAAAGTTAAAAATTAACTTATTTTGTTTCAAAACGTTAAATATTAATTAACATATATTTTTTGTATCTTTAAATCAAAATACAGGTCTTCGGATCATCTCGGGATGAAACAAGTTATTCTTTTGAAAAATTTTAACATTTGAAGTATTTCACTTCTAACATTATTTTACACATAGAAATGTCAATAGTCTTTGTGAAAAAGCAAAAGCGGACACGCAAACGCCCACCTCAAGGCCAGCGCGCGACATCATAACAGATATGGCCGTTCTCACTAGACGGATTATTTGCGTGAGACGAGTTATCGGTTTGATGATTCGCGTCATAGATAATACTTCTTAATTTGAAAATGGAATAGTTTTAATTTTGAATGAACAATCCGCCTGACTTTATCCGTGAATTTCAACGGACAGTTTGAAGACGGGATTATCCGTTCCAGATAGCCTGTGTACAGCCGCCCCCTCCCCCCAGAAAAATCGGAGAAGGGGTGTCTGTGGGGAGGGCGCGAATGAACAAAGGCTAGTCTTAGACGGATAATCCATTTCTAGCTCTAGCGTGAAAACGGCCAATAACCAAATTCCCATGTCCAGTGTTTTTAATGATAGCTAAGGACTGTACGGAACGACTGTCTGCCGTTGCCTTATCGGTGGGCCTCATTATTCCGCGCGGCTAATGCGTTTCGGGTCACGTAGTCCAAGCGAGTTCGTGACGGAAATGCCTTGACCGAGATTGCAATCGCAAATATTAATCCCTAGCAAGAAGCCACAATTTCGCTAAGGAAAAAATTAGTTCCCCGAGAGAGCGCAGGTAATGGAGCCTAGGTCTTGGTCAACACCTTAAAGGCGCTTCGCCTAACGTGCGTACGGAGTCACACTAGCCGGGAAATAAAAAACGCAACCATAAGTGAGTTTAGTACCTTCCTTACAAGTAGCAATCTAGGGAACAGTTTCTTTTACGGTTAACTCTTTTTTACTCTATTTACGGCTAACGGTTAACACTTTTCAATTTTTACGGCTATCGACTAAATTTTTGGCCGTTTTACGTCTATCGGTTAACCACATTGAGACCCTCATAAAAACTTGACAGAAACCGGAAACCGCGCTAGAAAAGTCTCAGGAACACAGGGTACCTTTAACCTTTTTTTGACCGCAAATTCAAAGAAAAGGTTCCGAACATAGGCGTACGGGAAATGTTTTGCCGGGGGGGCGGTAAACCATTTGCCCAAAAACATCTCGCAAGTTGCCCAAATTTTTACGAAAGAGTCGAAAAGAAATGAGGGCCATATTGCAACAACATAGGCCGTCCTGGCATATGGAGGTGGCTCGACACAGTTTTTCAGGGTCAATACCAAGTCTGAGCATAAACTACGTCGCCATAAACAAACATTTGGAAAAATTGCGACCACAGTTGTATTAAGCCGAAAATTTGTCATCACCAGGGTTGCAATGACATCGGAGTTGTCATAGCAACGAAATGAGTCCATTACCTATTTTACTTCAGCAATGATTCTCGGGACGGGAACCTTACAAAATCGTTCACAGGAGCTTTTTTCTCCAATACGGTCGCCTCGATGTTCGTGAAGTTTAAGCAAACTCAAACTCTCAATACTTGTCTTCGTGAATGAAAATTATTGTCTCTGTACAGTCTGGTCTCTGTACATGTTTCACCGAATTATATTTATTTTATTGATTGTTAGTAGTCCCTCTCGCAATTTTTATCGCTGCACCGGTTGTTTTCAGTCGTACATTAACATCGCATGCAGGAATACTCAAAACGCCGCGCGTAAATATCACTCGCTTTTAAAGATTACACATAACAAAACCATAAACAGTTTTATAAATAAAGGGAAATAAAACCTAAACATAACAAATTCTCTATCATGTTGAAGCGTAAATCGTAACTCTATTAATCGCACTGCAAATTTGGTGCCTGTCAAAAGTGAGAACCCGTCCGGCTGGCCGAAAAGGTGATCTTGGGGAATTTTTTTATCGTTTTCACTAAAAGCCCATACTTATTACCCTGCCTATCACATAGAACCAGATTTTTCTAACTGAAAAGTTCCGGTATTATGGAATTCTCTTCATGAAAACGTTTTATATAATGTGGTCAATGCTATAATTTGTTGTGCAAAGAAAGCGCGTGCTTTGATCGTCCTGGATATTGAATGAGTGCAATTTGTCTTGCAAAATTGTGAAAAACTGCAGAATTATAGGTTTAAATAGGACAAAAAAGGACAAATTCTGTCCGAGGTCTGTATGATAAAAAAGGGGCCTCATAGTACTGTTTACCTGAGACGTGATGGAAAAAAGTATGTTTAAAAGGCTGGTTTACACACAAAAAATCTAGCCTGATTTTTTATTTTGGTCTCCCTTTTAGACAGAGGATTGTAACGTGTAAATTGGCTGCCACCAAGGACCATCGTGGCGCGTGTGTTTCTTAAAATTATATTTCGGGGTTGTCCAATTATCCATAGTCCCTCAAACGGGGCAATGTTGGAGAGACTGGTGAATGCCACATTATGATACAACGGCTAATGCAAATACAATACATGAATAGGTCTATTTGTTTTCCAGGCCTAATCTAATCTACTGTGATCGAACATGATTGCTATTTTTGGGTGTACAAATAAGACTACACTGTAAAAACTGATCAGTTATGGTAACTATATTAAAAGGTTATAACCAGTTACAAAAGGTAATTTTAACCTAAAATAAACTAGTTAAAATCGTAACCTTTATGTTATTGGTTATATAAACCAATGATCAGCTGTTGTTGTGACGGTTATAATTCCGTTAGAACATTGAATGGTCAAAATAACTTTTCATGGCAGTCAAAATAACGAAACCAAATAGTTAAACAAATGGTGAAAATGTGCATCGAACCTCAAATCAATGGGTTAGAACCTTTAACAATTTGTTGGTCATGACTTACCAATAATGATCTGTTATTTAGAGCTATGAAGTAAGTTTAAACACTGAATGGTCAAAACTGACTTTTCCGAGGGGTTAAAATAAACGGAAAACCACGGAAGGAAATGGCTACACAAATGGCAAGTATGAGTTTACAAAAACAGAACATAAAACTTTAAAAGCCTTTTACCCAACCTCCAACACAGACTTTTCCCAAATAATCAGCATTTATTATGGGATTAGGATAGGTTAAGATTGGATAGCCAAATTAACTTTCCCCGACAGTTAAAATTTTTTAAATGACATGCATGCAACTCGCGTCTTGCTTCAATCGGATTGGGCTAGTACGCGCTCGCGAGAGGCGAAGCCGCGTGACGCGAGGACTATTTTCTTCTTTGACGTTTCTCTCGACGGACTAGCCGAAGAGAGAACTAATCGTCATCTAGGTGAAATGATTCTTCAAGATGTCTTGCACAGGTTATGTCATTCAAATCAATGCTGAGCGCCTCGAGAAGCCAACAGCCATCCCCGCGTGTCTTCAAAAAACACTTTCGTGTTTTTCACCGGTCTCAAAATTCCAGCGGTTTTCCGGTATTTGTCTTAAGTGGCCTAAGGGACGGACCATTAGAAAAGTTATGGGGGGGGGAATTTTCGAACCGCAGGAATTTTTTTTCGTTCTCAAATTCCTTGTATGAATTTTTTTTAGCCCATAGCATGAATATTTTTCAGGGTTAATTGGCGTGCACGAATTTTTTTTCATTTCTTTTTCCCTTGCGCGAATATTTTTTTTGTACTTCGCCCGCCCCCCATAAGTTTTCTAATGGTCCGTCCCTAAAGTAACTCTATTTCGTCACGTAACGAACCCTAAATGGCGTTAAATGTTCTCAGTAAATCAAAATTCTTACTCAGTAGCCCTTTTATAAGCTTAAACTATTTCATGGTTGGAAACATGTTAGGCGAGTTTACTCGAGAAACAACTAAGGGTTTTCAGAAAATGTTGCATTGTTCCTGTCAACTGTAGTATGTTACTTAACACCTTGATGTTAATCTACTTAGCTAGCCAAGGAGAGACTTGGAATTTCAAAATCAATGCCAAATTCGGCTCTCATAGTTCAGTTTTTTACTTTAACCGCCTTGCGCCAAGCTGAATTCAGTACTCTTGGTTCATTGCTGCGAATAGAAACATTTTATATTTCGCCTGGATAAGGCCCCTCAGTTAAAAGTCAATGGGAGCTCGTTTCTTAGTCACGTACAGCAATGGAGATGTGGCAAGTAAAAAGGTAATGTGATTTCAAATTTATGCAAGTCCGAAGACAACGTCTTCAGAATAGATCTCCCACTTGAATTTCAGTTCTTTACTGCTTCTATAAAATTCTTAGCTAACGTATACCTTGCAAATCTTTTATTCAAAGGAGGATGATAAGAAGATCATGGCGGAATTTACTTCAGTTGACCGCCTGAAATAGATAAGCAAAATATCTGCCCCGTCGACTAAAGACAAATCATGACAAACGACCACCAGCAAAATCTCGAAGACTTGCTTCACCGACCTTCACTGAAACAGCATGACCGGTATGTATTGCTTATTTTTAAACAGAACTCTAAATCGTTTTTAAAATTATCTTTTTGCAAATAAATAGACGCGTTTTGAGACAACCCCACGCACTTGCGTGGCCCTTTAGAGTTTTTGGAAATGTTCAGTACAGTTGCATAGATTTTGCAGTCTTCGGATGACCATCTTAATTGCAATATTGTACTGCTGTTACAGAGCTATCATACGCAATTACAAAGCTTTTTTTTTTAATGTAGCTTTCAGTCGTGCGTTGCTCACGATGACCACGCACACGCGTGCGTGCGCGTTCCCCACTTTAACTTAAAGCACAGGCGTATCGTTGAAAGACTGTAATTTTTGGTGCGTTAACCAGTGAACTTAAAAACGAAATATTTTCGTTTATTTCAGAAATATCACCAAATTTGAACGACTGAGGGAATAAACAACTTTGAATGAAGCTCGGCGAGTATCCTTATTTTCATTACAAGCAAGACAAGTCCTGATCCGGCGGATTAGTTACCCTCAACGGGCCACTGCTTGGAAGAGGATCTTTTTTTGCTTTTTAGTAGAAAAACATGGCTTGTAGAACAATGAAGGGCACTGGTAGTTTTTAGATCATATGCTCCGCTTCAATCATTAGTAAAAGAAAGAAAGTTACATGTACAGTGGGTGAGGAGTTGACTGTTCACCTTCAAGATCTTACAATTATTATCATTATATCATTGAATCTCACGAATTCGAAATTCTTAATTCCCTATGTATTTGACAAAGCATTTTTGGCAGAAAAGCCACTTACCATAAGAGTTTAATTTAATCAAAGTACTGTATTACTATTGAATCTGGAGTTACTTGAATTTTTTCTGCTTAAGGATGTTTGTGCTTTACAATCATATGTACAAAGTCTTGCTTTGCAGTCTTGTGAGAGACATGCAGTATTCCAATTTAAATTTGCCATAGTTTAGGAAGCAGGGCTGATTAAAAAAAAGGTTAAAGGCATGTTTATAGTGGAAGGTGCACTTAGCTAGTCAGCTAATTTACAGGCACTCCACTCAAATATTTAGAAACAAATAATTCAAATACAACATAACAGGATTAAAAACCCCAACTGGCAGAAGGCAACCAGTTGGCTATTTACAAGCGTGGCCGAGAATTTGAACTCGGGACGACCGAGCACAAATCCAGCAAGTGGCCAGAGCGGGACTCGAACCCGGGACCGCCGGATTGCGAGTCCGACGCGCTGACCACTCGGCCACGCTGCCTCCCTTGTTTAATCATTTCTTGTCCTACTTTACGTACTTGTATTAAGAAACATAAGCATTTTTTACTTGCAATGTTGTATGATTATCTTTTCTTTGAAGTTAGTGGTCAACTATGTTGTTGTTGTTGTTGTTTGTAGAGAACGGTTAACATAACCATTAAAAATGTTGCTGAAGACTATTATTGTAAGGTTAATGTAATTCATTATTATCAGTTAAAACAACCGTTTTCTTCTAACCCATATGCAATGGTTAAAGCTACCACCTCTTGACTATTTTAAATGGGTTACCACAGATTCATCACTAGTACCCAAAAAACTGGTTTACCATGACCACAAAAAATGGTTATTATAACTTAACTGTATGGGTTGAAACATATTTATCTTTTTATTTCGGTTATAACAACTGTAAATTCAAAGTTAGTTTAACCAAAAAGTAGAGGTTATGACAAACAATTATTAAACGTTGTGAGAAGTGGCGTGGGTGGTAGAAACAACCATTTTTAAGGGTTAATGTAACCCATAAAGAAAAGTTATTTCAACGAGAATAAAAAAATGGTTAACCTGAACTATATTTTTTTGGTTACTGTAACCTAATAAAATACGGTTACCCGGGATTCAAACCTTAACCATTTTTTTGAGGTCACTATAACTGGTCAGTTTTTTTTACAATATATTAACTTGATGTAAAATTTGTTTCACTCGACCTCTTGGACTGTCAGTATTTTTTTCTAAAATCTCTTAGCCTTTGCCTCAAAAGTCACATGAACGTGCCCTGATCTGTGGATTACAAATTTGTTGTTTGATTCAAATTATGAATTTATTAACAGGAGCTTCACTTTTAGCCCTGGCTAAATCTATTTATTATCAGGGTAGAAAATGTTTGATCACGGCAGTAAAAAGATATCAAGGTAGAAAATGTTGCATCACGGCAGTAGAAAGATATCAAGGTAGAAAATGTTCCATCACGGTAGTAAAATGATTTCAAGGTAGAAAATGTTCTATCACGGTAGTAGAACGAAATGAAGGGTTAACCTCAACTTTAATTAAACAGTTTCAGGTATGGCGCGCCGTTTGTTTCAAAATTATTTGTAAACGGAATGTTTAATGTGGTGTGACATATCCAATAAAATGTTCCCGTGATAGCATCAACTAACCATTGTTATTTTCACCTTGAGTTTCGTTAGTGTTTAGCAAATTCCTTAACTGTGAATTCTTTCCAATAAGTACCCCTTTGAGTAGTCACATTCCCAAAATTCCTCTAAAACACCGTAGGTTACCTCAACAATGGATTTATTTATTCCACCCTTTCCGCGAAAAAACTGATTGCCATGAGCCCAATTACGAAGCCCGGGCTTAGTATGATGTTTAGGATCGATATAAACAACAGTTAGTATAGGTGATGAGGCTAAGTTATGGAAAATTATGCAAATCTGTTTTTCTCTTCAAGGAGATATATTTCTTACAAACCTGATCTTTCTGGGAATTATACTAGAATCTTCAAAGTAAGGCCCAGTTCAGACGTCGTGCTTCTGCCGTGCCGAACTTAATTGTAATTCGGTTCGATTGTAGCACCGCAGGAAAACAACTTTGATTCAGACGTCGTGCCAGAGTCGAACCGAATTCAGGATTTACTAATGCCTCGTAACAATTCTCCTCCTAACTCCCCCTGGGAACGCATTCTCGCCAAAATACATTAATGTAATTTATGAATTTTGCTTAGCGCGGTAGAAGCACGACGTCTGAATCGCTGCCGTGCCAGAGCCGTGTAGCACGGCAGCGCTTGTCCAACTTAATTGCTTGCCGAACTTAATTCAAAAGTTTGATTCAGACGCCGTGCTTCTGCCGTGCTTTTGTCGAACTTAATTCCCGAATTTAGTTCGGCACTGCAGAAGCACGACTTCTGAACTGGGCCTAACTCGTTAAAGCTAAGCACTCACTGAGCTCAACACTTAAAAACACTGATTCGAAAGAGGAACTGACATAGTTAATATGAACGTATTTCATCCGAGTCAAACCATGTGTTAGATTTTAACTGATCCTTGAAGACCCAAACAAGTAAACAGCATTGTAGTGTGTCATCTAGACGAATAAATAGGTAAGGCCTGGTTCAGACGCCGCTCCACTCATGAGCCGAACCTAACTGATGAATTAAGTACGGCAAAAGAGCGGCGTCTGAATCAATTTGGTACTACAGTTTTAATTTGGTGCCGCAAAAGCGTTAAGTTCGACAGAGTCTGTCGCCCTTTTGTCGGACTTAACCTAGGTTCGACACACGGTACGCCGTCGGAATCAGATGTCGCGCCAGTGTCGCTTCAAAGTCGAACTTATTCAGTTAGGTTCGGCACATGAAAACTACGGCGTCTGAACCAGGCCTAAAGCGACCATGCGACAACTAGTTTCAATGTAACGTAGTTCTACTTTGTTCTCAATACAGTAATAAGGCTCAGTTCTTACCCGACAGCCATAGCAATGCCTTCGCTTGTCCGTGCAAGATAAAAGCTGCTTGTCAACGACTAAAAGTCGCCATGAAACCCCAATTTATTAGGGGGAAAAAAAATGAAAAAAATGTGCAGATCAGCAAAAATAAAAAGGGAAGGAAGTTTCAGCCCTTCCTCGGGTAATCCCCTAAACTGTAACTGTTGTAAATATATTCAAAGCATGAATCATAAAAAAAATAATAAATACTTTCAAATACAGCACAAAGCTTGCGTAGGCCTTTGATTCGCAACCAACTTGTCGCGAAGCCAGAATCTTTCCCCGGTGTGAGGAGGGAGGGGGGGGGGGTACTCCCCTATATAAGCCATATAGGTATGTGCCGCCCTAAAGGGTATGGTATTTTGGGGCCTTCTTGGTTTGAAAACAGATATACACTTTGCCCATTTGGGTCTGGATTCGAGTATGGTTTTCGAGGGAACTACGGGAGCGTACGAACGTATTTATCGTTACAGTGATTCTAACTGAATGAGGAAGAACAAGAGAGAAGGAGCTCACTCATGATCTCTTGGAAAGATGCGAATTCGAAATGCATTTCAAGAAATTCTTTGTTTACGCTCTGGTCTAAGTAATTATGAATAATTTTTGCCTAAAGGCTAGGTCTGAAAACGGGTATGGATTTTTGAGATCACGCCTAAAAACGGGTTTGGGCAGGGGAAAATGACATTTTTTGGTCTGAAATAGAAAACCAGGGGGCACAACTCCACCAAAAATTTTCGGGAGTACCCTTCCCTCTGAAATCGTTCCAAAGAAGTCTGCCATGATGCGCATGATTTGAAGGTCACATGAAGACGAGGCTTTGGTTCAAACTCTCCATCCCTATGCATAGGGATCAAATTCCTCGCTCTCCGGGAGACCCTGATTATCAAATCCCTCCCCCCCCCCGGGACGGCGAAGATGTCAAGTGCCGGGGTATTTGACCGATACAAAGTTGTCCCCTATATAAGAATTTATCAATCTCGTCACGCGATCTTTCGTGAAGCACGGGAGCCCTCCTGCGTGAAGGGATTTTGAGAAATTATCAGGCTAGCCTCCCAAAAAGATCTAACGAAAGGCGGGAAAATCATTTCCTTACCTGTCAGCAATGATAATGACTTCCATGCACACTGAGAAAAGCCGATCGATAGAACTTCCATCGAATTCCCGGAAAAACCAACATTCATTCCCCAACAAACCCTTCACGGTCGTATTGTGCTCTTTAATACTTCAACGATGCATAAGGAACTACTACTCTCTACTACTATACAGTCGAAACTCCAATGTAAATGCCCCTCCAAGAGTAAAGGGGGGGGAAGGGCACTCAAGGAAAGTTTTGGTAAAGGTGTACTCAAGCCCTGACCCTGTTTGAAACAAAATAGTTTATTTCGCTACCCTGCTTAAGAGTAGCCTGTGAGAGCATCTGTTTTTTTGGTTTTAGTTTCTAATTTCACCAGCCGAGAAAAAATTTCCGTGACGTCAGCTGTTAGTGACCAATCACAATTCACCTTGCGTAGTCGAAGAAGTAATGTCCTGTGTGCGAGTTTTCTGTGGATCTCGCGCAAACGCGGAAAATATAGACTGCGAGCAGTCTCTTATTTTTCTTTGCAAAGTTACTGCACGCGAAACCTAAGCACGCGAGCGGCAAAGCCGCGAGCCGCGAGAAACGAGGGCGTAAGTCTCGTCTGGTCTCAATCCCTTATTGTAATAATAACGTCGTGGTTTGCAATCGCGCTGGATGAGATAAGAACTAGACGGATTTTAAGGGAAAAGGCGGACTGCAAGCAGTCTACGGAAAATATGGCGGAAGATGCGTTGAGGAAAGAGTGGGAAGTTTTCGGGTTGGAAAGACTCAGCAAGCATCAAAAGGAAGCCTTGCGACTTCTCGGTTAAATCAAAGAGCTATGTTTTCGTGAATCTAGCTTCCAACTGGTTTCTTAAAGTCTAGTATTTCAGGCTTCGTCTATTGTGTATTCTTTTGTGGAACTAACAAACTAGGCTATAGCGTGTGTACAGCCGCCCTTTTTCTGGCCTGGGAACCGCAGAAGTATTTTTTTTCCTCAGAACGACGCGTTTACGGATCGTGGGACTGAGTGATGAAATAAGCACCAAAAGGATTGCCTACGGAGTCAATGATTTATCACACCTTGTTCTTTTGATCATATTCAAAACGTTAAACGTCCTAATGACGGTAGACGCATGATGCCGTTTGTTGCTTCTGTTCCCTGACGTTCCTCGCAAAGGCCTACGTCACACACATAGTTTAAGAAGCCGTTGCTTCACAAAGCAGCCAGTATTAAACGTCACAGGAAACCTCGTTATAGCTGCGAAATTCACGTTCCAAATCGTATTTGGTAACTCTCGCCAAAATCCAAGACACGCCAGCACGCGAGGTCACGATGAGTCACTCGATCGAGCTGCATTCTATCCTTTGATCTAAATGGCGAACATCACAACAAAAGGTCTTATACGTTACGGAAATCGTTTTGTCGCTCGTGTTCGCAGACGTTATTTTTCGGAGGGAGAGAAACGACGACCGGAAATACGTCTGCGGTTCGCAGGTTAGCTTTATAGAAGAGACCATATTTTATTATTATTCTAATTTATTTCGTTCTAATTACAGACATAAGTAATTTTCATGCAAAATAACATGTTTCTGTAAACTATTTTTTTCCTTTTTGTGGCGTTTACTTGCATAAGAAAGCATAAGATTAAAAAGCTTTATTACTGAGAAGCTACTTTGAGAAGTCACCGTAAAATTCCGATTACAACTTCGTAGAGGCGTTTGGGTGGGGTGGAAAATGAGAAGAGTAAGGGGCGTGGAGGTGGTAGGGGCTAGTGTGGAACCAAACGGATAACAAAAAAATGCCGTGAGCTTAAAACAAACACATTATTAAACATCCTACTATGATATATGCTCGGCACATAACCTATTAGCACGCTCTTGGAATATGTTTGTGGGGGGAGGCAGGGAGGGCGATGAATCGGAGGTGAAAGAGAGAGAAAACGGACACAAAGGTCTCTAAGTCCTGCACGCGGGTTACCCGGTACCGAGAACTAAAAAAGAAGAAAAAGAGGGATTATAACCGATGAGTGTGGTGAGGAGAGGGGTGGACTTATAGGAGGGTTCTTTTATTTGTACTTACTGATTACAATGAACGGTTGACGGGCCTGTATCTAGAGCGAAGGGGAGTTATAACCTGAAATTCTACGATATTACTATTCACAGTTTTGAGCAAACATGTTAATCTCCCGCGGGAGCTCCAAATTTTCTTGGGTCAGACTTTGCATAAATGCCTTCTCCAGGTTTTCGATACACGACTTGTACCACAGCAAAAGCAATGCCACTTGCCACCGTTACATTATGTCCGAGCGCTCTTAAGCCATCTTGTATATCCTCAGGAAGACGATAATCTTTGTTGTTTTCAACTTCTACATCCATTTTTGGTACAAGTTCTTCGTGAATTCGAGGATCGTCCACTGCCTGTGATATGTTCCTTCCAAACCAAAACATGTTCATCAAGACCTATACATGATAAGCAAACCGTCCCTGAGCGTGAACTGAGCAATTTACCTCTTACTCGGCATAAATATTAGAGAGATAGGATTTAATAATTCGTACAACTACAAAGAGCGTAGGGCCTAAGAATTAACAGGAGTTGTTAGAACGAGGGATGATTTCTTGGTTTTTCATAGAGAGGTGGGGTTTTATGTCTAACAGGAGGGCCGGGCAGAGAATTTATACCCCCAAACCACACATCGTCCTTTCGTCTTACACCCATGCAACTTAACATTGCGAGTAAATTTGGGATACAAATGGGGGGAGGATGGATTGGCTCTTTCACCCTAATAGCCGTAGGCCACCCCCTAGTCTGCGTCACAGACAGTCTAAACCTCTGATAAAGAGGACTGTATCGAGTTCTCTCAGTAGGGGACCGTGCAATAATTAGCGGGAGGGGTCTGGAAAACCAGATAGGGGGGCATTAAGTAAAAATAATGCCAAGATATGGGGACTCAAATCAAAATTGATCTTATCACAGGAGGGCCATAACTTTCATTTTACGTCATGTGCCTTTGCATTAAACTGTAAAAACAATTCCACATGCATTGTAAAACAGGGAATGTACTCTCAATGTTCAATGTTCTTAGAAAATGTGAAGTTTATATTAAAAAATGTCATCACATTTTAGACATGTTTCCAGATTTTTTAGTCCTCGCAAAAGAATTGATTTTTGTCCTAAAATTTCCATAATCCTAGTATCCATTACAAGGCCAAATTCAACTGAAAACATAACTTGCAGCAACATCTATAATTGTCCCAAACAAACCATTTGTACGTAGATACTGCCCTATAAGACAGTTGTAAGTTCATTCACCCTCAGGTGCAGAAGTCCCAGAATATCTCCTTCAGCAAGGGGGGCTCCTCCCAGGGAACAGAAAATGCGGCATGCTCTTTTTCTTCTATTTTCACAAGCTGCGAGCTTCCTCTTTTTCCCTTTTTTTCTCAGCTTTTTCCTTTTCTTGCTTCAGATGTTGTGGCCCTGGTGCCAATTTCATATTCGCCTTATATTTAGCCATCACTCTGTCCAAGTCCTCAACAAGATGTAACACATCCTTTTCAACGCCAGACTTGATATAATGTCGTTTCTCATTGTTGAAATTGTGAAGGCAATTTAGGCCAGTCTAAGGTTTGCCACCCTTCGTAAATAGGCTGTCATCATGTTTAGTTATGTTTTCTGTCATCGCATGAAGCTTATCCAAGATGCAATTCGCCTCCCTCTTGCATGGCCTTATGATGCAGTCATCATGGGGCTTTGGCTTGTACTCCTCTCGGAGAAACCTTCCAGCACAAGCAGGGTTGTCGGACAACAAACAGCGAAGACGATTTTCAAGCTTTTCAACGTCCAAAGTTACATTATATTTGGTTTGGGGGGGGAGGTGGGGTATTAAAAATTATCAAGAGACCAAGAGGGGGGCTGAACTAATCCTGCTTTTGCGAACGGGGGGGGCGGAGTCATCACATAATAAATTTCCCCTTTGAAGCTCATTTCTCAGTTCCCCTCCTGATAATTATTGCATACTCCCTCAGCCTATATTTATGCTGTAGGTCTCGCATGACAGACCGCAACGCATGCCTGACTACTATATTTCATCCCGTCCCAATTATTCTCTGTTCTCATAATCAAAGATTGCGGAAGAAAAGGCACTGAGAGACTAACAGGTTCTTAATTTTCAGGGACTTGGATTAATGTTTGCTGGGTATGTGCCACTGGCCTCTGAGAACCCCTACCCCGTTATAGTCTATTCAGTGGGCAATAATAGACCCCATCTTAGTCACTTTTGGTCAAAACTGCCAAATGTGTAATTTTTGCTATCCCAACTTCACTTTCTGTTTATGTTTCTACCTTATCAATACTTTAAATAGGTCATCCTAAAATAAACTGACCCATTTTTTTTTAAAGTGAATGAAGAATACGCTACTTTTCGCCTACAGTACAAACATTCTGGTACGTTTGCTAGCCGTAAATATGAAGACTGAACTTTCTTACCCCAAAAATCCGAAAATGTGCAATTCCATTCTAGTAACTCCATTGCAAATGCAGCCCCATTATAGTCAATCCAGTCGTGAAAATTCGACCCCATCCAGCGGCACATCCCCAGTAGCCTCTTATAAGGAAATACCCCCGAGGGCAGGAGCCCATTTTAAACATTTATAGTAATTCTTTTTTTTCATACCAGTGAGACAGCCGTGGTGATCTTTTTCCCGCCAGAGGCACCAATTACAAGCTGTACGTCACTGTTATTGTCTGTTAAAATTGCGGGGGACAAGGACGAGAATGGCCGCTTGCCAGGCTCGGGAAAATTAACCTCAGATGGATAAACGCCATCAATATTGTTCTTTGCATCGTTAGGAGTATCAAAATCTGCCATGTGATTATTGTAGATAATCCCCGTGAGGTTGGATCGAAACTTGCATCCAAATCTGTCAAGATACACGTCATGTTCGTGAACACTTTTCTCATAACGGTACTCCCCGGGTGTACCATACTACTTAGAAATTGTCATTATATAGTCAATTGCTCTTAGAGTGGCACCTTTGGGACCCGCTCTACGTAGGAGTCTGCCCTTTTTGAGAGATGTCCATCTTGTAGAGAGCCCACTAAAAGGAGTAAGAAAAGGCAGGGACAAACTCTAGATCCATTTTGTTAATAGTGCCAATTCACTTCCTTAAGTGCTATGGAACTTAGTGTTCACAAAGAAATTATTTGTAAACGGCAAAATCACAGCTTCTTGTTCAACAAATATACTTATCACCACAGACACCTCACTAAAAACGGACGCCAGCTGGAGTTGGTCCCTGTTTTACTATTCTCTTTAGTTGACGCTCTTTTGGGTGAACACCTCTCTAAGACGGACATATCCTCAGTTCCGGTCCCACAGGTGTCCGTCTTAAGCCAGAACTGGCCGGCCGGACAATGGCCGGACCGGCCATTTTGAACATGAAACAGGCTTTTCCAAGAGTTTTTGATGAAAAACGATTTTCGGCTTCGTGGATGCTGTTTAGGATTTGACTGATCTAGCGTGATAGCTTTGATTAAAAGTGAAATTCTCATTACGACGGGAATGGTCTGGCAGGTCAGTTCCGACAAATCAAAGCGGCCTTTGAGAGAGTTGACAGTATGCGTTAAGTCTAGTTAAGGTACACGAGGACAGAAACCACACTATGAACTTATTCCATATTAATATTAATATTAATATTAATATTAATATTAATATTAATATTAATATTAATATTAATATAGAATAAATTAGATCACATGGGTCAAGTAGAAGGTACTTCATTGGGTCTGAGCTTACAGCTCTCTAAAGATGCAAAAGGGAATCACACTGTGATTGCTCAGACCGAGTTTATTATATTGCCATAACATTTCATGCGCAGCTCATGTAAGTGAAGTGTCGATCGATTCTTAATGGACCACTGACGTGTGCAGCCCAGGAACGCTTACCATTTGTATGGACAACCCAGAAATTCCAGGGAGAATTTAAATAGAACTGTTCATGTTGGTGGAAATTTTCCGAAAAAAAGGTAATACCTTTCGAGGTATAACACTTTTGCCGTTTTTCCGAAACGACCAAGGTTTTCTGTACCATTTGATTGGATCACTAGAGCCAGGCTTCATGTCCAGAGAAAGCGAAAACTTTACCGGTATTTTGTAAATGGTACAACGCAATCCCGTTCCTGTTTTCGGTGCCCAAAAAAATACCAGTACCATTTGACGGAAATTTTCCACCGAAATTTTCGTGCAAATGGTAAGCGCTCCAGATCATCAGTGCGAGATTGCCTTGTGCAATGTGCGGTCTATCTGTTCGCCTGTTATATCACTTCACTTATCATACATCTCATACAGATAGCTCGCAAAAGGACCCATAAGAGCAGCTAGTGGCGCCATTGTATGCTGACGGTTCAAGCTTACTGTTCATGTCTAATGTAAAGAGGACTCCTGTTGTCCTCTCATCCACGACATTAACAAGATTACATTGCTTTGCATTGCAATGCGTTGCGTCTCGTTGCAGTACAATGTATTACACTTGATTACATTGCACTGCACTGCATAACATGAGATGACGTAAATCTAGATTGCAAAGAGAGAAGTGTGACGTCACAAAAATTCAAATTTCTGAAATTATGGGATTGGTAGCATGTTCAGACAAAAAAAGACGAATAAAGCTCCCTTGCCAAAAATCAGGCTGTTAGTGACAATTGCTGGTTTTCACTTGACGTCACTAAAATTGAAACTAAAAAAATTTCGATCCTACCTAGATTTTACTTTCACGATGCATTAGAGCAGCTGAAAATAATTTTCATGCAAATTTTGGCTTCAAAAGTGTTCTTGGTTTTGTGATAGAGTACGCTTGAATTTCTAAGCTTTTGCGTGACGCGGAATTTACATGACGGCCAAGAGGGCTGTCATGTAGGTTAAAAAAATGACTTATTTCAGGACATTTTGCCTCCTTTCATTTCCCAGATTCTGGACTTTATCTATTGAACGGTTTTGATTTTTATTTTGATCTACTTTGAAAACCAGCAATAGGTGGGGAGATATAAGCACGGTTTTGCTCTGATGACTCCACACAAATAGTTCTAAAACTGGCTTGGATCGTAAAGTTTACGATCCAGGCCTATTTTAGAAGGACTTATGTGGGGTCATCGGTAATTTGACTTTTTGAATCAAAAAAGTCGATTCAAAATACTGATTGGAGAAATTGAATTTTGTAATGATGTTTTAAATCACCAAGCCTGTAGCGAAGAAGGTATTCCGCCATAGAGCTCTCAAGAAATTATTGCAATATCTGTAGTTTCCTCTCAAATTTGCAAACTGCCGATGTTTTACCTTAAGGCAGCGATGTTATCACTTTTTGTACCTACAGGATATGCAAAACGTTTCGTACTTCTTCACTATTTTCGACGTCAACTCGAGTAAATGCGGTGTTCAGGATAAACGTTGACTTAGGCCCCTTTTTCTATCACTGAACAAACCTGTAATTGATGCTGGATGTCACAGAAACTGCGTCACCGTTTTTGGCCAAAACAGCCAGGTGTGTGGTGCCATGATCTTCATCAGAGTAGAAGCGGGCGTAATAAGACACGTTGTTGTATGTTCCGTTGTCTTTAATTTTTTGACGCAAGTCGTCGCCCAACTGTTGTTCTATCATCTTTTGCGCAATCTGAAAAGAAAGTAGTGGAGAAAAGTTCAGACATAAAATTCCTAGAGATTAAAAGAGGCCCTTTTAGGGGGATCTTATTATCCCTTATCACTGTAACTCTCAGAACAGATATCCCTTCTTCCTAACGGTTCCAAAAATGTTATCCTTAACAGGGGCAGGTGCTGGGGGAACTTGCCCTCCTCCCCGCACTTTTTTGCGTCAAATAACGAAAAATGTTTGCCAAAACTTTTTAGTTGCATTCATAGAATAGAATAAAAAAGATATAAATGTAGCTGAAAAGATGCAAGAACTATTGTGATTGTTACGGCAGCGGTGCATTGTACAGGCCTGATTAATCCGTTTCCAGAAGCGAATTTTTGCGCGTGTAATCCAGCGGCGAGGCTCTTTGCGCGAGAGCTAACTAAGACAGAGCCAAGACGATCAGTGCGTTCATTATACAAGCCTCCGGAAATTGTTGCATTATAAAGATTACAAAAATTGCAACAAAATTGCCAAAAGAACTTGCGCGTAAAATCGCTGCTGCATCAGCCGCTAAAACGTCTTTTTTAAAACTAAAGCAGCCAAAGTCGCACGAAATTGCTCTTCACAGAGCCAGTTATCTTTGGCCCGCCCCCTTGTTCGAAGGGTATTTGACTAACGGACCTCTCGCGGGAAATAACTAGTCTTTTCGCTTCTTATTTTAAAAAACAGAAGGAGTTCATCGATTTTTGAAAACAGTTATTGAGTTCATTTGGTAAGAGTACGAAATTAGATCTTTTTTTTTATCATTTGTTCGTTCTTTATCAGTTTCAGGCCCTGTCGACACTTTCGTTGCCATCAAAAACGCATCGATCGATTCGCGTCCACACTACCGTTGTGATGCGTTTTGGAATAAAACGTTCGTAAACGATAGAATTGCATGCGCATGCCACAAAGGGATCTACAAACACACGCACCTGCGATATTTTGGCATCGTTTTCACTTTGATGTGTTTTTCGACCGTTTTCGACCGTCCACACTAATATCATATATACACGATTTCGTTTTGATCCACTTTCAAGAGCGTTTTCAAATCGATGCGTTTTCGCTGAAAACGCTCAACGAATAAGTGTGAATTAAAAGGTGACATAGTTCAATATGGACATAGTTACCATGCAGCCATTGTCTCGTGGGTTTTGCGAACATGGTAAAAATGTTTTTCACGGCGTATTCATCAGCAAGAGGGCCAGCCCGCCTGCTTATATAAAGCGGATCAGCCAGGATTACTGGGCTGGCTCACCTCACATAAACAGGCTTTCAGGTGTAACCGGGAGTAAGCGTGGAAAAAATTACCTTTCCCTTACCTCGCTTATATTCTTATCCATATTAAAAGCAGGATCACCAAGTCGACTTCGCCAAGCATAACCAAACTTGAAAGCTTCAATGATCCTGTGATATGTTAACACGGAGGCATTTGTGCCATTGCGGGCCGAGGAAGTCATATTGTAACCTATAAAATAAAGCTCTTCTACTTTAAATAAGTGTAAAATAATTCTTTCAGGCAACTCGTTTAACTTGCTGATGAATGAATGTTACCTTGCAGGTTTCTTTGCTGTACAACTACACAGTGAAGAAACCTATTGTTGGCAGGCACCAACCCCCTTCCTCAGTGCTTCCTGTAGGCTCATTTTCATTTAGCAACTGAATGATGCTGTTGTTGATGATTGACGATCAACGAATGAAAAAAGTAACGATTTAGAGGTAACACATCCACTGAGTGGTACTTCGTCTACCTGATTCCTGATCGAATTAGAAATTGGAAATGTTGGTTTCAGAAGAGAGGAGACAACCGGAGTACCTGGAGAAAAACCTCTCGGAGCAAAGGAGAGAACGAACAAAAACTCAACCCACATATGGCACGACGCCGGAATTTGAACCCAGGCCACATTGGTGGGAGGCGAGTGCTCTCACCACTGCTCCATCCTTGCTCCCCGCATGATAATGATGATGATGATGATAGCCAGCGAGAAAGCTCTCCGAGAGTTTACTCGAAGGCTGTGATGATGATGAGGGGGAAGAGAACAGAACACCTACCTTTCAGTATATTTAAGATGAGACCTAGTACAGCGCCACTTGTAGGGGGAGGAGTAAGGAGCATTTTCATCCCCGCTATTTTACTTTCTAGTGGCTCCCTGATCACTGTCTGGTAGTTTCTCAGATCTTGTTCAGTGACCCGGCCCTTTCTTTCCTGGTATCGGGGGATACGTATTCTTATATCTTGAGAGATCATCTTGGCCAGAGACCCATTATAAAAAGAATAGGGATCATCTCGAATTTTTTCCAGTGTCATCGCGTACTTTTCGTTTTTGATTATAGTACCCTTTTTATAAGGCTTGCCATTTTTGTCCAAGAGAAGTTCCCTGAAATGTCACAATAAATAGCAATAAAGAGAAAATTACAGCAGTGTTAAATAAGGCACTTTTCCAATACCTCATATTCTGTTTATAGGCAGCAGTTACAGCACTACGAAGGAGTATCATGAAGCTATTATATTATGATCTCTCCCTAGGCCACATGTACAGATTATAACTCATCCAAGACATTTAAGAATACTACACTAGGGACCTTCACTGCATGGGACTTGTTACGCCCCTAGCGTTCTTTTACGTCCTAGAGAGTCAAATCAAAGAAGTTCTGTGCGACTGGGAGCCCCAAGGGAGCACTCCCTATAATGTCCGGCCCGTACGTAGAGGATCCACCTAAAATGGGAACCTTTTCCAGGTTTCAGATGTAGTAAAGGGCAGAAATGTGACTAGCTGAAATATATGAAAGGGGGTGGGAAATCTGTTATTTCGGTCTGGAAAAAGGCCCACAAGGGCTAGCAAATGAATTTTGTAGCTGTGAAAGAGTCCAGAAAACGTTATGGTCTTGTAATTTATTCACATTTAAAAGACAGTGTATTTACAGCAGTTGAAAGGAAAGCAAAGTTTGTAGGTATGTGAGAGGGATCAGTACCATTTGACAATAGAAGGTATACGAAAGAGTACCTCTTCTGTCAAAAATGGTATATAAAAGGGTGAGGGGTCAGCCCTCGGGGCGGAATCTCACCGTATAGTACTTTCTCGAGTACCCCCCTGGGCCCGGAGCCTACCACGGTTCAGTTTCAACTATCCCAATGAACCCAAAATATTTTGAAAAAGGACACCCGACACGACTCTAAAACCTCAGGCGCAGTTAAAAGCCAAAAAAAAACAAAACAAAACAAAATGTGATGAAATGATAGCTATTGCTCACCTTAATCCCGGATCCTTTTTTATTCTCTCTACCATATGGTCATTCAAGGCATCGGCCACTGCGGTGCTTATTTCAAATCCTTCTCTGGCTAAGTTAATGGCAGGTTGGACCAGATCTTTCCAAGGTAACCGACCGTATTCCTTCCAAGCTCGGTATAGGCCGTTAACCTCTCCTGGAACAGCGATGGCAAGACCGCCTAGAAGAAAACGATTGCTGGTTTTCAGTAGCCTGCGTAGCAAGCGTTTCCGTTTGGTTTGGGAGCAAAGAAAGACCGAGGTCGAGGAACGGGATTCTTGGCACTGGCCGCGCGAGAAATGAAACGAGTGACTCTTGTTCTTCGTTCTTTGCTCCTAAACCGCACAGAAACGCTTGCTACGCAGGCTAGGTTTTCAGTGTCACGCCATACAAAATTGATCAAAAATAATAATAATAATAATAATAATAATAATAATAATAATAATAATAAAGACCGTTCAATAGATAAAGTCCGGAATCTGGGAAATAAAAGAAGGTAAATACACAAAGACCCCCGCCAAGATTCAGGTCAGAAGAATATTCCGTATACGAGATATCCGAAAAAATGTTTTACCCAAATTTATAGAGATTTGTATGGAGACGCCATGCTGGTGCCCATCTGGATGAGCACCAACATGGCGGACGGAAACCAACAGAAACATCTGTTACCGAGTTTTGGTACAAAAGCGTAAATATTTTCCTCGAGGAACTCATAAACATTAAAGTAATACTTTTTCTAATACATGAACTGTTAAGATAGCAAAATTCCCCGAAATAAGTCACCTTTTTAACTTACATGACAGCTCTCTCGGCCGTCATGTAAATGCCACGTCACGCAAAAGCTTAGAAATTCAAGCGTACTCTATCACAAAACCATGAACCCTTTTGAAGCGAAAATTTGTACGAAAATTAGTTGTCAGGTGCTCTAATACACCATGAAAGTAAAATCTCAGTAGGATCGATAGTTTTGTAGTTTGAATTTTATTGACGTCATGTGAAAACCAACCAGCTTAAGCAAGGACGTTTTTCCTGAGCGATGAACGTTAACCAAAGTTATTATACATTGTAGTCACCATCTTTCTTCTCATTGGCTAAAAGCCTACAGTTAATTCTGAGAAACAGCGCAACCTACAGATTATTAACTAATCTGTACCTACAGATTAGTGAATAATCTGTAGGTTGCGCGCGCAAAGCATGATTTCCAAGAGCAAATCGCCTCAACAAAGAGTCACAAAGATACTTAGCAAGAAGACCCATTTGGTAGCGTCAAGTCAAATTAAAAGGGAAAAGGCATCACTTCCGGTTGACGTGTATCAGTTCCAAAAACGTCTTTTATTATAATTCCAGCACGACACTGTGAGCAAGCACTCCAATCAAACTGAGGGAAAAGCGTGTCTTGGAGGCGCCAAGCTCTCACAGCTCTAATCTCTTGAATTTGCCATGCACCCCTTTCGCGTGTAGCTGTTGGGTGACATCGATCTCCGCCACGATAACCTGAATTATTACTGCAATAGAGGGAAATAGACATGCGGACCCTGATCAAACAAATCAAGATTTCTTTTTCCTGTATGCTGACTGCATATTTCAATTGTAGGTACTTTAATTTCTATATATACTAGGATGCCTCCTCGGGATTTCGCCTTCTGGGCGAAATCGCTGCGGGGGCAAAAACGTAAAAAGAAAAAAATACCACTTACCATATTTGGACATGTTTTTCCCTGATTCGGTTGGTGGAAACATATCAGACGTTGTCGCTGCGGGAGCAGTTTCCCTAAAGTCGATGACTTTAGCTTTCTTGAGTTTTCGAATATAAACCAGCATCACTCCACCGCCACCAACTCCAGAAGACTGCATGTTTATAACTCCCAGACAGAACATAGCGGCAATGGCTGCGTCTACGGCCGAACCGTTTGCATTCAGGATATTATTGCCAATTTCGGAGCATTTGTCAGTGTCCGTAGCAACTGCCTGTCTTGAATAGGGTCCACCCAAAGACAAAGGATTGTCTTCTTTTTTCTTTTGTGTAAAGTACCACCAAAGATAAACACACAGTGCGACCACAATACATATCCCCGCCACCACCAACACTACTCTAGTTTGGCAAGGGGAAAGCTCTCTCCAAGAACTGAAAGAAACAAAAAGATTAGAGTTACCGTATTTCCTCGAATAATTGCCGGGGGCGATTATTTGAGGAAGGCTATTGTTTCAAATATTGCTCACCGGAAGTCGTGCCCTAAATATTCTGTCTTATAATCGCATGAAATCAAAAAACTATCACATCAAATAAAATGAAAAATCGGCCCTAAGTGTTCCAAATTTGGTTCCTTGATTAATTTTCAAAGCTTGAATCGTCAGTGATCAGTTTGGCTGGATCAGATTCTCCTTCAACTTGACAGGGAGGTGATAAAAGAAAGAGAAGATGGCGAGAGGGGCTAATATTCGGGGGAAGCGCTGATTATTTCAAATATTTTCATTAAACGGGGACGATTATTCGAGGAAGGCGATTAATCGAGGGACGGCTATTTATTTGAAGAAATACGGTAGTTAACCATCCTTTCACTCCCGCGGAGTGTCCGAGGAACACGTTCCCGTTTTCCTTAAGGAAAAATTACAAGTAAAAGCCGCCCTCGAATAAACGCCGCGTTGAAAACACTTAAAAACCTTTATTAAACGCCTTGGCGATGAATCGAATAAATTCAATAAATCAATAATAAATCCCAACTTTCAGTTATTGGTAACACGGACGAACTACTGAATAGTAACGCAGTATTAGTGTTTATTTTAGTTAGTTATAGGCTCCAAACTTAAAATCTGCAAGGTAATGGACTGTACGACCTCTCAATGATCCCGGGACCACAAATGATCTCGGACCGTAAATGATCCCCAAATAGGACCGCAAATGATCCCGATAAAAAATATGGAATGGCATGGATATTGGAATGGAGTGGATTTAAGAATGACGATAGACCTACAACACTGGTCAAAACGTCTTGGGACACTTAAGGAAATGAGGCGCGAAAACACACCTTGCTTATTAAAATCGTATTTTACCTGTTACAATGCTTGGAGTTGTTGTTGAAAGAGCCCGTTCCTGCTGTCTCCCCTCCCCTCAACTGGGGGGACGGGGTGGGGAGAGAAAATGCGTCATTTTCACCAGCTGTTGCGTTATTGTCCCAAGAGTTTTGACCAGAGTTGTAGCAATATAGGTTTTTATAAGTGCATGACTTGTATTCGTAACACAACTTACATAATTACATAATATCTGGTTCCATTTGTAGGCGTATATGCTCACTAATTTGGCGCATCTCAAACAGACAAAAAAATTGCGGACAATCGTGCTTCATAACGCAAATTTCATGAAAACAAAAACTGCTAGAGAACAAAGGAAGAACGATAAAGAAGTTTCACATACAAAAAAAAATTGAGGACAAAGTGACATTAACTCGAAATCAAGGTTATACCAACGGCCGATTACACAGTCCTCGTCGATAACACAAATGTTCATGGTAACTGTTTTTACAAGACCCCACAAAGCAATCCAGTCACCCCACTCGCTATCCATGGCCATTCTTCGCAGATAGGCCTCCCATGCGCCGTAATTAACGAATTCTCTGAAATGGGTTCCATCCGGGGTGACCGGTTTTTCCTTAATTGTCACCCCCATTTTACACTGAATATGGGCAAACTGAGGACAATATTGTCAATTCAGCATTTCTGGTGACCGGGTTTCAATTTAATAAATTATTTCTCGCTCTTAGTCGATCATTATTACACTTCGCTAAACAGCCGTACCAACCTAATTTGTATTAAAATTTGTTTTCTAACGGTTTCTTTACTTTCTCTTCCTTAGTAAAATCCAACTAGTGGTCTATTATCAATGCTGCGTTCTGATTGGTTGAGCTACCACTAGGCTAAATGTTATAACCCACTAGTAGCGAAAAGCGCCGGCTCTGAAAACCAAAACAATGGCGGCTGAATCACTTTTTGCTAGCTAAAGTTGTTTTGTCTCGATATTTTTGACCAAGTAGTTTGATTTTACTAAAACAATTATTCCTCTCGCCCTCATGACCTCTGAGTCAGTAGCCCATTCCGGGTGGCCTCATAGGCTATTGACTCAGAGCCCATTCGGGATCGAGGAAATCGAGGAATAATTGTTAAATACGAAGCTTTTTCTTACCCCTAAAATCCGAAAATGTGCGACTCCATTCTAGTAACTATGCAACTCCTTCGAACTCCGCCGCAGATATCATTCTTCTAGCTGACTCAAATGGAAAATTTATTGATATCAACAAATTCTCTCCCCATAAATCCGTCCGTCATATTTTCTTGCCAACCTTTACAAGCGTTATTCAACTTGACTTTCAACGCCTCGCCTTATTTTTATCCTGAAATCTTCACCGATCTTGAAAGAGACATTTCTTTTTCCAGTCAAACGCTTTCATTGTTTTAGCAGGTGACTTAAATGCACGAACCGGAACAGAGATAGAGTTTGTTCCAGAAACCAATTCAAAATATATACCAGGAGATCAGTAACATTCCTATAAATGTGCGTCTACCTAAAAGAAGGAATTGGGACGGTTACATAAACCAACACGGACACGATATACTTGAAATTTGCAAATCTCTGGATCTGTGAATCTTAAATGAAAGAACAAAAGGCGATACATTAGGAAAAACAACTTTTCACGGAAATAGAGGGGTAAGCACAGTCGATTATGTAATCACAAACAGTGATATGTATGACCGCGAGTGGACAGCTTTACCGTTTGCCAGCCTACACCGTTTTCTGACCACTCTCCTGTGAAAGGCTGGTTCAACATTTCCCCTCCAACGAATAATTCTTTCCCCGAGATCACGGGAATTGAACTGAACGAAAACTTCCAAAACAATTTCAATGGAACTCCTTATCCAGTGAGAGATTTATCAACGTATGGAGTTCGAAAGACATTCAAGAAATTATCCAAGACTTCGATACGGAACACTTCATTTCATATGATAAAAGAGTCGTTCACAATGTCGTATCCCGATTTAACGATATAATCGAAACTGTGGCCAAATGCTCTCTTCAAATAGGGGTACGTAAATACCTTAGGAAGACATCTCGAAGAAATCACCCCTGGTTTGATAAAGAATGCAAGATTTTTCAAAAACACGTCAAACGAATAACGTAAAGCCTTTATTTAAAGAGGGTAGCACCTAATAGCCAAAGGCTAATAAACTTTTGGCCCTCAAATGTGTAATTTAAAGCACAGAAACCCTCATAATACTGACATTAGAGACAACTATCATAACGTAACAAAAAAATCTAAAGCTTTACTTAGAACAAAACAAAAATGTTATTTCAACGATAAATTAAATCTACTAACTTCAGGATCAAACCCGAAAAGTTTTTGGGATATCCTCAAAACTTTGAAACAAGACCACAATCCAGAAATCAACAACCCGATTCCCGTTGATAAACTTAATGACCATTATTGTACCATAGTTATTAGAGGAGACTGGTTATGAAAAGCGGCAAACATCGATGATAAGAACAACAGTGCTGCAGTTTATGTTGGAAGTACCGTGAAAGTGCACGATCCTTTGTTTTCTGTTGGCAAATTGTTAGGGAAAAAATTAATGCAACGTTTTTATTGGTCAATACAATCAAAATGATAGGAATTCTTTTGAACGTTGTGCACTTTCAGGTCCACAAAACAGTATAACAAAGGAGTCTGACGGGTTTCATAATCATTCCACTCAATTAACTATGGTAGTACTCTTCACTCCAACTCAAAAGACCAAACCGACCCTGATGCTATAAACTTTAATATCGGAACTACCTATGACCCAACTACTAGCGATCCTCTAAACAAACTTCTGAAATTGAAATCATATCAACCACCAAAAAACTTAAAACTAAAAAAGCACCTGGCCTAGATAGAATCCGCAACGAAAGTATTCATTACCTTGCATCCTCATTATCCATTCTTTTTAACACTATCCTAAAATCTGGATATCTCCCTGCCTGTTGGTCAAAAGGAATGATTACTGCAATCTATAAATCGGTTGACAAATGTGATCCTTCGAACTACCGTGGAATTTGTGTCTCTAGCTGTTTAAGCAAATTATTTTGTTCCATCTTGAATGAAAGATTATACAATTTCATACAAGAACGCAACCTGCTACATCCTTCCCAGATTGAATTTCTCCCAAGATTTCGCACTAGTGATCATATCATTTCATTACGTACCATTATTGATATGAATGTAACCCATACACCAAAAAGTAAACTCTTCTGCTGTTTTATAGACTTAAAGAAAGCTTTTGTCTCCGTATGGCACCCTGAACTATTTAAGAAACTTTCACATTACGGCATAACGGGTTCAGTCTATAATACGAAATGTAGTATAAAATTTAGGAACAAAAGAACTGATTATTTTACCTATGGAATTTTAAGAGGTGTACGAGAAGGATGTGTCCTTTCCCCTCTGCTATTCAATTTATATTTGAATGAAATTCCCAATCTAAGCTAATCTATTAAAAGCATGCAATACTAATGACCCAATTATTCTCCCAAGTGGCCATGGTTTACCATTAAAAAACTGTTTCGATACGTTTTTCAGAGGCCATACCGATATTTTTCAATCGCCTTAAAAGTGTTTTTTTTCCCTGTCCGATCGCTATAAAATTTTCACCAGTAATTGGCTTTGGACTGAAATTTGTGAAAATGTAGTTTTAAGTAAAATCAATATTACTATGATAAAAAGGAAAAAAAAGACTTTGAAATTGATAAAAGCCGAATTTTGTGTGATGTAGACCGGCTACTGAAAATCCAAAAGTAGGAACTTAAAGTTTGGTTTTTGGCAAACAATCTGCGTACGGAAGTAAAAATTCTGTATGTTCACCGAATTCGACTAAAACGAAAATGTATTTCAAACCTTAAATTTTCAATAGCCATGATAAATTATTAAATAAAAACGTTATAAATGACTCAAATTATTCTTAAGTAGCGGCAGAATGCTGCTTAATATCATATTTTGATGCTAGGAAATTTTGGTGTATTTTCGTTCTTGTGATCTTTAAAACTAACCCGTTTTCTCACCACCTGTCTAAGTGAAACTTCATTCAAAATTTTGACTTCTTGCGCTTTTTTGTAGATCTCTGAAACGACTCGAACGAATTATTTTAAAATCTCTTCACATAACCTTATAATGTATATGATAATGTCTGAAACTTTCATTAAGATTGATTCATACGAACCTGTCAAAAATATGCGTTACAACATTCACTGTTTGGACGTCATGCTAATTTTTCCAAAATAATGCGCACTGTACATACTTCCATGACTAGTACATTTTAGTTTGAATTTATCGCATCTTCTGAATGTAAAGCATTGACAATACTCACGATGAAATGTGTTAGTCATACACCGTATTCACAAATGGCGAACACGCGGGAAAAAACTGGTGCCTAGTCATGAAAGCGAGGCGTTGGAGGATAAACAAAAATTGCAAATGAAGACTTTCAGAGAACTTGCAGAGTGTTTAGCACGGTTTCCACCTAAGATAACTTTGTATGGACGTCTTTTTAAATAAAATGACGTGGGATGTCTTCTGCTTTTAATGTTTAGTACTGATTTGCTGTTTGCAATCAAAAGGGACGCGTATATCTTCAAGAAAACAGGATGATTTTGTAGGTTGCCGAAGCATCAAGAGCTCGACAAGTGGGTGATCGCTGCAGAAAAGCGGGAAACATGTTGGCCCAAACTTCACACTGAAACCGAATACGAAAGCCAGCTCATTACAATTCTGTAAAACAGAAATAAAAACAGATATTGGTGGCGAGAAAAAAAGAAATAAGTGACGGATATATGGCCTTCTTGTCAACGGAAGAGACCTCCGCATTACACAAAACAGGTCAAGTCGTGAGCGGGTGAAAGATTCATTCACGAGGCTCCTTCATTCATTTTGTACATATCTACTGTATATACTTGTGTAGATATGTATGTCTGTATTTACAACTTCCTTTGGATCATATTAATTCCGTCGCTTTGGAGTGAATTGTTAGAGGTACGTTGGCAGAGCTTAAAGCAAAAATCTCATTGCGAAATAAACTAATTTATCAAAATTAGAAGCCCTAGTGTGTGAGTCTTATAGCTTGCTATTTGCCTGGCCTCCTTTGGGGCATTATCTCAGAGAGCTCTTGGTAAAAAAAAAGTGGTATAAAGCTCACATTTTACTAGGTTAAACTTTTAAGGCAATGTTTGTGTCAAGACTGAACACAGCAAGCTTCTGTTTCGAATAATTAAATTCGAGTCTGGATCCGTTTAAGAAGACCATCATTTTATTTATTTATGTATTCTTTAACTTTAAAATATTATGGAACATAAAGTTAAAACTCTTAATAGCCAAAGATAAGAAATGCGAAAATCACTCGCTGAAATGATTTGTGGCCGGCTTACCGAGTCTGCCGAGTAACAAGTTGAAATTTTGAGCATATTCCACTCGATCGCTCCTGCATTTATACTAAAAAAAATAGTTCTAATTGATGTCCTTCATCGATAAAGACCAGAGAATAACGTCCTGGCAAAGAAAAACCAAAAATAACTTCATCGAAACCTCAGTCACCTCTTCATTCCTGTCTTCCTTTTTTCCATCTTGACTTAAACTGTTTTGTTCAATGACAGACGTCTCTTGCGTTAACAAGTAGCAGGGGCGGATCCAGGATTTTTTTTAGGAAGGGGTGCACTCGTCTCTTGCTGTACTTCAACACTAATAAACCACATAGTTTTTTTTTTGGCAGAATACCAGTTGTATTAGAAAACCGCAGGTCATCTCAGGGAGGGGGGGTGCGCACCCCCTGCACCCTCCCCCTAGATCCGCCCCTGAGTAGGCTATATATCGGTCGCTTATTTCCTTTTTTCTTGCCACCAAGACTTGTTTATATTTCTGTTTTACCGAGTTGCAGTGAGCTTGCTTTCGTACTCGGTTTCAATGTGAAGTTTGGGCCAACATGTTTCCCGCTTTTCTGCAGATGATCGCCCCTGCACTTGTCGAGCTTCTGATGCTTCGGAAACCTACAAAATCATCCTGTTTCCTTGAAGATATACGCGTCCCTTTTGATTGCAAACAGCAAATCAGAACTAAACATTAAAAGCAGAAGACATCCCACGTAATTGTATTTAAAAAGAAGTCCGTACTAAGTTATTTTTGGTGGAATCCGTGCTAAACACTCTGCAAGTTCACTGAAAGTCTTCATTTGCAATTTTTGTTTATCCTCCAACGCCTCGCTTTCATGACTAGGCACCAGTTTTTTCCCGCGTGTTCGCCATTTGTGAATACGGTGTATGGATATATGTATTGTCCGCGTTAATTTGGACCATTTCGAGACATTTTCGAAAGACGAAATTTGTGCGATTGTGCAGTTGTACAAAAAAATACCAAGAAAGCGACGAACTTTGGCTTCTCAGTGTTTACTGGCAGGTAGAAATGATTTTCATGCTGAATTTGATTATACAGACCGTTAAAGAGCGGGTGTATTAGACAACCCTCTGAAATTGCCACAAAATCGTAAAAATGCACTTGACAAAATGCCCGAAATGCTACTGAACTGTCAGTTCAACTGTTAGTTCAACTGCCGGCGGTTTTATACAGTATTTGTGAATTTTGTCTAACATAATAGTATAAAAAATGAGTTTACTTAAGTGGAAGGAACTTGGTAAGAGATTTGAAACTGTGCTCGTGAGCCCATGTTATATACTACTAACTCTGCTAACTCGATACTCGAGCCTTTTGTTTGTCGACAAATATATACTTTTGGTGTCTTGATACCAAATTAAGCTTGAATTGGACCACCTGAATCGCAAATGTCAAAGATAATTTCGTGCACACGAATTAAAACTACTGAGTAAAAAGTAACGAGGAATAGGATTTATGTTAAAACACTTTTTAATTACAATGTACTCTTTACAGCTTTTCTTCCTGCTTGAAAACTACATTAAAATTGCATCGAGGTTTATTAGGAAGGGTAAATTGCGTGAAGAGGTTCTGATGGCATGTTCGAATCAAGTAAAACGTGTACCGTGCAAGCGTTTCAATTTATACTTGGAAAAGTGGGCGTTTCTGGAAATGATTTTTTACTTCTAGCTGTGGCGTTAACTTGCGTTAATTTAAAAATTATATAGCTTTGCTACTTTTTGCTAAAAGGCTACTTTGAGTAGTTACCGTAAAATTCTGGTTACAACTTCTTAACGGCTTTTGGGTGGGGTGGTAAATGAGTAGCCTGACTAGCAGGCGTCAAAAGGGGTAGGGAGGGATTGGGAGGAAGGAAAAAAGGGAGGGGGATTGGGGAGAGCGGGCCAGTAAATGAGAAGGCGAAAGGGGGGTGGTGGTGGCTAATTAGTGGATTTAGAAATAGAACAGGAAAATATTCAGTTTAAAATGTCGTGAGCGTAAAACAAACACACTGTTCAACGCCCAAAATAAATGCCCGGTACGTACCCTATGCGAGCAAACTCTTGGAGGAGTGAGGAAACGGGGGTGGAAAAGAGGAGAAAAGGTTGCAGAGGTCGTTATCTCTTACTCGTAGGTTACCCGGTACCGAGAGGGGAAAATAGAAGAAAAGGATGAATTGTAACCGGTGTGTGTGGTGGTAGGAGCGGTCGGCTTCGGGTTCTTTCGTTTGCATGTATTGGGAACAATAAACAGTAGCCGGGCTTATATCTAGAGCCGGGGCGGGAGCGTTATAACCTGAAATTTTACGGTCTTTTTTATCATAGTTTGGGGCAAACATGTTAGCCTCCCGACGGAGCTCCAAATTTTCTTGGGTCAGACTTTGCGTAAATGCCTACATCATATTTTGCACGATATACAGCTTGTACCACAGCAAAAGCAGCTTCTTTGGCCACCGTTACATTGTGTCCGAGAGCTCTTAAGCCATCTTGTATATCCTCAGGAAGACGATAATCTGTGTTGTTTTCAACTTCTACATCCATTTTTGGTACAAGTTCTTCGTGAATTCGAGGATCGTCCACTGCCTGTGATATGTTCCTTTCAAACCAAAGCATGTTCATCAACACCTATATATGATAAGCAAACCGTCCCTGAGCGTGAACTGAGCAATTTACCTCTTAACATAAATAGTGAATAGGTAGGATTTGAAAGTAATCATCTGCCAAACTACAGATGTAGGGCTCAAGAATTAACTAAAATCATTAGAACGAGAGATGGTTGGTTTCTCATGGACAACTGAGGTGTTCTGTTTAATGTGCGATATCAGGGGAGGGGGAAGGGGGACGGGGACGTTGAAGGTAGGCATGAAAACGCCATACGAGTATTCAGTAATAGTAAATTAACACTCTATGAATTTAAGGTATTGAAAGTTAACGCGAATCTAGTATAAAACTACTTTTAAATAAGGAGAATTTACGCAAAAGAGAGGGTAAAATTTTAAAATGAAGGAAATTAACGCGAAGTTCACAAAGAAACAAGATTTATTTGCCGAGCCAACAGAAACCGAAGTTAAACGTATAATCTGAAAAGGAAACGTTGGACTTGGTACTTTCCCTAAGCGTATGAAGGAGTTCAAGAGAAAAATTCTTGCCAATTCGAGGGTACTTCACAGTTTCACACTAGTGGATCTCCACCCTAATAAAATACTCCTCTTTCTTGGTGTTAATTTCCTGTACACTCAAACCTCGTTAATTCGGATACGTACAGTCGAAGATACGGATATTCGACTGTAATAAGGTATTTTCTTGCCTATACCCCAACCCCTCCCTCCTTCGTCCTTTCGTCTTATTCCCACACCCTATAAATCGCTCTTTATGTTTTTCTCAGGCTTCCTTTGCTTTCAGAATGAAAGATGCCTACTAAAATCACTGATACAGTCGAATCCCGCTTAACGGACACCTGCTTTATACGAGCGAACACCTCCTTACTACGGACAGTTTGCTTTGTCCCTGGGGAAAGCCGTTCCTTACATTTTCTCTAAACAAATTTCAGTCCGCTTAATACGAACAACCCCGGTTAATACGGACTCTTTCTTTAATTGGCCCCCTCAGTGTCCGTATTAACACGCGAAAACGTTAGCAAGAAATACGTGTTGCTCACTCGCCCAAAAGTACACTAGCATTTCAGGCGTTCACAATAATGCAAATAAAGTTTCGTGTGGAGGTGTTCGGCTCGTAAAAACTTTGGGTCACAACCTGGTCAAATTCGAAGTCAAAGCGAGTAAAGAGTAAGTAGTTAATCAAAGTTCAAAAGCTGCCAAACAAACTCGATTGAGTATTGTTATTAACAATCACCTCGCTAGGCTGGTGCGATGGCCGGTGTTTTCCTGGGATGCGCGAGTAGTTGGGAAAAGTCAAATACCCACTCCGCCCTTCTGCCCCGTAGCCTGCGTCGTAGACAGTCTTAATCCCTGATATAGAGGACTACATGGAGTTCTCTAACTGCTATGGGTGTCGAGTGAAAAATCTGGCTTCAACGACAACCGCCTCCTTACCTTGGCACTATTTTAACCCGTCCCAAATAACTTTGAGAAAACAAGATCCGAGCGTTTGCCCGCCAGGAAAATACGCTTGCTCTGCAAAATCTCTGGCACGTTTCGCCCCAATTGAGGTAATTCGGATTTTTTTTTTTTTTTGCTTGAAGAGTCCGGAATCCTGGACTTTGGGATCCGTGATTCCACTCAAGGAATCCGGAATCCCGCCAACGTTTGGAATCCGGAATCCCCAGCAGGGAATCTAGTGTGCAAGACTGTCTTGGATTAACTTGCATCGGGCGACATGTTTATTTCTCTTCAAATATTTCTAGTGATTAGTTTTGTCATACCAGTGAGACAGCCGTGGTAATTCTTTTGCCGCCAGACGCACCAATAATAAGCTGTACGTCACCTGTATCGTTCGTCAAAATGGCGGGAGACATGGACGAGAACGGCCGCTTGCCTGGCTCGGGAAAATTAACCTCAGATGGATAAACACCATCAATCTCTGTGTCGTTGTTAGGAATATCAAAATCTGCCATCTGATTATTGTAGATAATCCCTGTGACGTTGGATCGATACAGGCTTCCAAATCTGTCGAGATACACGTCATGTTCGTGAACACTTTTCTCATAACGCTACTCTAATTCCTGGTGTTCCAAACTACATAGAAATTGTCATTATATAGTCAACTCTCTCTTAGAGTGACACCTATGCGCTATGGAACTTAGCGTTCACGAAGAAATCGGCTTGTAAACGGCAAAATCACAGCTTCTTGTTCAACAAATATACTTACCAAGGCAGACACCTCACTAAAAACGGACGCCTAGAGTTGTTTCCTGTTTTACTTTACTCTCTTTAGTTGACGCTCTTTTGGATGAACACCTCTCTAAGACGGACATATCCTCAGTTTATAGAGCCGGGCCTATAGGTGTCCTTCTTAGGGCGCTTTCGATTCCAAATGTCAAAACTGGCCGGCCGGACCATGGACGGACCGGTCATTTTGAAAATGAAACAGGCTTTTTCCAAGAGTTTTTGATGAAAAACGATTTTCTGCTTCGTGGATGCTATTTAGGATTTGACTGATCTGGCTTGATAGCTTTGATTAAAAGTGAATTTCTCATTACGACGGGAATGGTCTGACAGGTCAGTTCTGACAAATGGAAAGCGCCCTTTGAGAGAGTTGACTGTATGTGTTAAGTCTGCTGTTTGGTCCTTGTGTTAAGGTACACGAGGACAGAAACCGCACTACGAACTTCTTCTATATTAATATTGATATTAATATTAATATGGAATATATCATATCGCATGGGATAAGTACAACGTACTTCATTGGGTCTCAACGTACATCTCTTTAAAGATGCAGAAGGGAATCACACTGTCATTGCTCAGACCGAGTTTATTATATTGCCATAACATTTCATGCGCAGCTCATGCAAGTGACGTGTCGATCGATTATTAATGGACCACGAAGGCATGCAGCCCAGATCATCCGCGCGAGATTGCCTCATGCATTCTGCGGTCTACCTGTTCGCCTGTTATATCACTTCACTTATCATACATCTCATGCAGATAGCTCGCAAATGGACCCATAAGTGCAGCTAGTGGCGCCCCCGTATGCTGACGTTCAAGCTTACTGTTCATGTATAATGTAAAGAGGACACCTGTTGTCCTTTCATCCGCGACATTAAATTACATTGCATTGCATTGCAATGCGTTGCGTCTTGTTCCAGTGCAATGTATTACACTTGATTACATTGCACTGCCCTGCATAACATGACGTGGCTGATAAAACTAATTGTTATATTCCTAGGCTTCCACTCAACTAAACCTGTTTTCTTTTCGTGAATGAACACAACAACACAAACATGAAGTCTCAAGCTAAAAAGCAACGATTTTCAAAGTTATCCCAGAAGAGAAATAGCAGCTAGTGGAGGAAAAAGATGCAGATAATATAAGGAAAGTACTTTGTAAATCATTCATTCAGTGGTTTTGAGAATTAAATTTGGGTTCTTATAAATACCGAGTCGACTGTTTTGATTCGCTCCGCTAAAGCGTATTCTTTTGTTGCTGTTGAAGTACGTTGAATTGAAAGTTTAGAAATATAACAAAACACTTAACGTCAGGTCCCTAGGGAAACCAGTTAGTTTTGTCTTCCTCGAGTCCTGATGTTCCCCTTGACCTCGTCTTGGGAAACATCAGGACTCTCGGGAAAACAAAACTGTCTGTTTCCCTCGGGATCTGACATTAAGTGTAAAATATAACATGACAAGACGTAAAACTAAATTGCATAGAGAGGAGAAGTGCAAATTCAAATTTCTGAAATTATGGGATTGGTTCACATGTTCGGAAAGAAAAAGACGAAAAAAGCCCCCTTGCCAAAACTCGGGCTGTTAGTGACAGTAGGTGGGGAGATATAAGCACGGTTTTGCTCTGATGACTCCACACAAATACTTCTAAAACTGGCTTGGATCGTAACGTTTACGATCCAGGCCTATTTTAGAAGGATTTATGTGGAGTCATCGGTAATTTGACCTTTTGAGTCGAAAAAGTCGATTCAGATACTGATTGGAGAAATTGAATTTTGTAATGAGGTTTTAAATCATCAAGCCTGTCGCGAAGAAGGTATTCCGCCATAGAGCTCTCAAGAAATTATTGCAATATCTGCAGTTTCCTCTCAAATTTGCCAACCGCCGACCTTTGCCTTAAGGCAGCGATGTTGTCACTTTTTTTACCTACAGGATATGCAAAAAGTTTCGGACTAATTCACTATTCTCGACGTATGTTAACTCGAATAAGTGCGGTGTTCAGGATGAACGTTGACTTGGAGCCCTGGTCTTTCACTAAACTAACCTGTAATTGATAGTGGATGTCACAGAAACTGCGTCACCGTTTTCGGCCAAAACAGCCAGGTGTGTGGTGCCATAATCAGCATCAGAGTAGGAGCTCGTGTAATAAGACACGTTGTTGTATGTTCCGTTGTCTTTAATTTTTTGACGCAAGTCGTCGCCCAACTGTTGTTCTATCATCTTTTGCGCAATCTGAAAAGAACGTAATGGAGGAAGCAGTTCAGACATAAAATTCTTAGAGCTTAAAAGAGGCCCTTTTAGAGGGGGTCTTGTTATCCCTTATCACTGTAACTCTTAGAACAGATATATCTTATCCCTGAATAAAAGTTCCAAAAATGCTATCCGTTAACAGGGGGAGGTGCTGGGGGGAACGTGTCTTCCTCCCCTGCACATTTTTGCGCGAAATAAAGAAAAACAGTTGGCCAAAAATTTTTAGCTGCATTCACTGTAGAGAATAAAAAAGATATAACTGAAGCAGCTGAAAAGATTCAAGAACCATTGCGATTCTTACAGCAGAGGCGCATTGTACAGGCCTGATTAATCCGTTTCCAGAAGCGAAATTTTGGGCGTGTAGTCCGGCGGCGAGGTTCTTTGCTCGGTAGCTCGATAGCTCTTTGCTCGACAGAGCCAAGACGATCAGTGCATTCATTATACAAGCCTACGGAAATTGCTGCATTATAAAGATTACAAAAATTCCAACAAAATTACCAAAACAAACCTTCCCCTAAAATCGCTGCTACATGAGCCGCTCAACCTTTTCTTTAAAACTAAAGCAGCAAAAGTCGCACGAAATTGCTCTTCACAGAGCCAGTTATCTTTGGCCCGCCGAGCAGAGATAACTTTTTCTCAATATGAATTGACTTTGTTCGAAGGGTATTTGACTAACGGACCTCTCGCGGGAAATAGGTAGTCTTTTCGCTTCTTATTTAAAAAAAACAGGAGTTTATCAATTTTTGAAAACAGTTATTGAGTTTATTTGGTAAAAGTACGAGCCGAGGGAAAGTTAATAATTTTTTTTTCTTTTGTTTGTTCTTTATCAGTTTTAGGCCCTATCGACACTAATGCTTTTTCAAAAGTATGCGTTTTCGTTGTAATCAAAAAAGCATCGATCAATTCGTGTCCACACTACCGTTTTGATGCGTTTTCGAATAAAACGTTCGAAAACGATTGAATTAATATTAATATTTTAATATTTATTGATTTGTATTGTGCAAATATCAATCTAGGGAAAGAAATTTTCATCGCGCATGCGCAGATTAATTGCATGCGCATGCCACAAAGGGGTCTACAAACACACGTACCTGTGATATTTAAGTCATCGTTTTCATTTTGATGCGTTTTTCGACCGTTTTCGACCGTCCACACTAATATCATATGTGCGCGGTTTCGTTTTAGTCCACTTTTAAGAACGTTTTCACAGTCGATGCGTTTTCGATGAAAACGTTAGGCTTACAAGTGTGAACGGGGCCTTAGTTCAATATGGACATAGTTACCATGCAGCCATTGTCTCGTAGGTTTTGCGAATATTGGTAAAAATGTTTTTCACGGCGTATTTATCAGCAAGAGGGCCAGCCCGCCTGCTCATTATACAAAGCGTATCAGCCCGGCTTATTGGGCTGGCTCACCTCACATAAACAGGCCCTAAGGTGTAACCGGGAGCAAGTTAAGGGTGGAAAACATTTTACGATATAAAGACCAATGAAAAACCAAGTGAGCTTTCGCGCGAAAACTTGATATCTTCACATGTGAATATAACATGATTGTTATCTTCACATGTGAAAATGTCACCGTTGCACCTTTCCGACCTAAAAACTATTTAAGTAAAATGGTTTGGTATTTCGTTGGTGTTTATACAATAAATGGAACATTACATGGCTCTTGGAGATTCGAAATTTCTCTTCGCTGCGCCCACTCGTGAAATATTTTTCAACACTCGAAGAGAAATTTCGTACCTCCGCGCGGCCATGTAATATCCTCTATATCTTTCACTTACCTCGCTTATATTCTTATCCATATTAAAAGCAGGATCACCAAGTCGACTTCGCCAAGCATAACCAAACTTGAAAGCCTCAATGATCCTGTGATATGTCAACACGGAGGCATTTGTGCCATCACGGGCCGATGAAGACATATTGTAACCTATAAAATAAAGCTCTTCTACTTTAAATAAGTGTAAAATAATTGTTTCAGGTAGCACTGTTATAGTTGAATTCATGGTTTCTGCAACTTAGGCTGCGCATACATACAGGCGCCTCTCATCGCCTCCGGCGCTGGGGTAGGGACTATGGGGAACTGGCGTTTCACGAGGCGGCTGTATTTGCAAGCTATCTGCAACTCGTTTAACTTGCTGATGAATGAATGTTCCCTTGCAGGTTTCTTTGCTCTACAACTACACACTGAAGAAACTTATCGTTAGCGGGAACCAAACCCTTCCGCATTGCTTCCTGTATATTTTCATTTAAGCAAATGAATGATGTTGTTGTTGATAATTGACGATGAACAAATGAAAAAAGTAACGATTTAGAGGTAACACATCCACTGAGTGGTACTTCGTCTACTTGATTCCCGGTCGACTTGGAATTTGAAAATGTTGGTTTCAGATGAGAGGAAACAATCGGACTGCCCGGAGAAAAACCTCTCGGAGCAAAGGAGAGAACGAACAAAAACTCAACCCACATATGGCACGACGCCAGGATTTGAACCCAAGCCACATTGGTGGGAGGCGAGTGCTCTCACCACTGCGCCCCCTTACTTCCCGCATAATACTGATGATGATGATGATGATGATGATAGCCAGCGAGAAAGCTCTCTGACAGTTTACTCGAAGGATATGATGATGATGAGGGGGAGGAGAACAGAGAACACCTACCTACCTTTCAGTATGTTTAAGACGAGACCTAGTACAGCGCCACTTGTAGGGGGAGGAGTGAGGTGCATTTTCATCCCCGCCAGTTCACCTTCTAGGGGCTCCCTGATCTCTGTTGTGTAGTTCCTCAGATCTTGTTCAGTGACCTGTCCCTTTCTTTCCTGGTATCGGGCCCTTCTTATATCTTGAGAGATCTTCGTGGCCAGAGACCCATTATAAAAAGAATAGGGATCGTCTCGGATTTTTTCCAGTGTCATCGCGTACTTTTCGTTTTTGATTACTTTTTTAGGCTTGTCATTTTTGTCCAAGAGGAGTTCCCTAAAATGTCACAATAAATAGCAATAGAGAGAAAACCACAGCAGTGCTAAATAAGGCACTTTTTTAATACCTCATATTCTGTTTAGAGGCAGCTGTTACAGCACTATGAAGGAGTATCATGAAGCTATTATATTATGATCTCTCCCTAGGCTACATGTACAGATTATAACTCATTCAAGACGTTTAAGGATATCACCTTAGGGACCCTCACTGCTTGGGACTTGTTACGCCCCTAGCGTTCTTTTACGTCCTACAGAGCCAAATCAAAGAAGTTCTGTGCGACTGGGAGCCCCAAGGGAGTACTCAATATAATGTACAATATGGGGAGGCTCGACTAAAAGGGGTGCTTTTCCAGGCTTCAGATGTATAAAGGGGTAGAGATGTCACTAGCTGAAATATATATGAGGGGGTGGGAAGTCTGTCATTTCGGTCTGTAAAAAGGCCCAAAAGGGCTAACAGATGACTTTTATAGCTGTGATCGAGAAAACGTTATGGTCTTGTAATTTATTCACATTTAAAGGGCAGTGCATTTACAGCAGTTGAAAGGAAAGCAAAGTTTGTAGGTATATGAAAGGGATCAGTACCATTTCACAATACTGAAGGTATACGAAAGGGTACCTTTTCTGCGAAAAATGGTATATAAAAGGATAAGGGGTCAGCCCTCGGGGCGGAATCTCACCGTATAATACTTTCTCGAGTACCCCACGGGCCAGGAGCCTACCACGGTTCAGTTTCAACTATATCCCAATGAGCCAAAAATATTTCAAAAAAGGATACCCGACACGCCTCTAAAATCTCAGGCGCAGTTAAATGCCAGAAAAAAAAGGAAAAAAATGTGATGAATTGATAGCTATTGCTCACCTTAATCCCGGATCCGTTTTTATTTTCTTTAACATATCCTCATTCAAGGCATCGGCCACTGCGGCGCTTATTTCAAATCCTTCTCTGGATAAGTTAATGGCAGGTTGGACCAGATCTTTCCAAGGTAACTGATGGTATTCCTCCCAAGCTCGGTATAGGCCGTGAACCTCTCCAGGAACAGCGATGGCAAGACTGCCTAGAAGAAAACAATAGGGAGTTTAAGCAAAGACGCTTTAATTTTCCTGAGCGATGCACGTCAACCGGAAGTGGACGTTTTACATTCTTGGGCAGCGATTTTTCCCAGGTTTTTTTTTTGGAAAATCGTCTCAACAAGAGTAAAGATACTCAGCAAGACCCATGTGGTAGCGTCCAGGCATATTAAAAGGGAAGAGGCATCACTTTCGGTTGAGGTGCGTCAGTTCCAAAAACGTCTCTGCCTAAGATCCCTATTAAAACTCCAGCACGAAACTGTGAGCAAGCACTCCAATCAAACGGCAGGCAAAGCGTGTCTCTGAGGCAACAAGCTCTCACAGCTCTAATCTCTTGAATTAGCCATGCACCCCTTTTGCGTGCAGCTGTTGGGTGACATCTCTGCCACGAAAACCTGAATTATTGTTGCAATAGAGGCAAATAGACTCCTCTGTTGGGTGACATCTCCACAATAACCAGAATTATTATTGCAATAGAGGAAATAGAACAAAGAACCTTCCTCCTTATCTTCTTCCCAGGAAAAAAAGGCTAAATATTATAGATCACAAAACACCCTAGTAATTGAGAACGAAAAAGGACAGAGTACCAACCGCGTTTAGACATGTCTTCCCCAGTTTTGTTTGGTGGAAACATATCAGACGTTGTCGCTGCCGGAGCAGTTTCCCTAAAGTCGATGACTTTGGCTTTCTTGAGTTTTCGAATATAAACCAGCATCACTCCACCGCCACCAACTCCAGAAGAGTGCATGTTTATTACTCCCAGACAGAACATAGCGGCAATGGCTGCGTCTACGGCCGAACCGTTACGTGCCAAGGTATCATTGCCAATACGGGAACATTCTTTAGTGTCGGTAGCAACTGCCTGTCTCGGATAGGGTCCCCCCAAAGACGGGGGCTCTTCGGGCTTGTCAGGCTTGTCAGGCTTATCTTCTTCTTCTCTGGTAAAATACCAACCAAGAGAACCAGCCAGTGCGGCCACCACCACCACTGCAAAAACTGTTATGCTTATGAGTTGCTTTCTGCCGGAGAAAAACATAAAATTAGAGTTAGTTAACCACCCTCTTACTCCCACGGATTGCCCGAGAAGAACACCGTACCCCAATAAATTCCCAGATGGAAGCGACAATTACTGAGAAAGGATGCCCTCAAATAAACGCCGAACCCAATCGGAAGAATGCGGCGTTTATTCGTCGATTATACAAAAAGAAACTCGATGCAACGTGGTAATCCAGACAATCACAAGATGCTAGAACTTAAAACATCATAATATTTACAAATAATTTATCGTAATTGTTGTTAGTATTTTAGAAAATTTGATTTTGAAATAAACGCCACCCTCGAATAAAATGACGCCACCCTTGAATAAACGTAGTCTGCGTAGCAAGCGTTTCCTCGCGAGGTTCGTCTAGAAAGCTAGGACAAGAGCAAAAAAAAAAATGAATGACAGGGGAGGGGGAGGGGAAATAACCAACCGCTTGCCCGCAAACCCCACGATTTTGAAAAACTGCGTTCGCCCACGAACGCAGCTTCTGATTGACGCGGTGCGGGTAGTGTTGATTACTTAGCATTCGAAACATCAATCAAACCCGGGTATGCTTTGTTTTCGTGCGTCACAGACTTTGTGGTCGCAGATTACAAATGCTTTGGACTGATATTTATTTGAATCGTGTTTGTGCGAAGGTTTATGAGATTAGAGTCTTCAAAGTATAATTGGAGATCGAGCAGTGGAGACTAGGGAAGGCCAATGTATTGAGAATGACGGCGTGCGGATCTTACTGGAAAAAATGGACTGTTTGTTGCAGATAACATCAGCATAAATCAGAACATCGGTACTCGACACTAGCTAAAGCCGCCATGGACAAGCGATTTGTTTATTGGAAATTTAGCGGCATCTATTGTAGAGAACGTTTCGACACAGGCTGAAGAGCAGCCGCTCTGCAAAACTTATCCCCGGCGGAGTGAATTGTTCCGGACAAATCATTTTTGACGCGTCGACAAGGTTTCAAACGAGATAAAGCCACACAATATAAAACAAGAAATTCCTCAGCAATCGCTCATAGTTTTAACTTTCTTTTATCGTAAATCTTTTTTACTACAGTTCTTGCAATCGCCTGCAACGTGTTCTATTAGAGAACAACGTAATTTTACAAATCTGCTGATCCAGGGGTAATCTGTTCGTTATACTTCTATTTTGACGAGCTGTCAATTTACAAATGAAACGAACCGTGAAATATCAAGGGGCGTTTTCCAGAATCGTGGGGTTTGCGGGCAAGCGTTTCCTCTTCTCCCCTCCCCCTCCCCCCCCCCCCCCCCCCTCAACCTTTTTTTTTTTCTTCCGCTCTAACTTTCGCGCAATAACTCGATTGGAAACGCTTGCTACCAGGCTAGAATAAACGCCGCAATCGAAAAAGCTAAAAATTCAACAAACGCCGCGGCGTTTAATCGAATAAATCCGGTAAATCGGAGTAAACCCTAAATCTTAGCCATTTAATTGCGTTCGAGGTATGAGAACGCAACCCCTAATTTGTGTTGGGTGTTCTGTGCATTATTGGGTGTCCTGTACAATTAATAAGGGAGGTTTTATTGAGATTGCATTTTCGTCGTCGTGGACACACATTTGCCTCGCTTTGAGGCACTTGCTTACGTTTTGCCTCACTTTGACGCGCTAACTCATGTGGTGATTCTTGTGTCCTCGGCGTTCATCTTTCAAAGGTTTACTGAGGTCTGATAATCTGTCTTCGTAAAGCGTTCATCTTTTAAAAACTTTGCTGAATCTTCGTAAAGCGTACATCGATCTGTGTTTGCTGAATCGTCTAAAGCGTTCACCTTTCAGAAGTTTGCTGTTAAATTTTACTTTGGATTAAGTCTTCATATTTTTCAGCATGGTTCATCACTGCCTTTGGAAAATGTCTGCGACTCCTGCTGCATGAGGGGGGCATTGGGGTATATTAGAAACCGCAAAACCCCCAAAAAATTCGGCCAAAACCTAAAACCGCATACAAAACCGTCAAAAACCGATCGATGGTGACAAGTGGGGCATACACAGCAAACTAAACTAACACTAATTTCACCAAAGGAGTATTTGTGAATGTCATGGACTTTGTCTGAAGCCTTCGTATCTTTTTGTGTCTGCTTAAATCATAGGCTTTGTTTCTGCCGCTCTCTTGAGCCCAGTCTTTGCGGCTCAATTTCCGAAAAGCCGCTAGTTATGGAGCCTAGTTAACTTAGGCGAATTTGCACACAAGTCCTCTTTAGAATTGCATTTTTGCAGTCGCAAAAAGCTATAGCTCTGGAAACTTCAATCGAAAATCTCTAATCGAACATTTCCATTTGATAACTAACACCTGAAAGTTTGGAGACTCGACTGTCTAACATGCGATTGCACTGAGCTGAGTCGACACTGAGGAAGCTAACCGGTACAATTAGTTCCTTTTCAGTTTTACATGGCAGCAGGAACTTGCTCTAAGGTTTAATGTGGTAATAAACAGATACTCAAAAAAGCAGTCGATTATTGAACCTCACTGCCCTTTACTTCCAAAAACCAAAAACTACATCGGGTACCAAAACCGAAAAACCGCTAGTATTTTTCACGAAAACCGAAAACCAGATGCTAAAAAACGAAAAATCCGCAAACCGCAATGACCACCAAAACCGAAAAACCGAAGTCTTTTGCAACAAAAACCGAAAAACCGATCTAAAAAATAGCCAAAACCGCAAAAACGAAAATCCCAATGCCCCCCTCCTGCATGCATCAAAGCAGGTTTAGTTCGGCGGCCGTTGTGCCACAAAGTAAATTTACCGAGTTGTTTAGCTCGGCGGCCGTTGTGCCACAAAGTAAATCTACCGAGATGTGAAGCTCGGCGGCGCCATTTGATCATGACTTGTGATATTTCGACACCGGACAAACGAACACTTTTTAATTAACTCTGTGTTATTTATTTAGGAAAAACTTATAAACCACCCTCGGGTCACTGAAATCAACACGCTCGACCAAATTACTGGAAAAGTTATTGGCGTGAGCCGCACACACATTCCATTGAAGGCTTTGACAGGGTTAGTGCGAAGTTTGAATTCAGATGTGAAAGCTTTTAAAACAGTAAATTCAATGTAATTCATTTTGTCAACAAGTTGATGATTGGATGCTCTTAAAAATAACATAGGAAATTATCCGAAGACATGTTTTTGAAGAAAGAAAAAGAATCCCGAGTGAAGCACTTATCGGCCTTAGCAACTGCGCCCTATTTACACGCCTGACGCACTCTGGCCAATGTCTCCTCCGATTACAAGCACTTGACACGGAACCATACGATATTTTTTCAAAGGCTTCTTATAACGTGATACAAAGTTTATAATGGAGGTTTTGCTGTACGCAACACTTACGTTCAAAATATACCATAATCATATTTATCTATATCGAAACCACCCTTCCCCCTCAACTGCTACCTGTACGCCTAACAAACATATCGAACGCACTCTCCTAAGCTCCGATTACTCCTAATAGTTATGATTGGTAACACGCGAACGTAGTAGTGTCGGTATTGACGCGCAGTATTAGCGTTTGTTTTAGTTAGTTAGCTCCAAACTTAAATTGTTAAGCAATTTTGTCTATCTAATGTTGTTTCTAGTTGTTATTGTGGTTTCTAATTTCTCTGACGAGTTGTCTTACATGCTGAAACTCCCTAGTCTCCGTTGTGTGGATCACTTTCTGACTATTGCACTGGCTTGTGAACCGTACTCGCTTGATTAACAAAATACATAAATTATTTGTTACTGTTGGCGGATGAATTACCTTAACTGTTGATGGCAGACAATGCCCGGTTTTGTTTATCTGTGCCTGCCAGTGGCTTGAGGCTGGGTGTCTGTAAAACGCGGACCGGATACCTGCGGATGGCGGATGCGGATGAAAAAGTGCGGATAGTAAAAGGCGGATAGAAAAATGCGGATATTAAAAGGCGGATGGAAAAAAAAATTGCGGCGGCAGTGACAACAACAAAAATGTCACTAATTTGGACAATCATTTTAATTGCGTTACTAAAGCATGTTTTTGTCTATTATAAACAATTGTTTGTGGAGCAAAGCACGTATATAAGGTTGTAAAGGTATGTTCTCGATTTTATGCATGCATTTCTTCATTGCTTATCAAGCAAGAATTTATACATAATGAAAACCGGAGCTGTCGATATGAATCAACGTTTTTTGGTTATTGAATTGAATTGTTGATACTATTTGAATTGTTGATACTATTTGAAGACCATCGTTTCATATTTACAAAACTATTCATAACATATAACATTACAGCGCTCTATTAATTTTATTGTCAATAATTTTATATCAATACTAAAACCATAAACTGGTGCATGTCGCCGCGGCGTGAAGTCTTAATTAGGATCCTAGCGCTATTATAAAGGAAGACGTTAATTGAAAAAAAAAATCGCACTTTAAAATGCTTAAAACGGCATTATTCGACTGTGCGATCAATGAAAAATGTTGTAGTGTTGATGGAGGACGGGGCATTTGCCCTCTTTTTTCGTCCCCACTCCGGGGGATTTGACAGCTCTAGAGTCCCCAACCAGGGAATTTGCTATCCAAGGCAAAAAAAATGCTAATGCTTGGGGTCAGCCCGGGGGGAGGGGGGGGGGGGGGGAGGGACAAAATGTTTGCGTGCGTTGGCCTCGTGAATCGTTCTGTTTTCCCAAAAAGGAGCTTGGTCTTGAAAAGTTTCAAAATACATAGCCTGTGCCAGGCTTTCGTTCAGTGTAGATGGGCGAAAAAAGCGAACGAGAAGCGAAAGAAACGCAGCAAAAAAAACGGCGGTTTCTCTCCCCACTCCTCACGCGGTTTTTTTGCACTTTTTTAATTTGGATCCGTTTTCACTATCTTTCTTGGAGCCTGGAACAGGCTACACAACACAAATCAACGCTCTCATTCATGTAACGCTGGCACTCTGTCATTTAACGCCGGTCGACTCTGCCATGGAAGAAAGTTCAGAAAGTGAGTCTGATTTGCCCGTTTTTGAGATCCAAAGGTGAGTTACTGTTACACTAATGGTTTTCTTTTTCATTTTGGCGGATCTTTTCTAATTCTCTGAGCAAACTGGATCCTTTTAAATCTGCGATTTGTATCTTAACGATTTACAGGAGTGAGAACACAACATGGGAAACGCAAGAGATGCGACGTAAAAGGTGTGTCTTGACTTGATATTTACAAATCCTTATTTTTCTTGTGAGTTTTGAAATGGGTCTTGTGGACGTTTTTCCACAGAGATTCTTTTTAAATGAATGTGACGCACCCTCAACAGAGGCATTCGTCTGGCCTTCGTTCCATTTTCACAATTTTACGCAAAGTTGCCATCTATCAACGAATAAAAAGTGGTGATGAGGTGTAGACATCGTTAAAATATTTATAAAGGCATCTTAAGAAGCAGCTTGATTTTTTTTTCTAATTTTTAATAATTAAACATCTTTGTACTAAAGTGAGCCTCCTTTTAAGCTTTGTTTACGGCAGATTGGCGGGAGAGATGATCCAAATATCATATATTTTCGATTCCGAATTCTGCCCTTCACGTTTTAATTTTATGAGGCGAGTTTTAAGTTGATAAGCAGACGTTCTAAAAAATCACGGAGGATCTGTTTTGGAAACTCTTTTTGTAGGAGAAAAAACATACAGAAAGTAGCCTTCATTAATGCATTTCACTTTTAGAAACCCTCTTTCGCGGGAGTGGAGTTTCATTCAGTTCAAAGATTAGCCAATTAGTTTTGTACCTTTTCGGGAAATAACCTTTGTGATTGATCAAGTCGGTTTCAGTTCTTTTCAATCGGCAGTATATTTTGCAGTTTAAAAATTGGAATTCATATATATTCGTACACTTACGAATTCCCAAGGTAGGTAGAACTTGTGAAAATTGTGAAAATGCATTCACACGATAGGCGGAGTTGATTGACATCTGCCAATACTTTCGTTCCTCCTTTTTTTGATGGTTGATGCACAGGCAGCCCAAACTCCGTGGGAGTTCGTTGGGACATTGAATAGGCTTTTGCGGTAAACACAAAAACAGTTCGGTTTTGAAAAATAGCACGAGCTGTAAAAGCATATTAAAATAAGGTAACCTGTAAATTTTCAGCCGTGTATCGCAAAAGTAGCCATTGCAACTGCCGCCGAAAAACAGAAGGATTTGTATGAGAAAAACAACTTTTGCCACCCAGTAACGCTTGAATGGGTTTCCATACAAATCCTTGTAAATTTCGAAATTTTATAACTGTCGTGAAATATTTCCTTAAGCATTACGGTTTTTAATTCATAACAGGCACTTGAGCCCTTAAATGCGTAAGGGAAAGATTTAACGACAGTTTAAATATTTCAGAATTTGCATATGGAAAACCAGTCAAGCGTGACTGGGTGGCAAGAGTTGTTTTTCTCTTACAAATCCCTCTAATTTTTGGCGGCCGTTGCCGATCGTTACTTTTGAGATATACGCCTGAAAATTCTCAGGTTACCTAATTTTATTATGCTCTTTCAGCTCGTGCTAACAACATTTTCCAAAAGCGAACTGTTTTCGTGTTTCCCCGAAAGCTGATCACGTGATAAGGGAATGTATGAAATGTATGAAAATAAACGTCCTAATTCCATTTATTTATTTATTATTTTTTTTTACAAAAATAGAAATCAAAATGAGAAAATCAATTTAATTTATTTTTGCCCGGGGTTAAATGCAGTGTCAATTTTTTAGCAGATGTCCCTGATAGCGAGTTGTTTATCAGACGAGAGTACCCCGTGTCTCGTATTGTGGGCGTGGCTTTACCCCGCTAAGTGCTTAGGGACGGACCATTAGAAAAGTTATGGGGGAGGGGAATTTTCGAGCCGCAGGAATTTTTTTTCGTCATCAAATTCCTTGTACGAATTTTTTTTGGCCATAGCATGAATATTTCTTAGTTTTAATTGGCGTACAAGTTTCGTTTAGTTTTCCCTTGGGCGAATATATTTTTTTATACTTCGTCCACTCCCCCCCATAAGTTTTCTCAGGAGCCCATCATGTTTGATAGGCTCCTGGTTTTCTAAGGTCCGTCCCTTAGGTCAGGAAAAATAAACATCCCTTTGCTGATTTATATCATCGCTGTCTGTTTTGATTATTTTCTACAGGCAAGGCACACCGTATGATCCCATCCTTGTTTCAGATAGCCCGGTAAAGAAGAAAATTAAGGTGAGCAACACATCATGATTCGGCAAGGCTTCTTTTTCTTACATCAGCTTGCTGATTTTTTTCCTTTTATTAGTCTTAGTATGATGCTTGGTACGTTTTTAAACAAACATTTTGAAAAAAAAAGTAATAACGCGGATTTAATCTTTTTTACACGGGTTATAGTAATGTTCAAATGCAACAATTTCTGTTTTCTTTTTTTTTTCTTAATTTTTATTTTTCAGGTTGACTGTAAGAGCCCCGATGAAACATCAGACGAAATACCTGGAAAAGAACGGTAAGAATTTTCTTTTGCATATAGTCTGAGACATTTACTAATAGCAGAGTGATTCCGACTGTCAACGATAAAGACGTAAGGTATGCCGTAACTCGATTGAGTGCCGCCCTCGATTGAGGCAAACTAATGTACCAAAAACGTCACACTTGAAAAACAACCTTATCCTTTTAGAGAAATGCAGCGATTATTTTAGCCTGAGGATTATAATCATAATCAGTAACATTGCAAAAATTTTTAACATCCTATCACTAGCCTGCACAACTTGCGCCTTATGAGCCAAGCGAGACGAACGTGGCATTTTGCGCGAAGCTCGAGAATTTCTCTTTCTCTCGCCTCGCCCCTCGCGTTGCGCGCCTCTCGTGCTTCACAAACTGCTGCGTTAGCCTCGCTTGGCTCAAAAAGCGCTTGTAATGCTATTGCAGGCAATCTTATCACAGCAAAACCGGGAATGTTTCTTTTTAGCATTATATTTTCAAATAACTGGTCTTCCGTAATAAATCGATGGTATAGCAGATTGTAGTGTCTTTAAGTTGAATACCTGGTAATTGCGCTTCTCTGGCTGTTTTCGTAACAATTTCAAGTGGAATGTGATGTTCATCGCTGGCTGGTTCCGGCAGCCAGTTTGCTGGTCCATGCGACGCGAAAAGTGAGCGCGGAAAAAAAAGAGCTTGCTGTGCGAGATAAACATGCTAAACATCGGTCAAAATCGGAATTCAAACATTAAAAACCTGGAAATTAAGGTGTACAAAGGATTTTTCGGACACAACCAAATTTCACATGATAGCGATTTTGTGACAATTTTTTAAACTGTTTGTTACAATTTGGTTAAGTTTTCTTTTTCTAAAACAAGGAGGATTACTTATTGTAACCTGCGTGCAAACTGTGCAAACTCATGAATAGATTTTGCTTACTTGACATGGTAGATTAGCGGTCTCTGTTTTTTGGGGTAAAATGATTTCTTTCTTTACCTTTAGGTTGATAGGAAGTCCCTACCAAAACAGCGAAGAAACACCAGTTTTTAGGTGGACCAGTGAATTACTATCCGCTCAATCGGCAGTACAAGTCCTATTGGCACCGATAGATGATGCTACAGTCAGTACAGCGACACCACGTGCCGTCTGTGACAATGTCGTCTTTTTGGTTGATGTATCAAAACTGGGCAATGAAGGCGACATCAAATGCGATGATCTAGGGGCGTGGAGAAATAATGGAGTCCACAGACAGAAATTTTGTATGGATGATGAAGGGAGTTTGTTTGCCATCGACGATGACGATGTGCCTCCTACTGACTGGGTTATATACCATCTGCGTCGGAGCTACTTTAAAAATAAATCTTCGCCAGATCTGAAAAAGTATCTTTTCGCAGTTCAGGGTAAGTATTTACAGTTATAAGATAAAATGTTTTGTTATTGTAATACCCATTTTAAAATAATGCTTTCAAAACTCTGGTTGAACTTAACGATTATGTAATGTTTAATAAATGAGCAGCAGTATTTTATGGGGCTATGAGCGACACTAACCGTAGAGGACATGGCATCTTTTTGCAGAGCTTTTCGGAAGCCTAAAAATGCCGAGGAAGATAGAAAGTTGATCACTAAACGTGGTTTTTTTCTCGCGCTATAACACCAACTACTTTCGTTTTTCACTTTCTTATATACGTTACTTCACATATGTTGTAGTATTTTGGGGCTTTTATTCGAATTGCAGTCGTACAAGATAAAAACCCGACTTGGTTTGAAATTTTGCCACTGCCACGCAGCTTACGTCTAGTTTTATTAGATCACTGATTTCCGCAAGACTTTAGCTGGAGGTGTGAAAGAGTATAACGCTATACCAATGGCAATCGCTTGGACTGCCAGAACAAAATTTGCGAGTGTTCGTTCTGAGGTAGTGACTTTTACCCGACGGGCGTCATTTTGAGAGCGACATGGGAACAACTTCTCTATTGAATCGCAGAGATCAAGATTTGTTCTATCTCAAAACCGGTTTCGCTTTTTTTTTCGAAATAACGTTAACGTAGCTAGATCTAAGATTTTAGCGATCGTAGCAATTGCTTGAAAACCCGACCAATACTGATGTCTACCAGCCTGTAGGTAGTGAGTAATGCGAATAACTTCGATTAAACCAGCGAATACAGTATATACGTTTTTTTTTTCCTTTCAGAAATACCTCACCTTTGTTTGGTCCAATACGTCTTCGACGGGAAAGCACACGAAGTTACCGTGCTACCGCACGGTAATAGTAAGAGGTCACACGCTTCCCGCTACGTGAGAACGAAGAAGAGTGTTCTGGACGATCTCAAAAAAATCTCTGAGACCAAAAAACCTAAGCAGGCCTTCCACAAAGTAGATGCGCAAAAAGGAGGGATTTTGAAAGCAAAATCAGAAAGTGACCTACCACGAAATCGGGAACAGGCTCAAAATCAGCGCAGGGGAATTTCTGCTAAGCAGATAGACTCACTCGTCTTGATTTTAATGAACAGTAAAAGGCAGCAGTTGGGGAGTCCTGAAAATTCATTCATACGAGAAGTTAGTGGACCCGAACTTCGCGCTGTTCTTGGCTTCAATTGGCAGCTGAGAGATATAGTGAGGTTCTGTACGAACTCTACGAAGTTCTCTGTCCTTGGCGCCGATCCCACGTTTAACCTGGGTAGGTTTCACTTGACTGTCACTACATATCGTAATCTTATGTTAGTGGATCGAAAGACTGGAAAACATCCAGTCATGCTTGGACCAATGTTGCTTCACCAGAGGAAGACTTTCGAGACCTACAACTTCTTCTTTTCAAAGTTAGTGGGATTGAACAAGGAAACAGCCTCGGTCCTTGCATTTGGAACAGATGGAGAAGAAGCCTTAATCCAAGCGTTGCAAAGAAATTTTTACCACGCCCTCCACCTAAGGTGCTTCATTCATTTTAAGGATAACTGTAAGGAGCAGTTAAAGTCGATGCCGCAGACCGTACAAGCACAGTTTCTGGCAGATGTGTTTGGTCGAATAAACGGAAGCACCAAAGAAGAAGGTTGGTATAGTGATTATAGTGATACATTTTCTGGATTTAAATTATAGAGACAGCTTAATAACGATTGCTTGCATGCAGTGATGATGATGATAACCTTCTTGTTCTTGTTGTCTATAGCTTACACAGTTATAAACACCTAAATACTGTGGAAAAACTGACATAATGCTCTTGAAAATGAATGTTTGATTTGATATTTTTTCACTTCGTAGGCCTGGTTGACGCAGAAACGGATGAAGAATTCATCGCGCAACTGGAGTCCTTCAAAGAAGTTTGGAATAGAAGAGAGAAAGAGAATCTTCCCCCAGCCAAAGCGCTCAAGTTCCATGATTACATTTCGGAGAAGGTGACGTTTAACCCTCTAAATAAATCTATTGCTAGTTAACATCACAGATTGACACCCAAGCGTGCCTTTTCCATCCAATAACTGTTTACATCTTCTATCTCAAATATAGTACAGATTAAGAAATTTGCTTTTAGGAACCTGTTACGCCTAAATTTGCCAGTTAGATCCCCTGTTTAGAAGACCCTTTTAATCGAAATTTTGAACAGGTTTTGGCAACATGGGTGTCTTCTCATCCCACCTGCAATGTAATGGTTTGTAGATCTTATACAAGAAAAGCTTAATGCCACTTAATACTCTTAGATACCATGTGTATAATAGCCTCACCTGAACAGCCTAAATTTGAGCTAATTACCATTTATGTAAGAATTTGTTTAGGGTAACTTGGGAAAAGTTACTCGCGGGGTTTTACTGTATTTCAATAGAACTCTTTGTTTTAACAGGCACGCGAAATAATGGCAAGTTTCTTGAAACCAGTGAGAAGAAATGCAGGACTCGGGGATCCTCCAGACCCCTACTATAACAACATCCCCGAGTCAGCCAACGCCATTATTAAAAGAGCAGTAGAGTACGAGCCAAAAGAAATGTCCAATTTCATCACGGAAATGGAGGGATTGATTACCCAGCAGAAAAAGGATTGCGAGGCAGCCGTCATAAACCGAGGCCCATATACGCTTGTGGACGAAGAGAAAAGCTTGGAAATTCCACCAGAAAAATGGTTCAAAATGAACGTCAATCAAAGAGAGCACGCTTTGCAAAAATATTGGAAAACGAGAAACCAAAAGCAAGAGAGTGAGATCTCCAAAGATGACAAAAAATGCCAGGAAAAGGATCAGTTTCAGAATTCCAGCACTCTCTCAGTCGATCCTGAACAATCAGGGCTGGCGGGTATACCCTTGTTGTTGCTTAAAGATATTTTTTCCGAGGCATCAAAGTTACTGGCCACCGAAGCAGCCATATTGCCAGCACCGTCGCTTAAAGAGAGCGCATTTGTCGTTAGAAATGACAATGGTGCGAGACCATACTTTGTATTTCAGGAAGCTAATGGGAAAGTAGTTTGTGAAGAATGCGAAAGATACAAATCTGCAAAGATATGTTGTCATTCTGTTGCTGTGGCTGAAAAATGCGGCACACTTGAGAAGTTCATTTCTTGGTACAGAAGAAGTCCGCAGACAATTACTGCTACGAGTTTCCTAACAAGTGACACTTCCAAAACAGTGGGGAGAAAGGGAGATCAAGAGAAGTCTTCGACGCAACGACGAAAGGGTGGAAGGTCAAAGGCACAGCGATCTGAGACAGTTACAACAGTCCAGAGGGCCTACGCACCTCCGTCACAGCCATTACGTCATGTACAAGCAAATACAGTCTCTTCATATGGTGCATCGCCGCTGATCACACTGCCAACAAGACCACATTCGCCTGCGACTACCCTCGTGCATTCTTCAGGACTTCCTGATCAGCCCCCAATTAACAGAAGAAACTACCCATCACCAAGCTATGGGTCTTTTGTGATCTATCCTTTGTCCATGTGTCCACCGCAGGTAAGCACATGCTACGGGTGCTCAGCACCATTGAAGCCGGCTGGGCAAATTGCCCCGCCACCAGGAGATCTGGTCATTGTCTCCAACATGTTAAGATCATTTACTCAAAATAACATGGAGTATCGCAAGCCATCAAATGTTTATTTTCATTGTAACACGAAATGTGTTCAGGCGAGACAACCTTATTTCCTTGGCGTTTTATGTCAGATTCCATTTGAGGTGTTGAACTGCATATCGGACCAGCATCGTGCTTACCTTAGAATGAATTTGGGTTTGTCCGTTTAGCTCGTGAAGATGACTTAGGGATTATACTTGTTACCTTTGTTAAGGAACTAAATTTTTGAAGTTAAATGACAAGTTTTAATCGTTTTTTTAAAGCACAAACTTGGGATAAAGTTACGGCAAGTATTATTGGCCTTTCCTGGTTAATTAGGATGTATCATGGTTTTGATATTATTTACGGTTTCCGTGGTACAGTACTAGACCGAGGAACTCTTTCGTTATCTTTTGACCTTTGTTTTTGCAAAGTTTCCGATGTTAGATTTAGTTAGTGTTTGCCTCTGTTGCTACATGTATACTGAAATAAACAAACTAAAGCAGGTGTAAAAGTACCTTCTTCCTGAGGGACAAGGATGAAAGAACTTAATTATTCATTTCCAGTTTATTTCTTATTCTGGCGCAGCCTAATCAGCCTAATGGCGTAATTTTCTCAAATTTTGCGCCGAAAAGTATTTTGAATGGTTGTAAAGTTTACGTTACCCTTGGACATTTGTTTGCGAATATCTCTTTGTTTCATTGCTTTTCTATCACACGGGCGGATACTTTTCCCGCCATATTTTTGCTTGTTTCCAGTTTTTCTACGCATATTATCGCAAACACTTCTTACTAATTGGTTCCACACCCCTTAGCTAGTTACTCGTTCAAATGTCCAGGGATAGCTTAGACTATAGAGAGTTGAAATTGAAGCTTGAACTGCATGTAATAAACTTTGGTTAAGATTGAGAATTAAAGAAAGAAGATAAGGAAGAGAAGTCAATAAATTCTTGTTTGTCAGTGGAACTGTTCTAGTCCCCGTCAAGTCCTACTTAAGCAACTTTTTTGTGCTAAACTTTCCCCTCTATTTAGTCTTGAATAACCAGAACAATGGGTGGATTCCTTTTTTATTACCTTAATCACAATGAATGATTCCCGGAGAGATTTAAAAACGAAACGGTTTTATATTTTTAAAAAACTAGAATCAGGAAGATTCTGTTTTTGCTTTAGGTAAGAGGATTACTTACTGAGATCAGTTTTCTTCCTCTCAGTCCGCTTCTAAGAGAGGCAAATACATGTACATTTTGACAGCGGTTCTAAGGAGGAGGAACGGAGCGTCTTTTTCCTTTCTTTTTCTTTTTTCCTTTTTGTGTTTGCTTGATTGTTCTTTCTTTTGCTATCTGCATTTTCTCGTTTTATTCTTATTTTTGTGGTTTGTCCGCACTTTTCCATCCGCCTTTTAATATCCGCATTTTGCTATCCGCCTTTTACTATCCACATTTTTTCATCCGCATCCGCCATCCGCAGGTATCCGGTCCGCGTTTTACAGACACCCCTTGAGGCTGTACCGAAGCACTTACCTAACCAAACGGGAATTTACCGGCAAGAGCAAAGAGCAATATAGGTACCTCTATCTCCCTGGGTTCGCAGTGTTCTTTAATGTGCAATTGCAATATTATTGTAAGTTCTTTTAATTTTTCCCTTAAAGCGTTGTTTTTAAGTACCGAGACATTCCCGAAAACTACAACATGTCTAGTTTAACCTCGTTGAATGAAAATCTTAATACATGAACCCGGCCTTCAACACATGTTTTAAACGCGTCGGCGGAATTTCACCTTAAGTCTGACTCAAAGGATAGTACAGTGATGTCTCAGGAAATAATTTCCCTTGAAGGATTTTAATTAGACCAAACCTTGGAGATTTATGTCTAGTATAAAAAATAATCATTGAGGCATGCTAATTAAAAGAAGGAGAACGTACTCCGCAGTATGTGGTGTATGTGTATGTGTATGTGATTGAATCCTTCAGTCATAGCCTCATTAATTATTACGTGATGCCTGAAAATCAAATCTTAAGCTAAAAAAAATTGCAAAAGGAAAAGCAAGTGGTTTTGTGAGGACGCGGTTAGTTGTTCAAGCGTGACAGATGCCGTCTCTGTCGATCTCGCGATGCATCAAGTGATGGAGCAAGTAGTTTGAGGATAATATTAAACATAGTTGCCTCCAAAACAGAGCTAAAAGGAAGTAAGAATCACTCTCTTACCTGCTAACCATGATGGCTTCGCTTTTCCTTGAAGATATTTATTTCAAAACACAGTTAGTAGACCTATTAAACCTGTCCTTGCTGATAATGAATCGATCGATTCCTGAATTCGCCAATTGTATTCCCGGAAATATTAATATGTATGCCCTACTCCCACCCCTCCCCTGTTTATGAGGTCACGCGATCTTTTCGCGAATGCGCGCGAGTGGGAGCGACTTTCGTTTGAAGGCTCAAACGACGGGAATACGAGTCGGAAAATCATAATTAACTCTCAAGGACGCAAGAACAAGACAAAACAATCTCGAAATAGATATTTCTTAGCAAACAACCCTAGGCAAAACAGTGTATGACTAAAATTTCTCAGCTTTTCGCAGAGCCAATTACAGGCTGCCGCCTTCCCCTTTCCGAGCTGAAAAACTTCAGTGAGATAGACCCTCCAATTTAAACCCCTAAGCGAGATGACGAGTCGAGCCAGACGACTTTTTATATAAGTGAAGGTATCCTATTAGACAATATTCACTAATAAATAAACTTTTAGATCCTCACGCTTCATTCGCCCCAACCTCGTCCCCAGGGTCTTCTCGTTTTCCAATATAGCTCAGATTTGTTTTTCTCAGTAGTTGCTAGCCTGCTTAGCAGGGACACAAGAAATTTGGGGCGCAACGCTACGGCGGCGCCGTTTAAAATTTAAAATAGCTTCAGATTCCGTTGGACCTCGTTGTTGCGTCTCAGGCACATGATACAAACGGTACAAGAAAACATTATTTAAATTTCCAAAACAAGTTTATTTAACATTTTGCCCCTTTTGTCATTGCGACAGTCCGTCGGGAGGCTTTCGCTTCCTTTCGTTCTGTGAAATCCTCTCTTGGCTGTACTTAACCATGACGGCTGCCAGACTATGTTTTTGTTCGCACTTTTGGACTTTTCCATCCACAATGTTCACAACGTTTTGAAATAGCTGACCAGTGAGAAAGTAGCCTGGAAAACAGACGACTTTTCCAGACACCATCACTGGTTTCCCCGTGAAACTACGGAACCAGCGCCACTCTGATAAGGCGTCACTACCCAGACCTGGGTAGTGCTTCTGACTGGTTGGAAATTTGCTTAGTACACTTCATCAGAATAGTATTTCTGCGCTCGTTCCTCAGACGTTAATTCGCGGGGAAACCAGACTTACGCAAACTGTAAGGTTTGTTGGTGAAAATCATCAAAAGCTGGTCTCATATAAAAATTGGATATAAAAAGCAATGAAGCGTTACGAAGTTTAAAAACAACCGACAATGCAGTTTACAGGAAAATGCTTACGTAAAAATGTGAGGAAACTGGAAATTATTACCAAGGGAAAACTACTGTAGTTTAAACCTAGAGACAAGTTTCTACCCCCCATTATCAACTGAAAAATGACACACACACATTTAAAATAATACTAATGAACGCTTGAAAGGTATTTCAGTTTACTACTTCGAAAATTTAAATCAAGAAAGAATGTATAATCCCTTGTCTGAATCTCTGCTGTACTATAACGCTACTGAAAAGCTACAAAAGTTTATTGATGTTGCGGACTGGTGCTATCTGATGACGTAATACAAAAGATTGAAAGGACACTAAACAATACCGACACTACAACAGAAAAGCGAACCAAGAATGGTTTCTGCAAGTCCAAGAAACAATCAAAAGTACTGTCAAATTCTGGCTATAAGCCCTGGTATTATGCAACTTTGTTAAGAATTTGGGGTTGGACATTTAAAGGGTGCAAGCAAACAGATCCCACACCATCCTTCTTTTCCTGTGATTATGAATACTCATGGCGAATTCGAAAATCTCAGACTCACCGAGACGCCGAGAGCCTTGTTAAAAAACTGAGAAAAAAAATCGAAAATTCGAGACTGATAAAAGCTTTCGTGACTCATTACAAAAGCTTTCGAGATCCTGAGATTGGTGAAAATGTTTCTTACCATCTGAAGGCAATGGTCGCGGAAAACCAACTCCGAGCGTTTACTCCACGGTATGGGCATTCTCGTCCCGAGAGGCCGCTGAGTGGCTCTGGGGGCGAAAATACTGTATGGTCTGGACCTTACGCATGCGCACCATATCATTATAATGGCCGTGAGGTAAAGAAGGAGAGCTCTTAAAAGACCTAAAAAGCGGAATATGTTTTCAGTTGCCAGAAAATCGCCAAAAAGTTGCTCCAAACAACAAACGTTGCCCAGCAACTTGTGGCTGATACTCCCGCAGGAACCCCATATTTTCTCGGGTCGGACTTAGCGTATATGCCTTTTCCAGGTTTCCGATATACGGCTTGTACCACAGCAAAAGCAGCATCATTTCCCACTATTACATTGTGTCCGAGTTTTTCTAAACCTTTAACTATATTGCCATTAAGACGATACTTTTCCTTCTTCTCAATTTCTACATCCATACTTGGCACAAGTTCTTCGTGAAGTCGAGGATCATCAACCGCATCTGACAAGGACTCGTCAAACCAGAGCTTGTTCATCAACACCTATAAGTGATACCAAAAAAAATACCCAAATTCAGCTTGTTTCAAACCTTTTGTGAGTGAAGGACCGCCGAAAGCTAAAAACGATAGGCTATCCCAAGTTTTTCGTGGAGGAGGGGTGTTTTGTCAAGATCCAAACTGCCGCTTATAAGCTCCCCCATTTAAAGTAACCCCCAGTTCCCGGGGAACACCCATATGAAAGGGGCGGAGACGTTCGTCGTCTCGCTTAGGGGTGTAAATTTCGGATTTTTGACTTCCTTAGGGTGTTCAGGGCAAAACGCGAAGAAATCGTTTTATTTACTCGATTCATGTAATCAAAGTTTAAAATCGTCTCTCTTGGGGTCAAAAAAAGTTGGGCCACGCCCAGATTGATCTCCTTTAGGGGTATAAAACAAAATTTCCGACGAGCATCCCCGCCCCTTTCTTATGGGAGTCCCCACCCCCCTCCCCGGGCCCCAGTTACAGGCCAATTCCGACCTGCAAACAAGAAAATACATCCGATTATAACCCCCTCGTTCCGGACATAAGACCTCCTCCAAATTATCACTGAATTCGATTTGTTCGTATGCAGTGGGGGAAATTTGTGAGTATTTTGCTCAGTCGTTATCCCACTTGAGCGGTTGATTTAAGTTTAAAAAAAGAATACAAAAGCTTAGCTTACAAAACAAGGCGCGCCATATTCAAAAATGCTTACATAGAAATTAACCAAACTTGGTCAAAGTGCTACCCACAATGCGCAGTATTTATACTTTTAAGCGATTCTTTTAAAGCGTTAGTTCCTCGCGGCAAATACTAAATAACAAAAGTTTCCCATGGCAACAAGTCTTTGCTAGGGACGCTCCGATCTTGAAAAACCTAATGAAAAAGAAAATCAGATTAAATCTATTGCTAGTTTTCATGTAACGTTAATATTTAGAGAAAATCATGTCTAAGTGTATTTCTTCAAGGTAGAAAATAAGTAGTTGGGCAGTTAAAAAAACCCATCAAGCTACCTTATGAACTAGAGACTGTTTGGATCATATTAATCATCTGGGCAGCCGAGCTCAATACAGCGAATTTATCGAGCTCGACATGTCCACTGACTAATATGATCTGACCAGGAGCCATAATCGGGGTAGGAGACCGTAAGCGCGGGGTCCACGCGGTTTAATGGAAATAAACAAATTGTCATAGATTCGCACGGGAACCCACAAATTTGCGTGACTCTCGTGTGGAATTTCAGGAGATGGTCGATCGTATTGGGACTTTGTTTGAGTGCTCACTGAGCATTTTTTCTCTAAGTAAAAAAAACGCTCTGGCGTGTCACATGAGATGGCGCAATTTGTGCTAAAAATAGCAAATTTGACCATTATGGCTCCTGGATCCGCCTGTTTCAGGTCAATTGTGACTATGTCATACCAGTGAGACAGCTGTTGGGATCCTTTTGCCACCAGACGCACCAATAATAAGCTGTACGTCACCACTACCGTTCGTCAAAATGGCAGGAGACATTGACGAGAACGGCCGCTTGTATGGCGCTGGAAAATTAACCTCAGACGGATAAACACCATCGATTGGTTTGGTGCCGGGAATGTCAAAATCTGCCATCTCGTTATTGTAGATAATTCCGGTTACGTTCGATCGATATAGGCATCCAAATCTGTCGAGAAACACACGTTAATCTTACATTGTAAATCATACAGACTCTCCTACCACCTTTCTGGCCAGGGTTTCTGCAATCATCACTGTTGCCGTGCTGTCACGCTAAATATCTGCTGAATCTGACCGTAGCCTGAGGAAACAGCAGATATTTTTCGATACCACCGGCCTCCACTGGTTTCCCCGCGGAATGAAGTTTGAGGAACGTGCGGAGAAATCTCATACTGACTTTTAGTAGTGCTTCAAAAAGAAAAGTCGCATTGATAATTTATTAAACTTTGCAAAATGATAACCATAGCTTTAAAGCGGACCAAGGAGAGCCTTCATTAGAAGACACGAATTCAGTCCCTCCTTTTTGTTTAGCTAACCTGTAATTTATAGTGGATGTCACGGAAACTGCGTCACCGTTTTTTGCCAGAACAGCCAGGTGTGTGGTGCCATAATCAGCATCAGAAAAGAAGCGCGCGTAGTAAGAAACGTTGTCGTGTGTTCGATCATCTTGTATCAGTTTACGTAACTTGTCACCCAGCTGTTGTTTTAACATCTCTTGCGCAATCTGCAACCGAAGATTGTCCAGAAAATTTAGACACTAACTTTATAAGGCTTTGAATTGGTTTGAAAACTAAAAGGAGAAAATATGGCGGCATAGAGGGCTCACAATCTGGACAAAGAGGTAAATATACAGGGAGGGCCGGTGACGGGGTGGTGAGGGGGAGTCCGGAAACCCTTTTAATACTTAAGAGGGATTATTGCAAGAAGATTTATTACCAAACACAATGAGAAGAATACGTCAAAAGCTGCACCTTAACTAGAATTCGAAATGTGTTGCACTTATCCGAAAACAGTAAAGATCTAAATAGCGAAGCTCATGTCTAATCGAAACTAAACCGTTATTGAGAGAAAGGGTGAAAATATAATCGCGGAGGGCGTACTCCCCCATAAAAGAGACGAGGGTGCTCGTCGTACCTTTTAGGGTTTTAAATTTGTGGATTGATAAAACTTAGGGTGCTAAAACCTAAAATGACTGCCGCCAGAGTTTGCCAGTGCACCTTTTTGCAAAATTCCTTGATAATTTTCCTTCCTATACTTTCATTCCACCACAAGGGGAGACAGGTATCTGAATGTTTTTTGAAATAAATCCTATTCGCATTTGCAGTGCCAGTTATATATATAATTTGTTGTTGTTAAATTGGTACCTCTTGGGGGTGAAAATGACTTTGGGGCACGCCCATAAAAAAAGATTCGGGTACCTTTTAGAGGTGTTCGCAAATTTTCCGACGGGCACCCCCGTCACTTTTATAGGGAAGTACCCCCCGGGAATATAATAACCTTTCACTTACTTTGTCTATATTCTTATTTTTATTAAACTCTGGATCTCCAAGTCTACTACGCCAAGCAAACCCAAACTTAAAAGCTTCAATGATTCGGTGATATGTCAACACAGAGGCTTTTGTACCATCACGAGCTGATGAAGTCATATCGTAACCTATAAAATAAAACACTTGATCTTTAAGGGTAATAAGATCTTTAAAAAAATCAGCATTTACACCAAGCCAGCCGCTCAGTGACAAATTTGTTCAGTTTTTCCAGGAATATAAGCAACGAAAAGGCTTAAGGTGACGTAATTTTCGAAGGCTGTGGCGGCCGTAGTTTGTCCCCTTAGGGTTAACAAAGTTTATAGCGGAGCTCTCGTGCTGGGGAAGCGCGCAGAAGAGCAGCATGAGTAAGAAAATTTGGTTATCTTTGCACCCTAGAAATTTTGGTTCTCTCAAAATCGTCCGTACGTCTACCCGTTCACGTAAGCCGGGGTTGAAATTTCGCATTTCCGAAACTCGCGTTTTGGCGGTTAATTGCATGGCCACACGGATTTTTCGAGAGAAAAAACAACAACTTAGCCGAGTCCTTTCTTCGACTTAATTTTAATGTCTACACTGACGTGGATAACAGTGAAAGAGCTAGAGCGAGAGATAAAAAACAAAGGGAACGAGTTTACTTGGAAAGAAAACATGAAAAATGAGAAATGAGCGGCAGTGAAAAAAAAAGCGCACAGGAATTCATACGACATTCCCCCCATAAAACGTGTATAAACTAGGAAGTCTAGGAAGTTTCACGTTGTAGTCGTGCAAAACAACGTTGTTGTCGCCGATTAGTGTTACACGATTTTATTTTTTGTTTCAGTAAACAGTAAGTCTATTTACTTAATTATGTACATTTTCTATGGCAATTACATAAATGGTGATGATGATAGTGATGATAATGGTGATGATGTTGATGATGATGTTGATAATGACAAGGAGGAGGAGAAGGAGGAGAACAGAACACTAGAACACCTACCTACCTTTCAATATGTTTAAGATGAGACCCAGTACAGCGCCACTTGTAGGGGGAGGAGTAAGGAGCATTTTCATCCCCTTAAGTTCACTTTCTAGTGGTTCCCTGATTTTTGTCTGGTAGTCCTTCAGATCTTGTTCAGTGACCTGTCCCTTCCTTTCGTTATCAGGAATACGTATTCTTATGTCTTGGGAGATCATCTTGGCCAGCTGTCCATTATAGAAAGATTCGGGATCGTCTCGAATTGTTTCCAATGTCTTCGCGTACTTTTCGTTTTTGATTGTAGTCCCCTTTTTATATGGTTTCCCATTTTTATCCAGGAGGAGTTCTCTGAAATGTGACAATAAATAGCAATAGACTGACAAAATCACAGCAGTGCTAAATATTGCACAGCATCTGCATTCAGGTTCTACTGAGTTTTCAAGGTACCTCTAGTGGATTTTTTCTTTACGTTTTACAGAATTAGATAAAAGAAGCGCTGTGCGATTAGAGTTTACAAGAGTTCAGTTCATCTATCCCAGTCAGGTATTTTTGAAAAAGGAATACCCTATCCACCTCAAAAGACTCAGGTGTTTTTTTCCTAGCCGAGAGAAAACATGAAAACAACCATCAAGAAATAGACTCTCACCTTAACCCCTTATCCTTTTTTATTTTCTCAACCATGTCGTCATTCAAGGCATCGGCCAAGGCGTGGCTTATTGGGAATCCGTTTCTTGCTAAATCAATGGCAGGTTGGACCAGATCTTCCCAACTTAACCTGCCGTGTTCATTCCAAGCTTGGTGTTGACCGCGTACCTCGCCAGGAACAGCGATAGCAAGACCACCTGGAAAAAAACGTTGTGAATTCAACACCAACCTGCGAGCAAGCCTTCATTTGTGCGACGAAGGGAGCGACCCGTGATGGCACGGGCGCCAACAAAAATCTCTCCGCCCAAATCTTCCCGCGGCTCATTTCGCGCGCGGCTTATCTGCGCCGGCAGTCTCTTATTTTTCTTTCTTTTTAAGCACAGTAGATCGAGAGTACTTGCGAGGAACGAGAGCGGAAGCTCCTCTCTTTTATCATTAATTTGCATAATTTTAGTTTTTCACTCGCCGCGCCTGGCTCTAAAAGAAAGACAACCGCTCGCGGTCTGGCGTAAGGCTCGCATGTAAGATATACGCGACAACCTCCCTACCCCTCCCCCCCCCCCAAAAAAAAAGAGAGAAGGAGCTTGCTTGCAGGCTACTCAGTTAAATGCTTTAGATGTTTTTTGTGGAACTACAGTAGACCCTCCGTCAACGGACACTTGGCCATTGTCCCTGCCAAATACACAAACACTCCATTTATTATTTCAGCAGACTCCCCTAAGCAGGCATCTGCTTAGGGTTGCGAGAGACAAGGGGCAGTTCACATGTTTTCAATTTTTTCAAAATAGAGAAATTATCTATTTTTGAAATTTCTTCAGCCATAGCAAAAATGTTTGAACAATGACAACGACAAGCTGGTACGTCCGTGTTCAAACACGTTAAGCAAAGTACCAAGCTTTTTGAAAAAAATCCACTTTTCAGCATAAAACAACCAAATCTGTCTATTTCATGTAAAATCAAGTGAGAAAGTTTGTAAAAGGCCATTTTTAGGGTTTTTGATTAAGCTTCTTTGGTAAAGTTGAAATAAAATCTGATATATTGGCACACTTGAAGTAATTTATTGTTTTTACAATTTGTTCTCGTTTTAACTTGGTCGACCCTTCATCGATCTCACAAAATGAAAAAAGAAAAGAAGGCTAACAAGACTGGCAAATTTGGCCCTTGTCTGACGAGATCTTAAAAAACAAATGTACTTTCCTGGCTTTACACAGGGGCACCCAACGACATGGAAAAATATCTGTTCGGAAGACGATTTGAGATATAGAATTTTCGGAACATTTGTTGAAAAATTTCTTGCTTGCCTGCTTCTCCCAGGATTTTCGAACATTTAAAAAATGGTATAATTGCCTATTGTTAACGGATTTTTACCCTAAAAAGGTCACCTAGAATTTTCGGGAGCCTTTTTTCTGGCTGAAGTTTTCGAAAAGGTAAGTTTTGATCCCTATTATTTTCGGATCACTAGACTTTCAGCTAGAAAATCCAAACAGATGAAAAATATTTAGGGGATAAAAATATGCCTATATCTACCGTTAAAATACCAATATACGTTTAACAATGCTATGTTTAAGTGGTTTTGACCTATATTCTCGTTGGGTGCCCCTGTTTACAGTCGGCCGAAACTTGATCATTTCCGTGATCAACTTGACACTCAGCTCAGTGACTAGAACAACCAGCGTTTCCGTTGACACCCTTGTATGTGCTATAGATTTTGCTGACAATGCACTCCTTTAAAGATGTAGAGTATTAATCTTTTTTCCACGGTCAACTCCTCCTGGAGAAGAGTTCCGGGGAAAAGATTGAGCATCAGCATTTTCATATATTGGCACCGATATATTGCTCTAAGCAATACATTAACTACAGTCGAAGCTCTAGTAAGAGACCACCTTGGAAATTTGAAAAAGTCGGGTTCGGCCGGGGGGTAGTGGAATACCAAAATACCAAAAATTATACTAAAACTCGTGTGAAATACCAAAATTAAGAAAAACACAGTATACTTTATACCCAAAATTGGTCATGAGGGAATAATTTATACCCAATTTTAAGCACAAAAATACTGTATACATGAAATGAAATACCCCAATATACTGTATACCCAAAAACCCCGGCCGACCCTGAAAGGTGGGTAAAGCTCTTGTATAAGCAACTTGATGGTAAGACAATAGAGGGTGGTTGCTTACGAGAGCTTCAGAAACTCATTAAAATAATCCATAAAGAAAAAACAAAAGAAATTAATATTTAATGAGTGTCTTTATATCTAATATAGACTGGTCTAAACTTAACCTCCAAAATTTTAGAACAAAATAACCCCAAATACAATACTGCACTCTGAAGATCTTTATAAATAACAAGCCATTAGGGACTGTTCATTAATTATGGATCAGGAGGAACTGCAGGAAAATTAGGGGGGCACTGAAAAAAAATTTCAACTAAGAGGGGGGCTCCCAAAATTGTTTTGTCTGATGAGGGAGGGTCTTGAAAAAAATAAACTTGTTTTTGAATCTTTTATTTCATCAGATTATTATTACTTTCAGAGGAATATGATTATATATTGATATTATATTGACTTAAATTATAAGAAAAATTTCCCGAAAACTTGGCCTCTTATAATTGCAATGTACATGATCGTAAACTTGATCGAATTGAATTTATTTTTATTTATTTATTTATTTGACATTTTTAACTCTTTTTCTCCAGTCTTTCTTGTGAGCTATTTGTATATATATAACATACATGTAGCCACTGCTCGCCTCAACTAGCTAATCTGCTAACTGCGGGCAGTGGATATTGATTGCCTTCTGTAATATTTTCAATAATATTAATGTACAGTTAAACCAGTTATCCTTATCAAAGAAATAAACATTTTAGAATATCTTGTAATCATATGAACTTACCTCATTAAAAATGTAAACTATGAGATTACAATTTACATGACAGGTGGCACAAGAGAGTGATCTGTCAATGTTACAACGATAACTGTTCAGATGATTTTTTGAATTAGAAATAAAAGCCTCCATATTTTCATGAAGTATCTCTTGATTGCTTTTTTTAAACAGGACAATGCTTGACATAGTGTTAGTTATGTTTGAATTAAGAAAATTATGCCAAACCTTCTATTTAACAAACTTGGATGCAGATATCTTGAACATAAGAAGAAACATGCCCAAAAAGGTGAAGTTAGGGGAGGGGGGGGCTCTGATATATATCTGAAGAAAATTGGGGGGGGGGTCTTAGAAAAAATTACAGTCCATGGGGAGGGCGGCAGGGAGATTTCTTGGATATTGCATAATTTTCCTCTATTCCACCCCTGTGTTTACTGTGTTTAATTAATGAACAGTCCCTTAGCACAATGTGCAGTTTTATTTAGTGCTGATTTATATGAATAAGACTCTGAGTGGTCGCTTACAAGAGGTTAAAAACAAAGGAAAAGTCCAGCTGGGTTATCCCAAAACTGGTCGAGTTCGTTCACGGGAGCGATCGCTGACGAGAACTTTTGTTTAAGCCACAGTTCAAATGGGGTTTCACCAAGGTGGTCGCAGTGATAGATCCAGGGGAGGGGCCCGGGGGGCCTAGCCCCCCCCCCCCTTAATTCTTAGACCAAACTGATAATTGAAGGGCTGAAAACAATTCTTTTTGAGACCGGCCCTCCCCCTTTTCTCAGGGTCTGGATGACCCCCCCTGCCCATTATCTGAAGGTCTGGATCCGCCACTGAGTCATCACTAGAGCTGGTTGCTTATGAGAGTGGTCGCAAGGAGAGCTAACTCGATTATAACTGCAAGGGAGCTTGTGAACATGACACTCCTCCCTAATCTTCTTCTGATTATCATAGATAACAGATAAAAAAAGAACACAACAAACCATGTTTAGACATGTCTTCCCCAGTTTTGGTCGGTGGAAACATATGAGACGTTGTTGCCCCTGGAGCAGTTTCCCTAAAGTCGATGACTGTGGCTTTCTTGAGCGTTCGATTATAAACCAGCATCACTCCACCGCCACCAACTCCAGAAGACTGCATGTTTATAACTCCCAGACAAAACATAGCGGCAATGGCTGCGTCTACAGCCGAACCGTTTGAGTTCAGGATGTTATTGCCAATTTCGGAACACTGTTTATTGTCCGTAGCAACTGCTTGTCTTTTATAGGGTCCTCCTAATGAATCATCTTTTCCTCTTGTAAAATACCAACCAAGAACTCCACCCACTCCCCCCAAGACCAGCACCCCCACAACTATCCCTGCCACTATTCTGAAAAGGAAAAACGTAAATTGCAAGCAAGAGAGAATAATCTGTCATCGGAAGATCAAAGTTGATGAAAATATATAGACATACTGGGCAAAGATGACAAGGTCCCGGTTGTTCAAACATTGGATAGGGCTAACCATCACATAAATCTCTTTCCAAAGAATAAATGTTAGGGAAACGAATTGCTTTATCCACTGGATAGCATTATCCATCTTTCTGACAACTGGGCTCAGATCTTCATTTTAACATAAGACAACTTGACGGAGTAGTGGTTCGACCTCAAAAAAATCATCTCTGCGGGGCTGTTCCACTTAATATCTAACCTCCCCCCACCCATCAAAAACGCCTACATATAGATCAGAAAAGTGTGATCTGAAAATTATTTCTGGGGGGGGTCGCTAAGTCGATGCCTTTGATCTTTTAGATCATTCTGAGGGATAAGGGAAAAAAATTCCTTTTTGAGGGGGAGGGGGAGAAAAACGGGTTATTTCTATCATGGGGGGACTGTGCCGACACTTTTGATCAGCTGATGGGCGGGAGGCTCTGTTACAACAAATAGAGCGACGGACATTACAGAGCAAAGTACAATCAACAATCACCTGACACGGATCAAAAGTGCTGAAGAACGTTTGGCCGGGCACGTTCACACATGACGACATGAATTGTTAAAAAAAAAATACTTAGCACGGAGACAGACTTTCATCAGGTTAAAATACATTTTAAACTACATCAGAAATCCCATTCTATTTTACACTTTGTCAGTTTCCTGTTGTTTCTCACTACGCACCGCGCAGTTGACTGCGAACTTTGCTCGTCAAGATCCGAGGATTAGTTGGTGTCGTTTTACCAAAACAAAATTCAATCTGATTTCGGACAGGGATGCCTTTTTAGAAATTGCAAATGGACAGCAAATACCGTACAACTTGGTTTGTTTGTAAAAAAAAAAAAAACACTTCTTGTAACATCGCTGCAGCAAGATAAGAATTTTTCTATTGACCATGCACATTCTGGGAAAAATAGATTTCCATGCGCTTTCGTGGCTCGAGTTTTAGACTGATCCCTGCTGACGTTTAGGATCGATATAATCAACAATTGGTATATAGATGATGAGGTTAGGTATAACATGGAAAATTATGCAAATCTATTTTTGTTTTCAAGTACACTCTACGCATATTATATATTTCTAAGAAAACTGTTGTTTACTGACATTATATACTAGATTTTAGCTGTTTTACTCTGAATTCATGAATCCCTACGCTCGAAGCAGAGCTCAACACTGAAACACACTTATTCAAAAGAAGAACTATGACATATATAGTTACTAAGAATCTCTTTCATCAAACCATGTGTTTAAACTGATCGATGAAATACCCAAACCTTTAAATACCATAATCATAACGATCTCGTCACTGAGCACATGGAGTTGGTTTTGTAGTGTGTCAATGATTTGGGCGTAATAATAAATACGCAAAGTGACTGTACGACAACTTCCTTAAAGTTGCCTCCAGAGCAGTTCTTAAGGTCTTACCGGACATCCATGACAATGCCTTCGCTTTTCCATGCGAGTTAAAGCTGCTCTTCAATCCGATCCGGATCAGACAACGCTTCGCCTGAGGAGTTCCCGGAAACATCCGAATTGTTCATTCCCTACCCCTCCCCTATGGATGTAGTATTTATCTTTCTGAGTTTCCGGATATCACCACGCGATCTTTTCGTCAGTTTTCGTGAAGAATTTTGACGAATTATCAGACTCCGAAAAAAAACTCTCAAAGAAAGAAGGGAAAATCATTTTCTAACCTGCCAACCATGATAATGACTCTCATGCAAGGTAAAGATACCCACAAAAACGATTGTTAAAGCTTCGCCCGAATTCCCGAAAACATGAACATTCATTCCCCGGCATCCCCTCCACGGCACTATCTTTCTATGCTCTTTAATGCTTCGAAGATAAGAGGGGTCTGGAGGCATTCTTTCCCGGAAAATTTCGAAATTTTGAGTCCTCGAAAACGCGATTTCCGCTATGAATATATTGCATTTAAGATTGACTGTGTATTTATTGTATAGTTTTACAAGTTCTTGACGTTAGCTGTTTTAATATAAAGTGTTCGATCGAACCCCCCGAACGCCCCCTGCCCCCACCCGCCTAGATCCCTCCTCAGCTACAGTACAGTCGAACCTCCACTATAAATGCCCCTAGGGGTGGGGACATACAAGAGGTGTGTCGCCTAGGCCTTCAAACCCTGACCCTGTTTGAAGTACAGTTGTTCATCCCGCTACCCTTTTTAAGACAACAGAGCATATTTTATGTCCCTGATTCGTTTCGGTCGCATTCAGGATTAAATAAGTTTCAAACCAACATCACGAAATGGGCAAGTTTAAATCGAATTACCAAAATTCATGTTAGGCTTTCAAGACTCAGGGGTGTAAAACAAAAGAGATCGCATTGAGATTCAGGGACGAATAATTCATTTCTTCTATTTCATTCCTCTCAGCCTCGAAATCAAGAATGGATTTTGGTAATACAAAACTGGCCTGTTAGAGTTTTTGAAAAAAAAATCGTTGGTACTACAAATGTAAACCGCTCTGATCGTCAACCAACCGTTACACTCTTTTAGGGATTCTGGTTTCCCCGTAAAATGACGACTGAGCAACCAGCGCGAATCTCGGAAAACAAAATTAACCCGGGGACTAGTCATTAAGTGTTTATTATTTTACGGCTGGAAAATCGAACCGTCCTTTGGCAGCAAATTAAATGAGCTTTATTGTAACGGAAGCAAACTGTAAGGTTTGTTGGTGAAAATCATCAAAAGCTGGTCTCATATAAAAATTGGATACAAAAAGCAATGAAGCGTTACAAAATTTAAGAAACCTGACAATGCAGTTTACCGGAAAAGGCTTACGTAAAAATGTGAGGGTAGTTGGAAACTATTACCAAGGGAAAACTAGTTTAAACCTAGAGGCAAGTTTCGATCCCCCATTATCAACTAAAAAATGACTCCGAATCCACACGTTTCAAATAATACTAATAAACGCTTGAAAGTATTTCAGTTTGCTACTTTCAACATTTGAATCGAAGAAAGGATGAATTATCTCTTGTCTGAATCTGCTTCTGTACCATAACGCTACTGAAAACCTACAAAAGTTTATTGATGTTGCGGACAGGTGCTATCTGATGACATAATAAAAAGACTGAAAGGTCGCTAAATAATACCGACAGCACAACAGAAAAGCGAACCAAGAATGGTTTCTGCAACTCCAAGAAACAATCGAACGAACGGTCAAATTCTGGCTATAAGCCCTGGTAGAGGACCTTACGCATGCGCACCATATCACCATAATGGCCTAAAGAAGGAGTACTCTTGTGAGACCTAAAAAGCGGGATATGTTTTAAGTTGCCAGAAAATCGCCAAAAAGTTGCTCCAAACAACAAACGTTGCCCAGCAACTTGTGGCTGATACTCCCGCAGGAACCCCATATTTTCTCGGGTCACACTTAGCGTATATGCCTTTTCCAGGTTTCCGATATACGGCTTGCACCGCAGCAAAAGCAGCATCATTTCCCACTATTACATTGTGCCCGAGTTTTTTTAAGCCTTTAACTATATCGCCTTTAAGACGATACTTCTTCTCAATTTCTACATCCATACGTGGCACAAGTTCTTCGTGAAGTCGAGGATCATCAACCGCATCTGACAAGGACTCGTTAAACCAAAGCTTGTTCATCAACACCTATAAATGGTAAGAAAAAAATGCCCAAATTCAGCTCGTTTTAAACCTTTCAATCCTGTGAGTGAAGGAACAGCGAAAGCTAAAAACGATAGACTATCCCACGTTTTTTTTTTTTCGTGGAGAAAGGGTGTTTTGTCAAGATCCAAATTGCGGCCGCTTATAAGCTCCCCCATTTCCCGGGGGCACTCCCATGTGAAAGGGGTGGGATGCATGCTCGTCGTCGACTCGCTTAGGGGTGTAAATTTCGGATTTTGGTCTCACATAGGGTGTTCTGGTCAAAACACCATTAAATTTAGCCGTAAATGGCTCTTTCAGGGCTGCACGCGAAGAAATATTTCAAAATTATATACTTTCAGTTCGTTTTATTTACTCGATTCATGTAAGCAAAGTTTAAAATGGTTTCTTCTAGGGGTCAAAGAAGGTTGGGCCACGCCCAGATTGGTCTCCTTTAGGGGTTTGAAACAAAATTTCCGACGCGCATCCCCGCCCCTTTCATATAGGAGTTCCCCCCGGACCCCAGTAAGTAAAATCAGCCTTGCTTCTGCTGTTCAATATTCCCAGTTACAGGCACATTCCGATCTGCAAACAAAAAAAATAATTTCGATTATAACCCCCTCATTCCGGACATAAACCCTCCTCCAAATTATCAATGAATTCGATTTTTTCTTATGCAGCATGAGGACCCGCATACGACTTTTTTTTTGCACACCACAGGACGCTGGCGTTGTTAAGAATAAGTGTCACACATGGTCATTCCTTGTATACTTTTATTCCGTTTGTTTTTTATTTATGGTATTTAGCATTCTGGAGTTATGGTGCCTCGATTTCATGATTCTAGGTTTATTTACGACATTTGCATTCTGCATTCCCCATTCTGGAATTATGTTGCCTCCATTTTATGTTACTTGTCCTATTTTTACGCCATATGCATTCTGCATTCTGGAATTATGTTGCCTCGATTCCCTGATCATTGATTATTTACGTACCGTATTTGGATATTCAACGTATTTACGGTAATTATGTTGCCTCGATTTCATAGAGTTAGAACGAGGTGGCCTGGAAATAACTTGTGAGAGAGGCTAAAGCTTGAGAAACTGAACCGATAAGCAGAATTATTTGAAAATAGTCACCTTCAAAAAGAATTTAGCAGACTTGTGGACTAGGCGTTTACACGAGAGCCGGTTGGACAAGGGTTTTCCTAAACATCCATTAGTCAAAGACTCCGAGCTCTCTTTCCTGGTAAGAGTTATATCTCTTTGCATTACTTTTCTATCTAGAATTCTGGCTTGTAATGTTGATGTTTCCTCCGACAGAGTCACGCGAACCTAGTGCGTGAAGCGTAAGACGATTTTATAAAGACAGAGATATAAATGTAACGTCATTGCGATGGATATCAGATGAACACCTAGAAGAAATGATTACGACCAACATCTTGCAGGTGAAGTTGAATTTTGTGAATTGTATCAGTAAACCAGTAAGATGAAAATTAAAGGAATAGTATCCCGTTACTGCGCATGCACCAAACTTTGATTTTTTTGTAACGTCATTGCGATGGATATCAGATGAACACCTAGAAGAAATGATTACGACCAACATCTTGCAGGTGAAGTTGAATTTTGTGAATTGTATCAGTAAACCAGTAAGATGAAAATTAAAGGAATAGTATCCCGTTACTGCGCATGCACCAAACTTTGATTTTTGGACAGGATGTCGCGAAATCAAAAGATGCGAGGAGAGTGAGGGGCACCCAACGGCAATTTTCGGAAAATATCTGTTCGGAAGACGATTTGAGATCTAGAATTTTCCGAACATTTGTTGTAAAATTTCTTGCTTGCCTGCCTCTCCTAGGATTTTCGAACATCTACAAAATGGTATAATTACCCATTTTTAACGGATTTTGACCCTAAAAAAGGCCGCCCAGAATTTCTATTTCTCTGGAATCGAATTCTGCTCGTATTTATGAAATTTCTTTTTTCCTTTTTAAAATTGAAGAGACTTGCACTTTGACAACATTTGTTGAGCAGAAACTAAGTCTCTGAGTCAAGAAACTTAGAAATTTCATGTAAGTGTAAGTGAAAAGGAGAGGGCGGTTTGAGATATGGAAAGAAGCGCTTACCGATTTGGAATGAAGCTCATGAGGTCATGTGACCTTATCCGCCATTGAGCCATGACTGCATTAGACTTTTTAAATTAAAATCGAGGCAACTTTTTTAAAAAAATACAGAAATAGAATATGGACATTCGACAGAACAAATAAGAGATGACATAGATAAAACAACTTCATTTAGCGATAAGATGCAACCCACAAAAAGCGGGCAATTTCAGTCCAAGGGACGATTTTTGGTATGTCCCTCTCTTCCAGAGTCTATGCGGAAGATGGTGCTGACGTCACACACCAAATTTCTCAAATCGATGTAGGTTTGTACCAAAAATTCTAACCTCATGGGAGCAAAGGACGGAATATATAAAAAACAAGGGACATGAAATCGAGGCAACAAAATTACAGAATGCAAAATGCGAAAATTCAAACGAGGCAAGATATTTACCGAATGAAAAAGACTAAATACAGGAAGTTAATAACATATCAACAGAAATGCAGGAAAAGACCGGGCGTTGAGGCAGCATACGGAAGGTCGACCACGAATTCAAGAAAACCTAATTGTAGATTTTAAGATCAGAAAATAAAAAAACGAAATAAAGGCTAAAATTGCAAATGGGATTTGGAAATTCAGACCAAAATTTTGGAATGATAGCATCAAAATTTACAATGGCCATGTGGTACTCTCATCGTTTTGCTCATAGTAAATACGCTAACCGAGTGATTTTCTGTCTTTATTATATTGATGCCAATTATTTGCTGTATTTATAGCCTGCGAGCAAGCTCTCCTATTTGGGCGAGCGAAGCGAGTCGCGCGAGAACGCGCGAGCGAGCGGCGAAGCCGCGAGTGGCAGAGGATCGGCCCCTCGCTCGTGCGTTCTCGCGAGGCTCGCTTCGCTTGCCCAAACAGCAGAGCTTGCTCGCAGGCTACTGTATATATAAATATTTTGTTCGACAACTGAAGGCATGTTTTCCGTCCTTCTGTCATTCATGTGCCTGTGAAATGTCCCCGGAGTGGGGGCATTTGATCACCTGAATGGACCCTAGTGTGGGGCATTTGAACGGCATTTTGGCTTGGATAGGGGAGAATTTGAACAACAATTTTCAAAAAAGTGAAATGCCCGGGGGGATGTTGAAGCTTCGATTTGACCGATACATTTGTAACGTTTTACCTGGCAAGGGGGGAGGGGAGCGCGAACAAAGACTGAGCAAGGTGAGATATCTTGCATCGTCCAGCTCATAACAATTTTATTTTCATCGACAGTTTTATATTATTTTTCAAACAGTGCCTGTTTGTAATCCTTATGAGCAAATAAATCTTCTATAGGCAAGGAAAAAGGCAGGCCGAAAGTAGCGCCCGAACATGAAGATTTCCATACACACTCCATGCGAATTATTTTAAAGACACGCTTTTAGTTTCCGCACTGGGTAATGAAAAATGTTTTGTTTCCAAAGGTTATCACAATATTCAAACTTATTTCCCTTTTCTGCTTTAAAATGGAACAAACCCTTCCTGGATTTTGCGTTACGGCTTCACGTCCGCTTTCGCTTCGACAATTCTCAGCCCGTTCCCGGGAGTTGTGCTACTCGGCTGTAAAATGAAATCTTCATTCCGAGACACTTTCAACGCCTCATAACGGGGAAACTAACAGGGATAGACCCGAGTAGACCCCGAAATTTGCAAAGAAGAAAGGTTGAAGTAACAAGCTGACCGAAATAATCCGATAAAACCGCTAACAGTAACCAGCAAAGAATCCAAGAAGAACAGCGAAAATAACACTCAAATCATCATGGGGGCTTGCACATCACCGAGCAATTCAAACTTGTCACAAACGCTCAAGAAAAGAAACTATTTAAAAGTAACTCAACTGCTATCAAAATAAAGCGTTCCAACAACTTTCCCGGCGGTATAGTGTCGAAATTACCGACACAAGCTGGGAATAAAGCTAAAATTTCACCACATACACCTCTGAAAATGGCAACATGGTGTTGCTAGTGACGCTCTGATCTTGTAAAACCTAACTGCATATCAAACTTAAATCTATTGCTAGTTTTCATGTAACGTTAATATTTAGCGAAAATCATGTCTAAGTGTATTTCTTCAAGTTGGAAAATCGGTTGTAGTCAGGCAGTTGAAAACTTCCCCCTCATGCCACCTTAAGAACTGGAGACTGTTTGCATCATATTAATCATCTGGGCAACCGAGCTCCATATAGCAGGTTCATCGAGTTCGACATGTCCACTCTAACTAATATGATCCAACTAGGAGACATAATCGGGGTAGGACACCGTAACTGCAGGGTCCACGCGGTTCCATCGAAATAAACAAACTGTCACAGACTCGCTCGGGAACCCTCTCGTGTGAAATTTCAGGAGATAGTCAATCGTATTAGGACTTTGTTTGAGTGTTCACTGAGCATTTTTTCATAGTGCATAAAATGCGCGGGCGTGTCACACGAGATGGCGTAATTTGTGCAAAAAAAAGCAAATTTGACTGTTTCGATGAAGCCAGCCCCATTATTGAAAAAGCTATCCAGTTACGGTCTCCTATCCCGATTTTGGATCCTGGATCCGACTGTTTCAGGTCACTTGTAACTATGTCATACCAGTGAGACAGCCGTGGTGATCCTTTTGCCGCCAGACGCACCAATAACAAGCTGTACGTCACCACTACCGTTCGTCAAAATGGCAGGAGACATAGACGAGAATGGCCGCTTGCCTGCCTTGGGAAAATTAACCTCAGATGGTTTAACAACACCTTCTTCTTTTCCGGGAATATCAAAATCTGCCATATCGTCATTGTAGATAATTCCTGTGACGGTCGATCGATTTCCGCATCCAAATCTGTCGAGAAACACACGTTAATCTTACATTGTAAATCATACAGACTCTCCATCTTTCTAGCCGGGTTTCTGGAATCATCGCTGTTGCTGTGCTTTCAGGCTAAATATCTGCTGAATCTGACCTAGCGTGAAGAAACAGATGATATTTTGCGATACCACTAGCCACCACTGGTTTCCCGCCAAATACAGTCTGAGGAACATGCGCAGAAATTCCATACCTTTTTTAGTTATGTTTTAAAGAGTTTCGTAGACTTAAGTCGCATTGATAATTTATTAAACTTTTCAAAGGCAAAACGACAACTATAGCTTTAAATCTGAGCAAGAAGAGCCTTTATTAGAAGACACGAATCTGTTTAACTAACCTGTAATTTATAGTGGATGTCACAGAAACTGCGTCACCGTTTTCGGCCAAAATGGCAAGGTGTGTGGTGCCATAATCAGCATCAGAAAAGTACTGCGCGTAGTGAGACACACTGTCGTATGTTCGATCATCTTTTATCCGTGTACGTAACTTGTCACCCAGCTGTTGTTTTAACATCTTTTGCGCAATCTGCAACCGAAAATTGTCCTGAAATTTAGACACTCAGTTCATAAGGCTTTGAATTGGTTTGAAAACTAAAAGGAGAGATTGTGGCCGTTATAGTCAGTGTATAGTGGGCTCTCATTCTGGACAAAGAGGTGGATATAGGGGGAGGGTAGGTGACGGGGGGGAAATCCAGAAACCCTATTAATACATACTTAAGAGGGATTATTGCAAGAAGATTTATTACCAAACACAATTAGAAGAATACGTCAAAAGCTGCACCTTAACTAGAATTCGAAATGTGTTGCACTTATCCGAAAACAGTAAAGACAGTCTAAATAGCAAAGCTCTCTAATCGAAACTAAACCGTTATTTAGAGAAAGGGTGAAAATATAATTATCTTTTCACTTACTTCGTTTATATTTTTATCCTCATTAACCTCTGGATCTCCAAGTCGACTACGCCAAGCAAAACCAAACTTAAAAGCTTCAATGATTCGGTGATATGTCAACACAGAGGCTTTTGTACCTTTACGAGCTGATGAAGTCATATCGTAACCTATAAAATCAAACACTTGATCTTCAAGGGTAATAAGATCTTTCAAAGAAATAATTAATCATTAACACCAAGACAGCTACTCAGTGACAAATTTGTACAAATTTTCCAGGAATATAAGCAACGAGAAAGCTGAAGCTGAACGTAATTTTCTAAAACTGTGGCGGCCGTAGTTTGTTCCCCTGGGGTTAACAAAGTTTATATCGGAGCCCTTGTGCTCGGGAAGCGTGCAGCGGAGCACCATGGGTAAGAAAATTTGGTTATCTTTGCACCCAGCATTTTGTTTCTGTCAAAATCGTCCTTATGTACGGCCGTATGTCCACCCGTCCATGTAAGCCGGGGGTGAAATTTCGCACTTCAGACACCCGCGCGTTTTGGCGGTAAATTGCATGGCCACCCGGAGTTTTAGAGAGCCTGAAGACCGCAACCAAGCCGAGTCGTTTTTTCGACTTAATTTTAATGTCTACACTGACGTGGATAACAGAGAAAGAGCTAGAGCGAGAGATAAAAACTAAAGGAGACGAATTTCGTTGGAAGGAAATCATGAAAAATGAAAAATGAGCGGCAGAGAAAAAAAAGCGCACAGGAATTCATACGACATTTTCTCCATAAAACGTGTATAAACTAGGAATTCTAGGAAGTTTCACGTTGTAGTCGTGCAAAACAACGTTGTTGTCGCCGATTAGTATTACACGATTTTTATTTTCTGTTTCAGTAAACTATAAGTCTATTAACGAGAGCTTTTCATCCCTAGCTAAATCTATAAATTACGGTCTTAATTATGTACATTTGCTATGACAATTACATAAACGGTGATGATGATAGTGATGATATTGATGTTGATGTTGATGATGACGAGGAAGAGGAGGAGGAAAACAGAACACTAGGACACCTATCTACCTACCTTTCAGTATGTTTAAGATGAGAGCTAGTACAGCGCCACTTGTAGGGGGAGGAGTAAGGAGCATTTTCATCCCCGCTAGTTTACTTTCTAGTGGCTTCCTGATTTTTGTCCGGTAGTTCCTCAGATCTCGTTCAGTGACCTTTCCCTTAAGCGTAAGTTTACTCATGTCTTGGGAGATATCCTTGGCCAGCTGCCCATTATAGAAAGATTCGGGATCGTCTCGAATTTTTTCCAATGTCTTCGCGTACTTTTCGTTTTTGATTGTAGTCCCCTTTTTATAAGGTTTCCCATTTTCATCCAGGAGGAGTTCGCTGAAATGTTACAATAAATAGCAATAGACTGACAAAATCACAGCAGTGCTAAATAATGCACAGCATCTGCAGTTATTCTACTGAGTTTTCATACTCATCATATTCTGTTTATAGGCAACTTCTGGGGCTGAAGGCACTCTGAAGGAGCATTAGGAGGCTACGCCCATAAATATATGGTCTCTCGCCATGCGACAGATTACCCATACAAAGGACAATGCACCACGGGTGGTCCGGCTCTGCCTGGGGCTTGTTGTACCTCTAGTGGATTTTTTCTTTACGTTTTACAGAATTAGATAAAAGAAGCGCTGTGCGATTGGAGTTTACCAATAGTTCGGTTCAACCATCCCAGTCAGGTATTTGTGAAAAAGGAATACCCTATCCGCCTTAAAGACTCAGGTGTTTTTTTCCTGGCCGAGAGAAAATATGGAAAGAACCATAAAGAAATAGGCTCTCACCTTAACCCCTCATCATGTTTTATTTTCTCAAACTCATCTTTCATGGCATCTGCCAAGGCTTGGCTTATTGGGAATCCGTCTCTGGCTAAATCAATGGCAGGGTTGACCAGATCTTTCCAAGTTAACTTGCCGTAAAGCTTCCAAGCTTGGTATTGACCTCTTACCTCGCCAGGAACAGCGATAGCAAGTCCGCCTGGAAAAAAACGTTGTGAATTCATCACTAAGCTGCGAGCAAGCTCTTCATTTCTGTGGCGAAGGTAGCGAGTCGTGATGGCACGGGCGCCAACAAAAATCTCTCCGCCCAAATCTCTCGCGGTTCGTTTCGCGCGCGGCTTAACTACTGCGCCGGCAGTATCTTATTTTTCTTTCTTTTTATCCACAGAAGATCGAGAACACGCGTGAGGGGAGAGCGGCGAAACCGCGAGGAACGAGGGCGGAAGCTCCTCCCTTTTACCATTAATTTGCATAATTTTACTTTTTCACTCGCCGCGCATGGCTCTGAAAGAAAGACGACTCGCTCGCTGTCTAGCGGCGTAAGGCTCGCATGTGAGATATCCGCGATAACCCCCCAAAAGAAGGAGCGTCCTTGCAGGCTACTCAGTCAAATGCTTTGGATACTTTTCTTTTTAATTACAGCCGACCCTCAGTTAACAGACACTTTGTCATTGTCCCTGCCCAGCCACCCCCCACCCCTCCTCCTGTCCCTACCACATACCAACACTGCATACATTTTTTTCAGCAGACTCCCCTAAGCGGGCATCTCTAAGCACAGTTTTGGCCCCAAGGGGATCCACTACTGGGGTTACGATAGTAGTAGAATTTTTCCTAAAAATTAGGTAATCACAAGGGGCACAGGTTTTCAATTTTTTCAAAATAGAGAAATTATTTATTTTTGAAATTTCTTCAGCCATAGCAAAAATGTTTGAACAATGACAACGACAAGCTGGTACGTCCGTGTTCAAACACGTTAAGCTTCTTTGGTAAGGTTGAACTAAAATCTGACATACCGTAAAATTCCGAAAATAAGCCCCTCCATGTATAAGCCCCTCCAAATATAAGCCCCCCAAACTCCTAACGCAAAAAACCCTCCGTTACATCGCCCCTCCAAATATAAGCCCCCCGGGGGGCTTGTACTTGGAAATCGCCTCAAATACAAAGTAAAACAAAGAAAAACGGTAAATTTCCTTCCAAGAATAAGGCTAGCCCAATCAATTTTTAAACGCAAATTTCCCTCCGTACATAAGCCCCTCCAAAAATAAGCCCCTCAAAAAGGGCCTTTGAAAAATATAGGCCTCGGGGCTTATTTTCGGAATTTTACGGTATTGGTATAAAAGAAGCAACCCAAGAGCAGGTGACAATCTTACACTTGAAGTAATTTATTGTTTTTGCAATTTGCTCTCGTTTTAACCTTGGTCAACCCCTCTTCGATACCACAAAATGAAAAAAAAAGAAGGCTAACAAGACTGGAAAATTCGGCTCTTGACTGAGGAGATCGTTCAAAAGACATGTACTTTCCTAGCTTTACAGTTAGCCGAACTTGATTATTTCCGTGATCAACGTCACACTGCTCATCACAGTGATTAGAATAACCAGGGTTTCCGTTGACAACCTTGTATGTGCTATAGATCTTACTGACAAAGTACTCCTTTAAGGATGTAGAGTAAATCTTTTTTTCCAGGGTCAACTTTTCCTGGAGAAGAGTTCTGGGGAAAACACTGAGCATCAGCATTTTCATATATCGGCAACGCTTTTAATTATTGCTCTAAAGTATACATTAACTACAGTGGAAGCTATAGTATCGGGGGATGAAGCGGAATCATTTGAATCTTGATATTCATGATTCCTGTCGTTTTTGCCTCAACGATTCATGATTCTTAGAAAAATTTTCTTCCAGATTCATGATTCACGAGGACTTCTGATCACCTATTGACTTAACGATTTTTTCAGTGGCAACATTGTCTCGTTTTGTCTCGTTTTTTTGGTGTTCAAACTTCTGTTTTCAATTTTTCTTTGTAACTGAACCCCCGGGGGAGGGAGTACTGCCATATATGGGCTATATAGGTATGTGCCGCTGTGAAGGGTATGGTCTTCAAGCAGTTTACTCTAGGATAGGGTATATAAATCAGAGCGCTTGGGTCTAGGACAGGGTATCATTTTTCAGGAAACTGATCAGTTGGTTGAAGATTTTATCTAGACGAGGGATTGTGGTATAAGGTTTTGTTTTGGCTAAACTACTGTGCTAGTGACCTCAGTAGTTTCTGGAAAACAGCTACTCTAGGATAGGGGGGCTTGGGGAGTTTACTCTGGTATAGGGTAGCAAAATTCAGCTGAACTAGCTCTGGTATAGGTCAAGGGTTCCAGGGTCCCAGCGGCACATCCCTACCCAGAAATTCCTAAAGTACCCCCCCGGAACTGAACATAAAGTGTGAACATTAGGTACCAGAGTAACTGGAGAAACAAGCGAACTGTCAGCCCCGAATGCACGAATTATATAGTGAGGTCCGGGGGCATGGTCCCTAGTAAGAGACCACCTCGGAAATTCGAAAAAATTGTAGTAACTAGAGCTGGTCGCTTATGAGAATGAGCTCTCGTTAGCGACTGCATGGTAAAACAATAAAGGGTGGTCGCTTACGAGAGCTTCCGAAACTCATTAAAATAATCCATAAATAAAAAACAAAATAAATTTTTGTTAAATGAGTTACTTTATATCTAATATATACAGGGTTAAACTTTACGTCCAATTTTTTTAACCAAAACAACTCCAAATACAACTGCACTCTAAAGAACTTTATAAATAACAAGCCATTAGGGACTGTTCATTAATTTTGGGACAGGGGGAGCTGGAGAAAATTAGGGGGGCATCGAAAAAATATTTCAACTTCGAGGGGGGGGCTCCCAAAACATTTTTGTCTGATGAAGGGGGACCTTGAAAAAAAAACACTTGTTTTTAAATCTTTTATTTCATCAGATTATCCTTATCAATTAAATAAACATTTTAGAATATCTTGTACTCATATGAACTTACCTCATTAAAAATTTAGCCTATGAGATAGAAGTTACATGACAGGTGGCTCAAGAAAATGATCTGTCCATGTAACAACGTTAACTGCTCAGATGATTTTGCGAATTAGAAAAAGAAGCCTTCTATATTTTCATGAAGGATCTCTTCATTGCTTTTTTTAAACAGGACAATGCTTAACAAGTGTTATATGTTTGAATGAAGAAAATTATGCCAAACCCTTTATTTTACAAACTTGGATGCAGTTTTCTTGAACATAAGAAGAAACATGCGGGCTCTGAAATATATCTGAAGAAAATTGGGGGGCATCTTGAAAAAGAGTAAAGTCCGTGGGGGGAGGAGCAGGGAATTTTTTTGGATATTGCTTAATTTTCCTCCAGTCCACCCCTGTGTTTACTGTGTTTAATTAATGAACGGTCCCTTAGTGCAGTGGGCAGTTTCATTCAAGTGTTGATTTATATGAATAAGACTCTGAGTGGTCGCTCACGAGAGCTTAAGAACGAAAGTCGTTAAGGATTGAGCAAAATTGGAAATGGTCAAACAAAACCTTCGCTCAAACTTTGTGTGTAGTTAGTAATTCAGATGAAATTACTCGCTGTGGCATTTGTTTCACTTCTAACAAACGCCTGCACTGTGCATCACGGGGGGGCGTTTGGGCCAAAAATTTCCTTTTTTGGGGACAATTTTCTCCTTGAAAATTGTAGTTCTGTTAGGTAAATATTTCAGAAAACAGACTAACAATCTGTTTACATGACAGAAAAATATCTCAATGAAAATGTTACCAATTTTTCTCTGGGCCCCCCCTGATGGTCCCTGTTCATTGTTATTTACAGGAGGGACTTTTTTGACAAGGCTAAAAAATAGGCATTTTTGAACACATTTTTTTCTTACCATCACTCCGAAATATTTACTACATCCTGAAACAGGATGTAGTAAATATTTCACCCTTTGTGAACCATTTCATCCTTAAACATCCGCGGGCACTAGATACATTTTTGCATGCCAAACAAATGAAAATGTATACCTGAAACAAAATTATAAAAGCAGTGCAGCGCTTGTGACGTGACACATTGCGTGACTAAGATAAATTACCTTGAAGACAGTGGCTGCGGTCACATCTGGGCTACTATTAAATAGCCTGTGCCACGCTCTCCGATAGTGTAGGGGACGTATTAAAACGAGCACGACTTTTCGCCACTATCTCGGAGCCTGGAACAGGCTAGGCTACTATAGTTAAGACGGGGATAACTATAGTTAGCTATTTCGGTAATGTGACCGCTTCTCTGCTCGCTCTAATTACAGTTAGAAAATTTACGCCACGGTGATCCAAAACAATGCAGACTAACTATAGTTATACCCAAGCAGGGTTTGTGGGTTAGGGCCTGTTTACATGGAGGTGGGGGACCCCAGGCAGGTGAGGTAACCCTCTTAGGTGGGGTAACCCGCCTGTCCATATAATCTCTCATTTTAATTTGGCACGTTTACATGATAGGTGGGGTGACCCACCAAGGCGGGTAGCCCGGTCTGCCAGACCGGGTAACCCTCTTAGCCGGGGTCAAATTTTGCCATGGAAACGTTTCAAGGTGGGGTAACCCGCCTAGCCGGGGTTGGATTCGCGGTACTGAGTTCGCACAAAATTCACTTTGGCGGTAGCTTTGCATCATTATTAAAGGTATAGAAAGCCACAGCACTGGAGGTTGCAGCAAGAGCGGCAAGCGAGTGTAGAAGAGCATTAATCACCAAAACACCTGGTTTGCCATCATTTTTCTTGTTTACGTGCTTAGCGACCCTTCAATAATCTTGAGAAAGTGCACCCCGAGATGGTGGGGTTGTAAGATTGCATGTAAATGAGGGTTATTTTTTTTACCCCACCTAAGGGGGTTACCTCACCTATCTGGGGTCCCCCACCTTCATGCAAACAGGCCCTTAGTCTTAAGTTTACAAACAAACAACCAATCAGAATGTGACACTTCTTTTCGCACGTGCGAGATGAGCATATATAAATATGCAAAATAAAAACCAAGCGTGAAGCGAGGGGGAAACCAAAAACAACAAACAAAAAATTTACATAAGCTAATTGGTTTAATTGTTAACTGCGTGGTGTGACCGCAATGCCGACCGAAATCACTAACTACAGTTAGGTATGACATCACGTAACTTGACACTAACTTTAGTTACGTCGTAAATGTGACCGCAGCCAGTGTGTTGGACATGTAAGAGAATCCAACAAAGCACCATTTTCATGCAAGGTAAGGAAAAAAATGTTTCTGCCCATCATAAGCAGCTACAGTAATTTGGCGGGGTGTCAGTGTGAAAGAAAACTTTGTACATATGCACTGAAGATGAGGGAAGGGATTTGAATGCAACGACATGCATGGTGGATGAGACCTAAACGGACCGTGACTTGTATGTGATTTGACTTGGCTCTGAAATGTTTCTCCCATTGATTGTTTTGTTAATGGTCAGTTATCTATCATTATTATTCATTCAAAATATTTCCCCAATTCTCATAGGCTAAAAGCACACGCATAATTCACCATAACCAGTTACTGATGACCAAATTTGGAAAAATTTGGTGTTTAACGAAAAAATGGCGTCAAAAATGCAGTCCTCTAAAGGTTAAGGTACCGTTTACCGAGAAGACCTGGGGACGAGGTTGAGTTGTTTTCGTTGTGAAAACTAAAATGGCGGACATTTCACTCGTTTCAAGAGTAAGAACTACAGCTGGGAGTTCGCTCACGGGAACGGTCGCTTGAGAGAACTTTAGTTTAATTTTGCCACAGTTCAAACGGGGTTTCACGAAGGTGGTCGTCACTAGAGCTGGTCACTTCTGGGCGAAATCCCTGGGGGGGGGCAAGGCGAAAAAGAAAAATAGCACTTACCTAATTTCGACGTGTCCGAGTCCCCTGATTCGTTTGGTGGAAACATATCAGACTTTGTCGCTTCAGGAGCAGTTCCCTTAAAGTCAATGACTTTGGCTTTCTTGAGCTTTCGATTGTAAACCAGCATCACTCCACCGCCACCAACTCCAGAAGACTGCATGTGTATAACTCCCAGACAGAACATAGCGGCAATGGCTGCGTCTACGGCCGAACCTTTTGAGCTCAGGATTTTATTGCCAATTTCGGAACACTTTTCATTGTCCGTAGCAACTGCTTGTTTATAAGGTCCTCCTAAGGACTTATCTCCTGATCCGCCAAGAACTCCACCAAGAACTCCCTCAAAGACCAGCAGCCCCACAAATCCCCATGCTACTACTCTGAAAAAGAAAAACAGAGACTAATCTGTCGTAGGAAGATCAAAATTGATGAAAACAAAGGCATACTGGGCAAAGAGGTCCCTATTGTTCAAACGTTGGATAGCGCTATCCACCGGATAAATCTCTATCCAAAAGATAAATATTAGGGAAACGAATTGCATAGCGTTATTGACCTTTCTAACAACTGGGCTCAGATCTTCATTTTAACATAAGACAACTTCACGGAGTAGTGGTTTGACCTCAAAACAATCCTCTGTGCAGGGCTGTTCCACTTAATATCCACCCCCCATCAAACACACCTACATGTAGATGCTATTTATCAGTATAAGACGCCAAATAAAAAAACATGTAACTATGTGTATGTATATACAGATCAGGACAGTGGGACTTCGAAAGTTATTTCTGAGGGGGTCGCTAAGTCGGCGCCTTTGATCTTTTAGATGATTCTGAGGAATAAGAGAAAACTTCCTTTTTGAGGGGGAGGGGGAGAAAAACAGGCTATTTCTGAGAGGGGGGACTGTGTCGGCACTTTTGATCAGCTGATGGGTGGGAGGCTCTGTTACAACAAATAGAGCGACGGACATTAGGGGCCGATCGTATATTATGTCCCGGGGGGGAGGGGCGGGGGTTTTCAGAAAAGTGTGGTATATCAAAACTTTACCCCCCAAATAATTGCATACGAAAATTGTACCTCCCCCCTTCCCCTCCTCGGAAATAACTATTTTTAAAATGCACCCCCCCCCCTTTCCCCGCCCTTCAACGCCTTCTAGACCAAGTTTCTTCTTCCATCCTTGGGTATTGATTTCATTGACCCGTTGGCTATGCCATGCTGATGAGCTCCAACAAGGGCGAAACAGCTGTCCATGGCTGCCACTGCCCTGGTGATATGGCTGTGCGCATGCAACAGAGAATGATCTATTCTCTCTTGGCGCATGCGTAAGGTACTGGCGGAGTTGTGTAGTGTGACCATTGCTTTCAGATGGTTTATTATTGATTTCATAAGTTATAAGGTACCGTGGTTGGCAGCGTAACCTGAGATTTTGAATGTGCACGCTGGGGAAGAATAGCTATCGTGCCGAAGGAGCCCCAAACCTGGGGGAGTCTGGGGGCATGTTCCCCCAGCAGAAAATTTTTAAATTTGGGGTCTCGGAAATGCCATCCCCTGCGTTTTCTGCAGGACATTTTCAGTAAATAAAGACGAAGGAAAATGCAGTAATTAGTTGTTTATTTTACCCATCTGCCTCTAGTGTTATCGGTAAGGTACAGACTGTTTACAATGATTAATAGCCTGCGTGGCAGGCGTTAAAAGGGGAAGGGGAAGGAAAAATTTGGGCCCTCGAGGAGGAAAGGAAAGGAACGCCCGCAAGGAGACAATTGTGTTCTCCATTTTTCACGCTCAGATTCTGAGAGTGAAAATAGTGATTGGTCAGAATCAGATTAATTAAATGTCAATCTGCGAATTAATACCTTTTTCCGATTGGTTGAAAACAACATCACGCCATTTGAGTAACTAAAGATATGTTGTTAGTGAAGTGTGATGAGATTTCTCATGATTTCTCCACGGGTTCCCCTCCTTCCTCCTCCCTCGCGCGCGGTCTGGCGTCCTAATTCCCTTCCCCTTCCCTTTCAAACCCCTGCCACACAGGCTACGGCATCAAGGACGTTACAAGCAAAGGGCGAGATGTGTACCCTTCGGATGGACAAACTCTGTTATAATGCAATCAATATCAATTACGTCCTTGTGCTTGTGTATGTGCAGCATTGCAGGATAGCTCAATCTCTCGTCTGTCATGGTCCTTCGTAAAGGAGTTTGCAGTGTCTTCAAACCACTGAAGCTACGCCTAGCTGTGCATGTTCACACAGGACAAGGCAAGAAAGTTATGAGAGCTACATTATACTCCGGGATAGAATTGTAGTTGGCTTGGTCAAAAGTCTGAACCAAGGTCTGTGGCTTCACATTCGGATCCATTTCACTCCACTTAATCAGTAAAGAGATAAAGAAAATCCTAACACAAAAACACCAATGTAATGCGAAATATTCATCCCAATTTAATTATAAAAATGCTTTCATTTTTTCCGGATTTTTTTCCAGATTTCAGCTGTATGCATAGGCATATGTGCGTATAAGTACATGCACGCTACATTCGTGGTAGTAGAAATAACTGGGTTTCTGGACCAAGTTTTATAGGGGTAACATTTTGTTGTTGACAAAGAACAGCCGAAGCAAATTTTTAGAAGGCCAGCTCTGTGTCTTAACATTTCGACCCCCCTCACATTTTGTGCATTTTCAAAATTGACCCCTCAAAATCAAGCCTCTTAGAAAATTGTATTTCACGGGACTGGCCAGGTCATGAAAACTTAAATCCTTTTTTTCTCTAAAATAGGCAAGGTCTAGTCTCCAGAATAGGAGGTTCCATTCACAGATCACACATGTTTATACTTTACCTATTCTTTTGCTAATTAAACGGGCCTAACTTCATATCAATCCTTTCGAAATTGGGCCTCTTTTGATCTCCGAATTCTCTACCAAATTCAGTAAAGCTAGTTCGATCGATTATCTACATCGAGTAGGCACACGTTGAACCCGAAATAATGCGAAATAGCTTTGAAATACGCGCTTAAGCTAATTTTCCTCAAATAGATATTTTAATTTATGATAAATACAGCTCCACCAGCCTCAAACAGCGTCTATGGCAGAGAAAAACTGTTTTGATATGACAAAATTATTTTTTGAAATCATGTGTGTCACTGTGGTGCAGTGGTCAAGGAGTTGCTTGCATATGCAGATAAACCGGGTTCGGCTCCCGGCGACGCTGTTTTCTGTTTCCTTGTCGCACCGTTTTTTTTTTCTGTTTGGTCCCTGTTTTTTAACACTGTTTTTCCTTTTGGCCCGTTTTTCTTTATTCTTACTTCTGACCATGCTGATCATGCACTTTGATCAATATATATTTCAAGCTTAAGTCCGGAGTTTTGTTTTGGAAAAGGGATTTCAAAAGTTCTTGATCTGCATACTGGCCAAGCTTACGACCAGAAAAAAGCCATTAGCTGTCAAGACATGTACCTCCTCTGAAACAGCTGAATGTTTTTCAATGTTCGTGACATCATGACAAACAACACACAGTACACCAAAAACTGTACTAATTTACACCATAGTTATTTGAGAAGACAGGTTATGAAAGACAACGAACATCAAATATAAAAACAACGGTGCTGCAGTTTATGTTGGAAGCTCCCCGACGGTGTGTACAATCCTTTGTTTCCTGTTGGCAAATTGTGATGGAATAAATTAATGCGACGTTTTTACTGGTCAATACAATCAAAATGGTAGGAATGCTGTTGAACGTTGTGCACCTTCAGGTCAACAAAACCATATAACCAATTAGCCTGACAGGTTTCATAACCATTCCAATCTATTAACTATGTTTAAACCCAACACCCACCAGTGACCCACTGGCGAAATTTAAACTTGCCTAGCTTTCGTACATCGTCGAAATCATCAATATTATTACCCTAAAATCTCCACTGCGTTTGCCTCCAAAAAATAATTAAACGAAAACTTTTATTGGTTTCCGGGATTTAATTACAGAATGACAGGTGTATACCCAATAAGATGCGGTAAAGCAAAAGATTCAATGCTCACAGTCTCACACACAGCCTCGTACCCAGGCCTGTTCGCGCTATCCGAGTGACCAGAGGAGGCTTGGAACCGAGCGCGATAGCGCGAGGCGTCCTAGGCGAATTTTCCCGACAAGCTTGACAGGTGACGTCACATCCGAAATCGCCGAGGACGACTGGGAACGAGGCTGTCTCACACAAATACCTGTCATTTAGCTTCCTCTTTCAACGCTACAACTCAGACCGAACTTTGAAAGGATTGATATGGGGTTCCACTAGCTCTGAAAAGCTGAAAATACGCACAATGTAAAGTATAATACATCCCTTGACGCACCTCCTATTGGTGTGTCTAAACTCCTCAGTCTTGCTGTGCATTGGCCCTCAAAAGTGTGACCGGTCGGTATGATCGCCCGTAAAATTTGCTCGACGATAGAAAGGAATCTGTAAAATTCATCACACCACTGGACATTTCATTCCAAAAAAGTACTTAAGGTGATTCCTTAGTAAAAGAACGTAACATGGGTTGTAGATGAAACTTGGTACACTGATGTAACGAGTCAAGGGGATGATAAAACAGTAATAAAAAGTGGGGGTCACCGCGCTCGTTTTGACTTCACAATGCTGACAAATACGGCTATTTTGGGCCCTTTGACAAAAACCGCGCGCAGCCCAAAACTAGACAAAAAGGAGAGATTTTTTCAATGATGCTTGTGGTATCGCACAGAATTTGACTTTAATATATTGTTTATTCACTTACGTACCAGAAAAATGCCTTTTAATGCCCTTGTTTTTACTTTACGCTCCAAAGTAGAATTAAATTGGACACGCGCTATTCTACCCGTGATAGCTCAATCCATACAATTTAGTAAAATTGCCAAAAAACTGAACATAGATTTGTGCCAATTTTTTTCTCATCGAAAGGAAGCACTGTCCTTATTAAAATCATGAAATAAAAAATGGGGGTCACCCTACTCGTTTTTTGCGGTAGAGCTGCAGAAAGTGCGCATCAAATGCATTTTCTCCGATTTTTGAGAGACGACTGGGGCGAGTTTCAGAATAGAACGTATGTTGAAAGGGGGAAGAAAGTACTAAAAAATCCGTTTTTACAGAATTTACATCGAGATATCACATTTAGGACACAATGTGATAAAGAAAGCGTTTAAATGAAAATCAAAGTGAGTAAGCACAAATTAAACATCCACTATCGAAGTTCTCCTGAGCAAGTCGAACTCAGCAACACGCGTACTGCTTACGTTATGCACATTCCCACCACACTGAGTCTCACCTCGGCAAGAAACAACCGAAAGCAAAAATTGCAATAACGTTTCTCTTCAGTCAACTTCATTATAATAATGTTACTTCACATGCTCTTTTTTACGGAGGCCATATTGTTATGCGCAGTAAGAGATGCGCAGTGCAAAACCAGGGAATCACCTTAAGTCTAGTTTTCTATGAAAATAGGGACATATAAATCCCCAAATCCAAGAAATCGGAACAGTATTTCCTTGATAAAATCGAAATTTTTATCCGTCTCTTTGATGAACACTTTGCTCGCCATTTTAAAAGTCGCTGACGCGAGACGTGACGTCATACTGGCAGGCGGACTGTACCACAGATTTCATTGGAGACACCTCCCAAGTCGGCGTCTTTGATCTTTTACATCATTCTGAGGCATGAGGAAAAAATTCCTTTTTTGAGGGGGAGGGGGAGAAAAACGGGCTATTTCTGAGAGGGGGGACTGTGTCAGCACTTTTGGTCAGCTGATGGGCGGGTGGCTCTGTTAAAACAAATAAAGCGACGGACATTCGGCAGAGCAAAGTACAATCAAGAATCACCTGACACGGATCAAAGTGCTGAAGAACGTTTGACACAGGCCGAGCACGTTCACACAAGTGCATTGTTTAAAAAAATCCTTAGCAGGGAGACAGACTTTCATCAGGTTAAAATACATTTTAAACCAAATCAGAAATCCCATTCTATTTTACAGTTTGCCAGTTTTCTGTTGTTTCTCACAACGCACCGCGCAGTTGACTGCGAACTTTGATCGTCAAGATAAGAGGATTAGTCGGTGACGTTTTACCAAAAGAAAATTCAATCTGATTTCGGACAGGGATGCCATTTCAGACATTGCAAATGAACAGCAAATACCGTACAACTTGGTTTGTTTAAAAACAAAAACAAAACAAAACAAAACTTCTTGTAACAGCGCGGCAGCAAGATAAGAATTTTTCTTTTGGCCATGCACATTCCGGGAAAAATGGATTTTCATGCGCTCTCGTGGCTCGAGTTTTAGACTGATCCCTGCTGATGTTTAGGATATAAAATATAATCAACAACTGGTATGTAGATGATGAGCTAGGTTAGGTATAACATGGAAAATCATGCAAATCTATTTTTGTCTTCAAGTACACTCTACGCATACCGTATTTATTCGAATAAGCGCCCAACCTCGAATTAGCGCCCACCTCGAATAAGCGCCCATCCTAAAGGCAGAAAAAGTTAATAAGCGCCCAGCCTCGAATAAGCGCCCACCCCACCCCCTCCCCCTCCCAATCAAACTCAATTAGCGCCCACCCCCACCCCACTTACTTGAGCGATAATGAGATTGAAATTGAAATTGAATAAGTACTAATAAGAGACTTCCCCGAAGACGGAGTGTTCTTCCGAGTATTTTACAGAAACCTTGCTCTGTTACTTCTTCGCGTTTTGTTACTAGCATTTACTGTTTTGTTGCAAAATAAAAATACTACCCTAATTGCTGAAAATGGTGAAAATTTAATAACCGCCCAGCCTCGAATAAGCGCCCACTTCGAATAAGCGCCCACTCTGAAGGTCCAAAGATTTAATAAGCGCCCAGGGCGGTTAATCGAATAAATACGGTATATTTCTTAGAAAACTGATCTTTATACTGACATTATACTAGATTTTATACCTAAGCTTTAAAGCAGAGCTCAACACTTAAACAAACTTATTCAAAAGAAGGACTATGACATAGTTACTAAGAACCTGTTTCATCAAACCATGTATTTAAACTGATCCATCAAATACCCAAACCTTTAAATACCATAGTCACTGGGCACGCGGAGTCGGTTTTGTGGTGTGTGAATGATCTGGACGTAATAATAAATACGCAAAGTGACTGTGCGACAACTTCTTTAAATATAACTTAGTTGCTTCCAGAACACTTCTTAAGGTCTTACCGGAAACTCATGAAGAAGTTCATGACAATGCCTTCGCTAAAGCTGCTCTTCACTGATACGATCCAGATCAGACAACGCTTCACTTGATGAGTTCTCGGAAACATCGGAATGTGCATTCCCCAGCCCCTCCCCTATGAATGTAGCATTTATCTTTCTGCGTTTCCGGATATCGCCACGCCATCTTTTCCTGAAGCGATTTATTTTGACAAATTATAAGGCTCATCTCCAAAAGAGATCTTAACAAAGGAGGGAAAATCATTTTCTAGCCCGACAACAATGATAATGACTTTCATGCAGGGTAAAGATACGCATAAAAACGATTGTTAAGAAGCTTCGCCCAAATTCCCGGAAACATTAGTCTGCTACGCAGCCGTTTTTAGTGTCGACACGCAGTGTAGCAGACTACGGAAAGATGAGCATTCATTCCCCGGCATCCCCTTCACGGCACGGTCTTTCTACGCTCTTTAATGCTTCTAAGATACAGTATGTTGCCCAGTATCCGAGCGGTACCAGTATCCGGACACTTACAACAAAAACTCAATTTTTGAGGCGCCCTTCTCAGTTATCGGTAAACGAAGTATTTCGAATGAAAGCTGAACAATTCAGTTTTAAGAGGAAGGTTTTGGCGAGTTGAAAGCTTGCGAAACAGTCGCAGAAGACGCCGTTCTGTTCGCGTGAATAAACACTTCATGGCTAATATTTACGCTCTTTACTGCGCAGTAAAATTAGTGCTGCTCAGAAAAGAGTAGGTAATATGTGATATTTTCAAAGAAACGGTTTTATATTTAAAGTGAAGATACTTAAAGAAGTCAGGTTCTCAGAAAGTTTATTAATTCTTCTTGAAATTCGATTTGTTTGGAATAACGGAGCCCAGAAACATTCACTAAGTATTGATGTCAGGTTGCCCAGGATCCGGAGAGTTTTTTCTTTGCTGTACAGAATCGATGTATTAGCTGTGTACCGTTACCCGGATAAGATTTATTTCATATCTATAACTATAATTAAAGCTTAGGATATATGATGTAGTCGTAAAATGTAATTCTACTCAATTCCGTACGGAAATTTTCTTCACTCATTTGGAGGCGACTTGATTTCGTGTGCGCCGCTTGTTTCGCGTGACTGCATTTTCTGGAATTCTCATACTTTCCCCAGTTGTGACTGCTAGAATGAGGTTGCAACGGTCTAAAAAATGTCACAAAGGGATTGAGAGATGTGAAAGAAGGAGGAATTAGCGCTAGAAAAACAGGCTTATTGTAGGGTCCGTAGGGACTGAGCATGAAGAAATCAACACCGCAGTAGCCTGTGCACAGACGTCCCCCCTCCCGACTTTTTCTGAGTGGGAGGGGACGTCTGTACACAGGCTACACTGCAGGTCAGACTAAATAGGAGAGTGACCTTTGACCGTCGCATTGAGGTCCCTTCCACAAGCTTTTTTTTTTTAATTAAAAAATGAAGGAAAAATAGTTATTTGCAGATTGGCTAATTGAGCTAGCAAACTGCGGCTTCGACATGTCCACGGATGCCTTCCTTACATGATCAGTGAAAAAAGTTCCTAGACAAGGAAGTACGAATTATGCCATTTAACAACCGCTCGCGTTCCCCACCATACCCCAGTCATTTGTTGTTTTATTTCACGATGCTAAGTTATATTTTTGGAACCGATTGCCAGACTACTTTGCGAAAAAAAGGGAAGCTTATAAGTCGCTTGCCTGTCGAAATTTATGTACAATTACGTTGTTATTGTTGTGTCCAGATACTAGGAGCTCTGCAAAAGTATTAATTTCGCGATAAAAACAAAGTTAAAAAAGTTAAACTGTCTTTCGTCATATTAAGGACTAAATAGGTTTTCTCTGGGCCAAATTTCAGAGCTCTTGCCACTAACAAAGGAAAGTTATTGCAATGTTAAACTGAAGTGTACGGATACTAGGCAACATACTGCACACAAAGAACTGCATTGTTCTTGATATATGTAGCTAGCATTCTTTCCCGGAAAATTTGGAAACTTTGAGTCCTCCGAAACGCGATATCCGCCATTCTGAGGCTTAACTTGTTTATGAATTTGTTGCATTTAAGATTGACTGGATTTATTTCATATTTTTACAAGTTCTTGACGTTAGCTGTTCAGGCGAGTAGCTAATCTTTGGGTGTCCTGTGCTACGTTTCTCACATTATTTTCGTAGGACTGTAATTAAACTGGCCAATTAAGACCCAAATCACAAAGAACTGCTGATGTTAGGACTCCCTTGTAGTCCTTTATCCAACAACTATTAATTCGCCCGATGAAGAGTCTGTAATTAGCAACAAGTGTAAGTCAGTTCATTGTTTCTCGGATAACGTTTTACTATTCAGCATCTGCTCGCAGCAGTATGCTTACAATTTGTAAACTCTAGTTATATTTTACAATTTCCCTTTCTAAGGATGAAAGACATGCTCGGTATTGAAAAGATACAAAATATATCAACAATGTCAGGCTCCTGTGTCAGATTAGACAATTAAACTAGAGAATAATTTTTGACTATTAGAATCCATCAGGCCATCCATATTTTCTTGGGTCACTTTTACCGTAAATTTCTTCATTCCTATTTCGAACTATTGCCTGTACAGCAGCATAGGCATCTTTGACCGTAATGTTGTGTTTGCGGGCTCGCAAACCATCTTGGATTCCCCGGGAGATGGTGTAAGGAGGCTCTTCAATCATCACTGTTTTTGGAAAAAGTTGGTGATGAACTCGCGGATAATCAATCGCGTTGGAGATACCACGTGACAGCCAAAGCTCATTTATAACAGCCTGCAAAAACGCAAATTGTAAAATTACATTGCTTTCCTTAGCGAAGTGTCGTTAGGTCATGGGGGACCCCAGGTAGGTGAGGTAACGCGGTTAGGTGGAGTAACCTGCCTATCCATGAATAGCAACCGGAAATTCAATTTCACGCTTGATGGAACGCTTCTGTCTCGCACAACGAATCTTAATGCCTTTGTTTTAACTCCCGCTGTACGAATTTGTCGAGTCAGAGCACCGTGAGAGAGAAAATATCAACTTCCGGTTGCCACTTTTGACGTCCGGGACGTCAACTTTCTGGTTGCTTAGGTTCCCTAAAGTCTCATTTCAATTTGATCACGTTTACATGATAGATGAGGTGACCATAAGAGAGATTATATAGACAGGCGGGTTTATACCTCACCTACCTGAGGTCCCCAACTCCATGTGAACAGGCCCTTAGTAGTCGCCTTCCTGGTCACGCAACGCTCTTTCACAAGAAGACTGAGAGAAAAATCTGATTTAAAGACAAATCAAATGGTAAGGTGTATTTGACCGATACTTTGGTTTGCAACACAAAACCTTCAGGGGTGCTTACCTGATCTACACAAGTCATCCGGGAGGAAATCTTGTGCAAAACTATAAAATTAGACGTGGTGGGATAAAAACCCGCTTCAAAATATATCCAATTCAGCTGAACAGTGGAAAGATTGCATCACCTCAAATCACAGCCCATATTTTACTGAAGCTTCCCAAACGGAATGGCGCGAACATTTGACAGAATTCTATGAACGGCGCTGTAAGGTTGCAGTCACTTGTAGGCAGATGTAACTCACCAGAGAAACAGCTGTCGTAATCAAGGGTCCTCCTGAGGCTCCTGCAACCAGTCTTACTCGGCCATTTCTGTCCGTGAAAATGACCGGGCTCATGGAGGACTGAGGTCTTTTTCCGGGTTTAATAAAGTTACTTTTGGAAGGTTCGATCTCATCAGGGTTGAGCTGGCCTGGAGTCGAGAAATCTCCCATCTCGTTGTTGTAGGTAATTCCAGTTTTAGTGGAACGGTATTTACACCCAAAGCTGTCAAAATAATCAGTTAGCACGGCAACAAAGCACTCGAGTTTGGTCCAATTTTATGGCACTCTTGCACCTTGTAGCTTAAATAACATAAACTTCTGCTTATGAGCCCTGGGATTATACAACTTCGTAAGGGGTTTTAGGAGGGCTTATAAACGAAGGGGCTTATATCCGAGGGGGATTATAACCGGACCAGGATCCCATAAACTGGTGCGAGCAACGTCCGTGTACCCGTGTCACCACATTTTCACGGACCAGTTTATTTTTAGAACGGTTTTGGCGCGAATTTAGAATGTCTCTTTAGTCACACAAATCAGTCAGCAAAACCAACAGACCTAAGAATGATAATTTTTGCCTTTTAATGACGTTACGTGTTCCTTTTTGATATCTTATACTTCAAATGCGTTAATATAGACGTGGCGGAGATTCCATTTTCGCGGGAAAAATTGCCCTAAAATGTGTCTTAAAATAGAATGGTCCGTAAAAACGCTGTGACACAGGCTTAGTATGGGAGTTGCTCGCTCCGGGTTATGGGCTCACGCCGGACTAAGAAAACCGTTTCACAAACAAAGCTACAGAGCGGTTTTTTTAAATTTAAGATTCAAAACGTCTTAAAAAACGAATTCGTTTCAATAAGTGCTAGAAGAGGGGCTTACAACCGCGTGCATCTTTTTGTTTACTGGTAGATACGCCTGTGACTAGGAGGGCTTATAAGTGGGGGGCTTAAAAGCGGAAGTTTACGGCACTTTATTCACACTTTCAGAGTAACCTCTGGTCGGGTACGAGCATCAAAAAAAGATATCAGCAAAAAAAAGGCAACGATTGGGTTTTATTCCGTGTTGTATGGCTCTCTGTATTGAAAGGTGAAAATGTTTTGCTCACATTCAGCTAGGTGTGGCCGGTCAGTTTTAACCAATAATGATATGCTTCAATTTTGCTTCGTTCTTTTTAAACTCCATACACAAGGCAAGCAATCGCTTTTTATATGGCCGGTTACGTTAGCGCACGAGATTCTAAGAGGGGAAGGGAGAGGGAGATACAATTGAACTGAATTTCTATCAACTGCGTCTCGTTCTGTATAGACTGCGCCAAGCAGTCTCTCTTTTTTCTTGGTCTGTCGAGCAAATGAACTCGCGCGTGACTGAAGGCGCGAAACGAGAGAGGCACGACAAAAGAGAGTCTCTCCCTTTTTTTTTTCTCAGCTGCCTGCCGCCCTCGTTTCTTTCGTCTCGTCAACGCTAGCGCGCACGTGTACTCCCATTACTAAATCTGGGGAAAAAGAGAGGCTGCTCGCAGTCTACGTTCTGTATGATGTCTTGCTTACACTGCCTACTTACTAGTAGTTTATGGTAGACGTCAGGGCTACAGCATCGCCATTTGGCGACAAAACAGACAGATGAGAAGTCCCGTAGTCTTTTGCAAACCGAAAGTTTCCGTAGTATGAAGCGTTACTGTGGGTTTGGTTGTCCCAAATTTTTTGTCGCAATGTCTCGGCAAACGTTTGGTTAGTCATCTTAGAAACGACCTGTAAACAAACATGCATTTAAAATAGTTTAAAATAGTTAAGGTTATTCCTTAGTATTGCAGTGCGCATCCTCACTGCGCATATTTTGACGCGTGATTAGCACGCCCTCATTAAAACATAGCAGCTTTTGTCTTAAGACTGGAGCGACCAAAAGAGATAAATCTTCATTTTCTCTTACAACAAGTGTGGTGACCTATCATTTTCTTTTTCTCTCTTTTTTCGATCGAGCAGTAACTTTCTTTCTCTAGAATAAATATATATAGGCTAATTCCGGTGCAGGAAAAGAAACAATTGGCGGTAGCATGTTTAAAGCATGTACTCATCATATTGGTATTTTAACGAATCATTACTTATATACAAGTTGCTCCTGCTCCTAAAAGAGTATATATGGGGACCCCTTGTTTTTATTTCCAAAATTAAGTTCCACAACTTAAACTACCAATCGGTAAACTTTGACAAAAATCCCCCCCTACAGGTTCTCTTTCAGAGGAATGACTTTAAACGACACAGAAAAGAAAAAAAAACTGAGGAATACATGGCATTGACATCCGTCGTTATTTTACCAACCTCGCTCATACCGCTGACAAAGGCCGGGTCGCCCAGCCGTGCTCTCCATGAGTAACCAAACTTAAAAGCCTCGATTATGCGATGATATGTTAGGGAAGACTTGGCTGTGCTGGCACGTGATTCTGACGTCATATTGTAACCTGTGAAACACAAGGATGTCCATAGGGTATTAGCTTTTACGCTCTGTACGAGACAAAGGGCGCTTCCTATTGGTCAGAACTGGCAGGCCACACCAGATCAGTCGTAACAAGAATTTCAATACGTATTAATCTGGACTATTCAACCAGTTCAATTAATTCCTAAATAATATGCATAGCAGTGATGGGTTTTAGCGAAAATTTCGAGAAAACACTAATTAAATTATTTCATTTTCAATATGACCCGTATGGCCGACTAGTTCTGACTTTTGGAAAGCGTCCTTTTTTAATTTGTATTTTTGAGGTAACCTATGTATACAATTCCGTCTACTGTCTTTCTCTACCAATCACATTTTATCTTTTATATTTATGTATGGTTCTTCATAAATTAGTATAATCTTTAGCAGATTAGACACGCGACGGGAGTGGACGTACAGTTACTGGTACACAATCAGCTTTACCTCCTTTCTTGGACAATAATTCCTTTTTGAAAGAAAAATCAACGATAAAAAAGTAACACGACGTTTCCATGACTCCATATCATCATTATCAAATGCGAACAAAAATTAGCATGAATTGGTGATATATATACAGAAAAAGAAAGTGTCAGGAATATGTCAAGTTAAATTGAGGCGTGAAAAGGGAGCAAACTAACAATTAAATAAAAAGTTTCGCCCGGATGGAGTCCGCTTGAGTGTTTAATGTAGGTGTTTTGTCTCTGATGATAAGCATTTCGAAGATCAAACACTCAAGCTTCCCTCGGCATTTCTTGAGGACCTTAAAGTTTGAGCTAAGATTCATCATATTTAATGATTATAATATTCCTTTATCATATTCTTTTCGAAAAAGCCAAACTAAGTGTATCAAACGCTTGGTAGCCGCTTAACCCTTTCACTGCCAAATGTGTCCAAAGGCAAATTTCGACCACATTTCCACATTTCATTTTGTAAAAGTTTGACAAACAAATATCACCATGTGTAAGTACAGGCAGAGAGCCGTTCATTTGAATGGTCACATCATAAGATTTGGTCCACAGACTCAAAAAATAAAGTCACCCTACAAAACTACATCAAACACTCTGGCAGTGAAAGGGTTAATGGAGGTGACAACAATAGGAACTGTCACTGGGATGGCCAAAGGGTGGCGGCCACCGCTTGAAACTTTGATTACTGGCCGCTTAAGAGAGGCTTGCCGCTTAATGGAGGCTCAGCAGTAATTAAAGCGAAAAAATGGCTATAAAATCAAATCAAATATCTTTCTTAGCTTCTAAGTTCTAAACTACTGCGGAAGTCGTCTTTTTCTAAAATTGCATGTTTTGCTGGGAACATGACGTCACAAATTTTTTTCTCTTGACTGATGGATAGCTAGACTAAAAGAGAGTTTGTCTAGAGCTCACGACTATAACACATATCATTACATTAGGCCATTCCCAAAAGGGACGACCGTACAAAACAGATGTACAAATGAAATATCCGAAACTACCTTTCAGAATGTTTAATATCAGAGTTATCACCGGTCCGCTAGATGGTGGTGGCACTGTGTACCATGTTATATCACCCAGTTGATTTACTAACGCCTTTTTCCTGATGACCTTGTAGTCTTGTAAATCTTGCAAAGTAATGATCCCACCCCGTCTCTGAATGTCCTTTACAATTTCTTCGGCCAATGATCCTTTGTAAAAGCTCTCGGGGTCGTCACGTATCTTCTCGAGTGTATTCGCGTATTGTGGGTTGGTAATGTTGTCTCCTAAATTTTTAAGGTTTCCATCTTTATCAGTTAATATCTCCCTAAGAACACATGATAAAATATTTGAGCCTCCTACTTTTAAAAAGAAAGTAGAGTTTAGGTTCTAGTAACTGAGTTATGAGATAAAATCGAATAGAAAAAAATGTACCCTAGTCCTAAGGGCTTAATACTCCTTTTTAAATCCAAGGGGATGGTGGCCGGGTGAGAGAAAATGAAACGGGAAAACACTGGGGACGACGGACACGAAACACGAAGGATAGCCTGCGCCACAGACGGAACTAAACTTCTGGTTCAGTCCGTCTGCCAAACAGCACCTAAATTCTTGTTCTGGACCCTCACCAGTGTGCCAGGATTTGAGTACGCACCATGATTGGGCAGTTAAAAAGACCATTGTCGATTTGCCAATCAAGCTACTGAAGGGAAATTCGAAACGCATTTCCGGTAATTCTTCGAGTCCGTGGGGGACCAGAACAAGGATTTCGGCGCTGCTTGGCAGACACTACTAACCGGGGTTAAATTACGTCGTCTCTGACGCAGGCTAGCGAAAGATCGAAGTTGCCATGAGTAAGTATTACGTTTTCAGTGACCCAAAAGAACTGTTATTACAGTTATACAACTTTATTAATAGTTCCTGTCACCGTGGGTCACTTGATACCCATAAAAGCCCTGAATCGTAGTTCAACTCACCTCAATCCAGGATCTTTTTTGAGGCTGTCTTTCTCTTTCAACATGGTCATGTAGAGCGCAGGGTTTATGAGGAATCCATACTTGGCCTTATCAATTGCCGGCTGGACTAACTGTTTCCAGGGCAACCGTCCATATGCTTGCCAGGCTGTATAGTAACCGCGAACCTCGCCAGGAACGCCTGTTGCTAACGTGCCTTGGGAAAAAAGCGTTTAAGGTTATTCCTTAGGATTGCAGTGCGCTGAGCAGAATTTCAAGCCTGATTAGCACAAGCGCATTAAAACATGGCGACTTTTGTCTTAGACTGGAGCTACCCAAAGAGGTCAACTTTCATTTTCTCTTGAACAAGTATGGTGACCTGTCGTTTTTTCTCTCTTTTTCAAAAAAAAAAAATAAATAAGTGGTTACTTTCTTCCTCTACAATTAATATAAACTAATTCCCAGGACAGAAAAAGAAGCAATCGTCGTTGACGAGTTAAAATCATGTACTCGTAAACATAATCATATTGGTATTTAAGGAATCATTGCGTACAGGCAACTTACTCCTGCTCCTTAACGAGTATGGGGACCCCTCGATTTCATTTCAAAATTCAAATTTCTACAAATAAACAACCAATCGGTCAACTTGTTCTTGTCTACTGCTGAGCATCGCAGGGACACGAAACTTAGCTAATCACTAGGACATGCAGTCCCCAAATTTTCTTAGTAATTTCCCAAAATAGGACACTTATATTGACGTTATAAATATCGTAACCCGGTCTCTTGCATACCAACATACAATCTATTCCAGAATCATATTTAGTCATTCTTTTGTCTTCATGATAATTGGCCCTCGTGCCTTGTCTTGCCTAGGAGAGCAAGGGTGGCGCAGTTGTGAGAGCACTCTCCTCTCACCAATGTGGCCCGGGTTCAAATCCCGGTTTCGACGTCATGTGTGGGTTGAATTGTTGTTGGTTCTCCCCTTTGGTCTGAGAGGGGTTTTCTCCGGGTTCTCTGGTTTTCCCTTCTCCTTAAAAATCAACACACTTCCACATTCAAATTCGATCTGAAAAGCATGGACACGTTTAAACGAGTTCAGACGAATTCCTTAGTGCTTCGTGGATAAACAAAGAACGAAAAAATCAACTCAGATTAAAGTTATTTTCAGTTCTGCTGATGCAATCGAGGAAGAGAGGACTATTTAACGTATTAAGCAATATTTCCATCATTTTAAAAAAAGGTGTGTACTTCAAGCGAAAAAAAAATTGATATACGGTGGAACGTCTAGTAAGCGGCCAGTTACCAGTATATTGCGCAAACAAATTGTCAGTAAATCCTTTGAAGGAACGGAGAAAACGATGAAACTGTTATAACTGACTGCTGACTTACAATTGAGGGTGATTGCTCATTTTTTTTCTTTAAAAAAAGTACACGTGGGTACACTCTGGATAGTCTACCCTATGGTAAGTAATAACAGTGCGACCCAAAACTCTCCCCCGCTGCCTGAATGAAGTCAGTGAACAAGGCTAAAGGGATTGACGTTTTGCCCCCAGCAAACAGTTGTGCACACTTACTATTAATTTCCTTAAAACTAGCGTTTTTAAACATATCCTCCTTGGCTTTTTCTGGAGCAGTTTCTCTGAAATCAAAGACCTCAGCCGACGCTCTACTCCGATTATACACAAGCATGAAGCCACCACCTCCGATCCCTGTGGAATGCATATTGATTACTCCAACGCACAACATCGTAGCAATCGCCGAATCAACAGCCGAACCGTTTCTTTGAAGGATGTCCGTGCCAACGTGAGAACACGGTCCAGCGTCCGACGCCACGGCTGCATGCTTGTATGGCCCTCCTAGAGATGGATGATTCTGGTTGATTTCTTCCAAAGGTTTTGTCCTAGTGAACCAGTAGGCAAGAGAAAGGCCCACAATGATGCATACAAGCACCCAAAGGGAACCGACGATGATTCGCAAATTTCTTTTTCTTCTGAAATCGTACGAAGAAGTAGACATCCTGAAAAGAGGGTTATTATCTTTAAAAACATATATATAAATTATGTAAATCAAAGTATTTAGTTACGGTACTTGGACTGACTCAGAATACTAGTCTACATCGGGTTTATTAGGTCTATTTGGAAAAAGCACCAATTTACAGAAATTTATACGAAGTAGAGCAATGATTGGAAGTTGTATCCGATATGGCGCGGGAAGGTGTGGCTTCTCTAATAGAAAAACACATAGAAAAATAATAGTGGTGTTGTGGTTTCATAATGAATTTGATGCAAAGGAAAATATATTTTTAAACCAAGGATAAAATTATACCACAACAGTGATCTTGGCTCCCACGAGTCCCCTGTAGCTCAGTGGTAGAGCATCTGGCCGTAGTAACCAGAACTTCATAGGTTCGTTTCCTATTAGGAGTACTAGGATTTTTTTGTCCAAGCTGCCTATGTTTCACTGACTGAATAAGATCTTTCTGAATATGTTATATACTATATATAGTTACAAATTATAGTTAATCAGGTATATTGATGCCTCGATAAGAGGTTAAGCCAGCTGCATCGCCCTTGTTGGGGCTCATCAGCAACCCGTGTCTCCAAGACCTTTTACAGCCGAGGCAAATGTAAAGCACTGCTTTAAGCGCCAGCTCTACACAACACATGTGGGAGCGGAGCTTTATTAGCTCCAGCTGGCTGAGCCAGAAATGTAAAAACAACAAACTTGAGGCTCTCTCCTCACAGATGATGTTGATCATCACTGACTACAAGTTATTTTCAGAGCGCAACTCAATAATGATGAAGCCTCTGATCTTAATCTCCTGCTTGGGAAGGAATGTGTTAAAATTTCTCGCTCACCACCAGTAGGCCTCAAGATGACCGCTTACAAGGCAGAAATTAATAAGTTTTCTTAAGAAAAGCCATTCCGTTTGCGTACAAAAGCAGTGAATGAGATACTGGAATGATAAACAGGGACACTCAAAGAGAAGATGGTTCAAAACCACTTAAACGTAACATTGTTAAACGTAGTTTAGTATTTAAACGGTAGATTTATATAAGCATATTTTTACGCCCTAGAAATTTTTCATCTGTTCGGATTTCCTAGCTGAAAGTCTGGTGATCCGAAAATCATGGGGATCAAAACTTGCCTTTTCGAAAATTTCAGCCAGAAAAAGGCTCCCGAAAATTCTAGGTGACCTTTCAAGGGTAAAAATCCGTTAAAAATGGACAATTATACCATTTTTTTAGTGTTCGAAAATCCTAAGAGAGGCAGGCAAGCAAGAAATTTTACAACAAATGTTCCGAAAATTCTAGATCGCAAATCGTCTTCCGAACAGATATTTTCCGAAAATTGTCATTTTGTTTGCCCCTGAATAAATGAACATCACTGTGAATAACCATTACAGTCGAACCTCAGCCAGGGGCAACCAACGACGGTTTCCTCCTAAATGCATTGAAAAGTCTTTTTAGGCTATCCAGAGTACTTTTAGATCCCTAGAAATGCATTGTAAGCGGCGCTATAAAATTTGTATCTGTTCGGTCATCCTAGGGGGCCTTAAGTCATTTCGAAATTACAAGGGCTTCAGTGTTATTTTTCCGAAACTTTTAGATGGAATTGAACGTTTTACGGAAGTGAGAATTGGTCTTATTCCTCTCTCCATCACATCTTTGAATCCGAAACTTTTAGGTTTCCTTTTTCTAAGAAAATTAGCCTAACACAAGGAGGAAAATCTGAAAAATTAATCTTCAGAAAATCGTAGGGAATTTTTTAGATAAGCTTTGAAAATTGTACCTGAATGAAACGCTCATCTAGAAATTTCTGGCCCTATTCAAGCGATACAAAATTCTAGGCAAAATTTGCTTGCCCGAACGGATATTTTACAGAAAACAGTCGTTGGGTGCCCCTGCTCAGCTAACGGCCACCTCTCTACAACGGCCACGTTTTTTCGTCTTGGCGGACTACAAATCCATTCATTGACTCTGTTTTAAAACCCCCTACAACGGCCACTTTCTTCTGTCCCTAAGGTGGCCGTTGAAAAGAAGTTCAACTGTAGAATGACATTTTAAAATAGTCTACGCAGCCGCTGGAGCCGGTGTCACGCCACGATTAGGAGTGGGGACGGGGAGCTGGCGTTGCATGACTCCGCGTTCACTATTAAAAGCGTCCACCGGTTATTAAACTGTTCAGGATTTCTTATCGTTATTAAAGACATGTTAAAAGAGGAACGCACTGATTATGTTTAAATTTTAATACTCAAATGACGGTCGATCCCGGTAGACTTGTCCTTTATAAAATGTAGCCGTGATAAATATGTCGATTCGACAGTCGAGTTAACCTCAGACTTGGGTAGCGATGAGTATGCATTTTGAACATTCACCAGCTTTGATGTGTTCGATTTTTCCCTTTAAATACACAAAATTTTCAAATTTATCTTTGCAAAATTCTAAGAATGAATTACTACTATAGATACTATACTACCAAGAGAATTCATTTAAATGGGCACACCGTACGATTAAATTTTGACCACAGATTTGCAAGTTATAACTGGCAAATAAACTCGCGATAAATGCGGTCATAAGTAGAGTAAAAGTCTAAATCAAATGACGCTACGTAACAACTAATATTATAAATCCAAACTCACTCGACATGGTCGATCTCTCTTGCCAGAAGTGTTGAACTCATGGTGTACAATTCGTTAAGCCGGGCGGTGAGTTTGCTATTAGAAGAGTTGTACTTTAAAACAGAGTGTGACGGATTATCGCGGTTCATTGACCTCACGGCTACCATGTGGAGACGACCGGCGGGGGGGTACTGCCATATATGGGCTATATAGGTATGTGCCGCTGTGAAGGGTGTGGTTTTCAAGCAGTTTATTCTAGGATAGGGTATATAAATCAGAGTGTTTGGCTCTAGAATAGGGTATCATTTCTCAGGAAACTGATCAGTTGGTTGAAGATTTTATCTAGACTAGGTACACAGCTACTCTAGGATAGGGGGATTTGGGGAGTTTACTCTAGTATAGGGTAGAAAAATTCAGCTGAACTAGCTCTGGTGAAGGTTAAGGGTTCCTGGCTCCCAGCGGCACATCCCCACCCAGAAATTCCTACAGTGCCCCCCGGGACGACCGGCTGACGGGGCAGGGACCAATTTCGCCTTTGGTTCATACATACCTGCCAACTCTCACGGTTTTCCCGGGAGTCTCCAAATTTTTCATCAAATCTCCTGCTCTCCTGGTTATAGCACCAAATCTTCCAAAAGCAAACAAGGCGAAACACAAAAATCCTAGCTTTCGCGCCTATCATAGCTTTGGCACATGACGTCGCTAAAATTCAAACTAAAAAAATATCGATCCTACCGGGATTTTACTTTCACGATGCATTAGAGCAGCTGAAAACTAATTTTCATACAAATTTTCGCTTCAAAACGGTTCTTGGCTTTGTGATAGAGTACGCTTGAAGTCTAAGCTTTTGCGTGACGCGGCATTTACATAACGGCCAACAGAGCTGTCATGTAGGTTAAAAAAATGACTTATTTCAGGAAATTTTGCTATTTAAACAGGTCTCCATACAAATCTCTATAAGTGTTGGTAAAACATTTCTTCGGATATCTCGTATAAGAAATATTCCTCTGACCTGAATCTTGGCGAGGGTCTTTGTATATGTACCTCCTTTCATTTCCCAGATTCTGGACTTTTATCTATTGAACGATTTTAATTTTTATTTTGATCTACTTTGAATGGCGTGACACTGAAAACCAGTAATAACTGTATCAGTGCAATTAAATAGGATGCTTATGATGTGGAAAATACAGTGGGCAATGCGAGATGATGCAATCCGGGCCGCCAGAGTTCATGTCGCTTTCATCCCGGTAACCGGGCTGAAGTAGCCTGCGTAGCAGGTGCTTGGAAGTAATGGACGTCGGCCCTCGCGCGCCAGGAACAGGAGCTCCTGCGCGCGCCCCGTTCTCTCTTGCGACCATTACTTCCAAGGCTGGGTGTTCGTATGGCAAAATTTTCAGCCCGCTTACCGAGATTCCCGATGGAAAACCGAGATCTCGGGAACAGAGCCAGCTCACAAAGGATCAAGAGGTAAGGCGAGACTGATCTGGCAAAGTGGGCTCGTGCAAAGAGGCCCTTGGTGGCGCCGAGTTCTTTGCTTCCAATTCTCTGACTCTAAACGGGCTCAACGAATTACCGGAAGTGCTTTTGGAGTTTCTCTTTAACCTTTTTAAACAGACCCATCATGGCGCTTACTCGGTCAAGAGAGAATGATCTAGCTCATTCTCTCTTGACTCGGTTAAATCCTAGTACACAGCTGGGAACTCAGAATAAGGATTTTGGAAAGAGAGTCTCTTTATTATATCTGTTATTCGTCCACAGTCATTACCTTCAGCGGATAATATTTTACCATGTTTATAACGGTTTGCTCGGTTCAACACTATGTAAGCAAAGGCGATGCGCTGTATCAGGAGCCCTGGCTGTATCAACTGTAAAAATTTAACTGCAATCAACAATCAAGGTCATAAATAACTCCTCTGCGCCCTGTGCGATCTTACGGTAAAGACAAACTTAACACGCATGCGCACAGCTATATCACCCGGACAGTGGCACTCGGCATGGGCTGCATTTTCGTTCTCAGAGCTGCACTCCGACGTTCTTAAGCCTGGTTTCCATATGATCATTACGATCGCTGAAAAAAAGAGTTCAGGTGATCATAGCGATCGTGTGGAAGTTAATCTCCAGCGATCGCTGAGAGAGAAAAAAATCCCGTGCAAAAACGGCGGGTATCGTGAATGAGGTCTGTTTATTTCCTTGATCTTTAAGGAAATATCATATTTTACCCTTTTCCAAAAAAAACAAATTTTTCTTTCTTTTATGTATGGTTTTCTTTATCTGTGCTTACTAGGGTCATAGGTCGAGGATCGAACATTGTGATATTTTTCAACGGTCGACAAAACAAAACTTTCAAACCCTCCAGCACATTCTTTCACAACGGCAGACTGGTCAATTTATCTGT